GCAATCGAGCACGAACGAATTGCGTGGGGACCGCCGCAAAAAAAACAGGAGGAGTTGGGTTGAGCGTTTGATGAGTATTGGAGGGGTGGTAGCGGAATATAGGGCAATGATGCTTGGGGAGCGGGTGTACTGATAAGTTGGCGAGAGCGTGGTGGCGCCCAGGCCTGAGCTGCGGCTGGTGCGAGGCAGACTAAACGCGTGTAGCATCCGGAGTAGGCTACATCTCCAATGTCCAATCCATGCATTTTTCGCGCGAGATCCTCTACCTCGTCTATGGTGGTCTTGACTGGGGGGGTAGGAGGAGTTGCGAAGGATACTCGCTTAGTTTGAACCTCTTTCCGAACCTCTTTTCTCTCTTCTTCGTCATCTGAATCCCAGGGAGGTTGAGCCTTGGGTCGCGTCGTGCGTCCTTCTCGTATGGTACGAATCCTAGTAGCTATAGGTTCGTTTAAGTCAGCATCGAAAGCGTCGTCTGAGAAAACGAATCGTCCGGCTTTAAGCACTTCTTCAAAGTCCGTGGCCTCCGTTCTTGAGTATGTCGGATTCTTCAGTTCGAGACGCCTGTCGATAGCGCGTCTAGTGGCAGCTGGTAACCCTTGCCAGAAATAACGATCGCGTTCTCGTGTCGATATCTTGCTGTTAGCGACGAGCCAGTGTGCAACAGGGCGGAACTGTCGGTAGTATTGCAGAAGTTCTGTTTCTGTCGAGATATCGTTGTCGACGTTACTGATGACAATGCGCTCCAGATCTCGTATGGTATAGCGCTGACCCTTGGCAGCACCAGAATACTGGGCCAAGATACTAGCTTTGAAAACGTCGAAGTCCTTACTTTCGTAGCCTGTTAGCGTCACCCAGAAGCGTTTTGTCTGAATGTCCACATATCGAACGATTGTCTTGCATTTCTCAGCGGGAGTGAGTGTGCAGGCGTCCGCTAAGTCCTCGAAGAGTTCAAAAAACTCCAGTAATTCCGAAGTCTCGCCATTAAATGACGGGGCTTTAGTGGAGTTGGCGCCTGGCATGGCGTTAATGCCTCTGGATGCGTTGGACATTTTGGCCGGAGCTTGAGATGCGGGAAGATGATGTGCAAAGGGATTTGGTAAAGGAGGAGGTGCCGCAAGGATTAAATTTTGTGTCGGGACTGTTTGCACTGGAGCCGTAGAAACTGGGACTTGGCTGTTAGGGAGTGTGGAGGGTTTGAGAGTAGGTGTGTTGGGAGGGGGTGCTGGTACGCGAAGGAAGTCTGGGGGAGGTATAGGGGGAAGTGATTTCGCAGGGGGGGCAGTCTCGTAGGTATCAGGAAGAGTGGGAGTTTCGGGCTCGAAGACAGCTGGTCTAAGGGTGAACGTTGGCTGAGGGATAATGGGGAAAAGGGGGTTCGTGTTAGGGGAGGGTCCTATAGTCTCGTCGTCTGAAAGAGAGGACTCGGATGGTCCTTCGGAGGTGTCTATACTTGATTGTACTGATTTGTGACGGACCGGCGTGCGGGGGGGTGCAAGAAAGGATGGTTGCGTCAACGATAAGGTGGACGGGGAGTCGACCGTGTTTGCGCGAGTTCGGCTCTTCTTTGGAGCCAGCGCAAGTGGCTGCTTCTTGAGCTGTAGCTGCACGTTAGGATGGTAGTACTTTGAGATAATTATTGCAAGAATGGTCCAAAGACCGGGTATTGAACGAGTCAGACTAGAAGATCTGTAGAGATCCGCGAATCTGATTCGTAATGCAAGGGGGTGTTAAGACAGATCCCCTCGCGGTGGGCTCCAAAATATGTAAGGCTATCTGCGAGTTCGACGGGGATCGTCGAAGTAACCGATAGTAGAAGGGATCGAATATAATGAAAGACTTTTCTAATGAGAGTGCTGAGGCTTCTGACGAGAGGACGTTTCGGACGGAATGCGCGCGTGAATCTAGCGGGGGAGCAAAGACTAATCATAATGAGCGTACATGCGTGTATTTAAGTTGTGAAAATAGGGTAAGGGTCCTTGCTGTAACGAAAAGAATGATTTGGTGAGACGGAGAGTGGTGGCGTTGAGCCTAACAGGGTGAAACATCGATAATAAAATGGAGTACGAGAAGTTTTTGAATGGTTGGTGGTAATGGTGTAGTACGTTGAGCACCTGAATGACGAGAATTTCGTATTGGTTTTGGCTGTTTTCGGTGTGTCAAGGGAGGGATTATGAGAATAGTGACGAAAGAAGGTTTATAGATGTCTGGGTATCGTGTAAGGAAGGCGGGAGAGCGAGCTGGTTGTCGACGACAGTGAGATAATGATAGTAAGAGACGAAGGATGTAACCTCGTAACTCGGATGCGAATGTGACGCTTGTTCGCATCCGTGAGTCACGTGGTTGGTTTGGACTTTCGTCCGAACGCTTGGTTTTGAAGCGCTGGTCGGGGCACAAAGGATATGTGATCCTTACACTGCTGTTGATTGAGAAATGGGTAGAGTCAATATCGAGTTGAAGTAGAGTGACTGTGTGCATAAATCATGAGTTTTTCCGCCTCGAAATAGACCTTTCAATATATGAAATTATACCAGCGCCAGCCATCAACTTGAACATGCCAGATCTTGGTCGATCACTCACCATTCATGAAGTCGAGAGTGTCGGTGGCGATATCATCGAATCAACCGGTCTTCTATTTCTTGATACGTTAGCCCTCTTCGAAGCGAAGACATTTTCCATCCTGATTTCGATGCCAAACCAACAATTAAGGTGGAATGCTCAATAAGTACTGCGAGGAACAGTGTGTCGTCATAGAAATCAAGGATAGCGATGTTAGATCTCTCAGGCCAATCTCACAGCCAAGTCCCGTGAAAGCACTCGCAACCATTATCCATCAGTATCACAAGGATTAAGCCCCAGCAACACCACACTGGAATACATTTGTCGGACAAGCCCTTGATGACCTTGCATCTTCATCAGCATCATTTCTTGTATCCGACACTCCCATTACCTTCCAAGATCAGCTGGCCGCATTCACACCAACTCACAAACGAAGACACGAGGTCCTTGACCATTAACCTGTCAGGGAAACAGAACATGAGCGCACATGTCATGAGAGGCATAAGAGCATGGAAAATCACACGAGAGCCTTGTACGGGATGCAGTCCAATGCAATGTTGCAGGAAATGTACAGCAAAACACTGTCAAGTCAGCTAGCTGTGCAGAAAGAGAAGAGTTTAACAAGAAAGCGGGAGAAATCAGTAGGAGACGGACTACCAAAGAGATGAAGTCTATAATTCGGTTGTTAATCACAACAATGCTGCAGATGCAGAGGCGGCAGCACGTGGAAGCGGTGAGCAAGAGAGGGACGAGCGAGCAGGTTTGATGAAAGCATGGAAAGAGGAAGATACGATGCGGCTAGAGAGAAATTAAGCGCGCAGGCAAGAATACAAGGAGGAGCTGAGGCAGTGGGAGGGTGCGGAGATGATGCTTGAGGTACGTCAAATCGAAACTCGGAAGACTTAAGGCCCCACTTCCAAAGCCAACACTCACTCACGTTGATGAGGAAGAGCCACGTGAGAACGAGTCAGATGGGGATAGCGAGGAGGAATGTTGATACAATGTGGTGTATCTTGACCGGGCAATAAATCGGGTTGACTCAAATGACGATGAACGTACAGAATAACAAACCTTTGGTCGCAGCATAACATATCACCAAATTTAGAGCAAGATTGCCAGCAGGCCTTGCTCGATAGGTAGATCTCCTGTGGCGATTTGCTGGAATTGTAGACGTCATCTAATGGATTTTTGGGCAGATAAACTCTCACTAAATATATTGCCATGAAGATCAATGCAGGCACATAAAAGCAAGGCATCTTCCTACTGTCACCTTCAGATTTATATCACGTCCTCACGAAAGAATGCGTTTTTCCTTTGTCCTTCTCTGCTGTTGTGGCTTTGACAGCATCAATGTTTGCTAATGGGGCTGACAGTGATGACTGTCCTCTTTGGTGCACACATAGTAGTGTATGCAAAGGGTGCGATTTTCAGAACCGCGATGTGTGAGTATGAGTGGTTTGTGTCCAGGATCTATACACACGACTCACCGACATGATAGTTCTTCTTTGTATGCGATGATTGGTGTAACTGGTACACCCGATGCCCGCAGTATCTCGTGCTTTTGATATTTAGACGTCCTGAAATGTAGCAGACAACTGTGCACTGTCATAGAGGGTTGCAGGTTCCAATGATGGGTCTCATCAAGCCGTTATTCTCACGCTCGTTACTCCTTCACACCGTTTTTTCACAGAATCACACCAGTGAAGCTCATTGTACTTACCATACAACTAAACTTTATCACCGTTTGGTAAATATAAGAAGCCTGCTCTTCACTTGTGACCGACAAGGTCGCGACTTCTGCTACTACTCGCTCTCCAAGTTCGGGCGTTTCCCTTGAGTCTGATCTTTTAGTCTCGGAGATGCCGCAGAGTCCAGTCTTTCTTGATCCTTTCTTCTATTCATATTTTCTCCGTGTGTTGTCCCCTAATGGAAGCCTAGTGTTTGTGTATGTGGAGCTCGGGTTCTTGCTCTAAAATACCTTTTACGACATGGCAACAAATCTTTGAAAGTTTCCGGGTGTCTCTAACTCTTCTAGGCAACAGTTCTAGTTCCCCGCAGCAATTGAATGGATCAGAACGTATATGATTGCCTCGTGTTCAAACTCTGAGTCACATCAGGCTTCGATTTTGCACTGGATTTGTGTAAAATGCTGTGCGATTGTTGTATCAGGATCCATCGAACTCATCAATGGTGGTCAAAGGTCGCCTTTCCTTCTCAACGCTTCTCGGAATCGACGAACACGAGGCTTCAAAATCCTAGGATCATGGGAGTTTGTGCGTATTCTAGCGGATCATTCCTGGATCTTCGAACAAATCGCAGTGGCTGTTTGGTTCTTCAAGCGCCCAAGTCGCACATAAAATGGCCGCGTCGTGGCCGCGAACTCCGACCGACTTCAAAACCACCCACTCACAACCACCAAATCTACACTTTCACCGTTCCAGAACATGCCAAGTGGATCTCATAATGGCGTTTCCCCGGTACACCACCATTCAGACTATTATCTGAAGGATGGTAATATCACCTTCCTCGTACGCCACACCTGTTTTTATTTATCTGTCGCGCTGATCATCACATGGAATCAGGTTGAAGACACGCTATTTCGTGTGCATAGACACTTCTTCGAAACTGAATCGCAATTTTTCATGAAGGAATTTGAACTTAGGGCTCCAAAAGAGGGAACTTCAGATTCCAGCGCCTTTCGACTCGATAAAGTAACCATCGCTGACTTTGCGAAATTCTTATGGGTCTGGTATAGTCCGTAAGCATTGATTCAAATCATTATATCCTGCAGGAATCGTCATCGATCACTGCACACAGCTCGTACAGACGGGAAAGTAAACCAAAAGATCATTGGCTTACCATATTGGAGCTCTCGACAATCTGGCAATTCCCAGAAATGAAGAAGCTAGCCATCGATGAGCTCCAGAAACTCGAAATCGAACCCATTGAGAAGATCACTACGTATGACAAATACCAGATCGACCAATCACTTCTCTTGCCTGCATATAAGCTCCTGTGCAAGCGGGCGGGCCGAATGTCCATCGAGGAGGGCGAGCAACTCAAATTGCACACTGTCCTCGGGATACAGGAGGCTCGCGAGCGTGCGATCAGGAGCGCAGCGGAGGGCGGGTGCCGTAGCCCGACCTCCGCTGATGTAGCCGACGAAGAGTTGGAGAGAATTTTGGTCGATGTATTCAGTCTTAAAGGTCACACCGCTAACCGACAGGGCGCGCCACCGCCGGCAAACGAAGTGCCAATCGTGCAGACTCCAAAGCCGCCTGTGAATGGAGCCACCAATGGTAGTAAGTCGTCTGCGTCGGGTTCGGTAAGTCAAATTCTTGGTCGAGTGTGTTGTGTGGCTGACTAAAGATAGTCTTTACAGAACGATAACAAGCAGAAAGACGCCAATAAAAATTCAGGATCAGTATGTAATCCGACTCACTAAACGTAATACACTGACACTGGAGAAATGTAGGGGAAAAAATGAGAAACGAATCGACGGATGACGAAAGTTGCTCGACTGTCCGCTCGACGAAATTCGTGATGGCAGAGAGTGGAGCATGCATTGGTTTATTTGTTCATTCCAACATTCATCAAGTCTGTTATCAGTCATGTACATCATCCACTTTGCATGATACCTTGGTCTCCGATTTCCTCTTCAATCATGTACTCTGCAATAAATTGTCGAAGCGCCAGTCTGAAGACTCGTAGTCTTGCTGTCTGGTGAGCAATAACCGCAGCTGATGTATTAGGAAGATATCTTGACGATCTCCGAATCACCAACTGTGTGCAGTGATTCATGTAAGCAAATTCAGGGACACGTGGATCCAGCACGATTCGATCAGGCCGAGAACAGATTAGGAGCTGTGAATGCTGGACCACGACGATGACTAGGTATCTTTGACAAAGCGTATGCCAAGAATGAGAATGTGTATGAATTTCCTCATTATCTCTGCAGCAGTCGCAGGTAGGCAAAGTGCGGGTACTATACACCTATCAGGGAGCAACGAGTAAGTGAGAGGAAAATGACAACGAGTACATACATCGGAAGTATTGACAGGATTCACAAAAATGAGCATCAACTTCTCAATTTCGTTGTTGTACAGTCACTGCAGGTTCAAATTATGAAGCGGTGTGTAATGAATTGTCAGGTTCTGCCGAGATTTCTGCAGTCTAACAGCAATGACAATTCTACCAAAATAATCAGACATTAGTATATGGATGATATTGTTGTTGCTTTGACAGCGTCTATCTTTGTCAGTGCGTGCACGGGTAAACCTTGCAAATAACAAAATGATTGCTGCGGTAGGTTTGACGTGTGCTTATGCTTTAGTAAGTATGAGCAGCTCGCTGTGCAACTAATATTCAACCACATGACTCGCCTGCGCGCCTTAGAATCGTGGTTTCATCTGTTTGTAGTAGTCGGTTGAAAATTAGCCGGCAGCCCGAGTGGTATGTCGCGACAAGTGAGTCAAGTTTCTGCTTTCACTTTGGTATCATGGTTGATGGTGCAATACCTAGTTCAGAGCCTGACGATCAATACAGTTGCTTTGGACAGATTTTCGTACTGCTCGAGCAATGTGAATATTGAATTTATCTGAAAATGATCGACCGTACCTAGTTTTGTTCGTGGCCCATCAAGCTTGAACCCGAGAAGTTGCCGAAAGAAGTAACCATGGCTGCTGGCGATACGATGAAAGTGAAAAACGGTGGCGGAAAAGATAAAGTCAAAAAAAACGTGTTATGATGCGACTTCCTGCGATTCCATCGAATCTACGTCTCTTCAACTATCACGTCTTCGCACCACAGTGAGGGGAAAGCGTTGCCAACAGGCATGTTATCAAACTCCCTGCAGTAAAGAAGTCGGACGAGTTGCTCAAATGCCCGGATTCAGACGAGACGATACGTCTTCTTGAGGCTAGATGGATGTTCCGCTACGAAGAGGACCAGATCAGCTGCAAGCCGAAGATGGGAAGCAATGCTTTACCTGACTTTTGCCTTGATAGGTGCCGAACTCAACATGAACCCATCGAGCCATGCGGAAATGGTTCCATGATGTTGAGTGCTTTTGGTACCGAGTTGACAGCTGGTTGGAATCGTGAATTTGTTCAGTAGATAGTAATTTCACACCAAGTTGCTGATGCGACTTGGCTGGCAACCTGCTGGCATTGCAAATATGCATAGGCAAAACGAATTTCAAACAACAGTTTTGAGCACATACTAAAAGCCAGCCGTCCTCACAAGTACTGTCTTCTTCAGAATTATCTGACACTATATCACGGGAGTCACAGATAATGCGTTTCTCCGCTGCAGTTGTCCTCGCCGTCATTGCTAATTTAACCTCATCAATCTCTGCCATGCCCTCTGCCACCGCTCCTGACACGGTTGGCGTCGGTAAATGTCCCACCTGGTGCAATGGCAATGACGATGTATGCAGTGAGTGCTCTTGGGAGATTTGCGTGAGTATCAGTCACGGTAGTTTTCCTGGATTTGATAATATGGCTCACCGGCGTGGCAGTACATTTTTTTCTGCATAGTGAGTCGTGTTTCTGCTTTTACATCCGTGCAGTATGGCTGTTGGCACTGACAGCACGAGTTAGTAGTGATTTATAGAGTTGATCATGTAAAGCGCAGTCAGGAAAACATCGTGGAGTTGACGTGATTTTCGTTCGATTAAGGTAAATGTCAGGTTCCTTCTTCAAGTTGGACACATACTGCAGTCAATTTACCCTTGTATGTTCACATTTCGCACGACATTCAAATTTGTCTTAAATATTGCGAACCCCGATAGGGATGTTCAATTCTAAAATGTCTACACCTTTTCACAGAGTATCCTCGTCCCAATCCTCGCTGTATAGAGCCCAGGTTAGCTACCTGAACATTCCCATGTGGGAGTAATAATTTTCCTAAACATTTATTCATGATACTTTTGAATCATTGATTTGGGGAAAGATTTAAACATTATTGAGCAATACTACATAGAATGGTTTACTGGGAATAGGATTAGGACGAGGATACTCTGTGAAAAGTAGATTTCGCAATAAACATGAGAAGCTTTGAGTAGTTAAAACTGGGCTCTAACAGCAATTGCAAGGAAGGATAATGACAAGATGTAGAGTGCAGTAGACGCAAGGTTTGACGACTAAATCAGGAAAGGTTCAGGGTCCACGTAAGTATTTACGAGAGGACAGCCGTAAGGTCAAGTCGACATTGACGACATTTTAGAATTGAACATCCCTGATGTGACGGAAGTTGCAGACGACGACGGCGTCCATTAGGACGCGACTTTGTGCGATTCTACGCTTTCCCACCATTGTACTTTGTTCATTTCGCATCCTCATCACCGGGGGAAAGCGTTGCCGACAAGCTTGCAACCAAACTCCCTGCAGTACTTAAAGAAGCCGGAAGAGACTCGAAGGCCCGGATTCATTCACGCCCACTATTGATCATGACGAGACGATACGCCTTTCTGACGCCAAATGGCTATTCAGTGACGAAGAGGGCCCGCTACAAGCTGAAGCTGAGTAACACTTGACCTACCTTTTGCTGAAAGAGACATCTTGATAGGTACCGAGTTCACGTTCGTAAACATTAACCCTTCGAGCCATGCGGAGATGACTCCGATACATCAAGTGGTTTTAATACCGGGTCAACAGCCGGTTAGAAACGCGAATGTCGAGTAGATGGTAATTCTGCACCAAATTGCTGATGGACCCTAGCTGGCAAGTGCTGGCATTAAAGATATGCTCGATGATCTGTTTAACCGTACAAGATGAATTTCAAATAACAATATTCAGCATATAAAAGTAAGCCGTCCTCCTACTGTTTTCAAATTATCTGATCCTATATCACACGACTCACAAATAATGCGTTTTTCCTCTGCAATTGTCCTCGCCATCGTTGCTGCGTTGGCCTCATCGACCTCTGCCAATCCCATTGCCGCGCATGAAACGGATGATGTATATATTTGTCCCAACTTTTGCACTTCTGACGACATATGCAAAGGGTGTATTTTAAGTCTTGCGTAAGTATCGGTAGTTCTCCTAGATGAGTGATAACATGGCTCACCTGCGTGGCAGTTCAAATTTTTTTGCATAGTGAGTCATGTTTCTGATTTCACATCGGTGCAGTATGACCCTTGGCACTGACGCACGAGTTATTAGTGATTTGTAGAGTCGGTCAAAGTGCATCGGTAGAGCTGGCATAGTTTTTGTTCGATCGAAATTCCCGACGAGTAGTCTGGAAAGTTTGAGGGAAACTTAAAGTCAGAAAGTCCTGTTTGTTTGTTCTGTTTGTTCTGTTCGTCCCTAGTACTGTTCTATTTTAAATATTACCTTGTTTCATCAGTGAACTGTCGGAGAGATGAGAAGAACATATATAATAATATATAGTACATAATCACAAACATCATCATAATTCTGTTATCGATCGTCACATTGTGATGTGACCTCATACAGGAAAGAACAGTCCCTAAAATTCCTACACCAGTTGATGCTCGAGAAAACACCCATACATCGTTCGAACTTCAACTTGAAGGGAAAGTGGAGGAAAAGTTGATAAATCAAGCTAGATGAAATGCAATTGGTGCGTCAGAAGTGAGTTTCACGATGTCAAAGCCAGGCATGAGAGTCGTAACCTTCCCGATGGCGATAATATGTGTACCAAGCGAGCAACGGTAAATTCCTTATCTTGCTTGGAATTTTGTATTTTGACAACAAAACGTTTACCAAGTGCGCGAGAACGAATTCACGTCCTCCTGTGAAGTTTGATGCCGCCTTCTTCAAATAGTCAATGTTTGTCCGCTGTATATCAATTGCGAACCAGTACACAAAAGCTTTACTCGTCCGTAGCCATGCAACATTCTGTGAGTATCGAACAAGAAAAAATGTATGCCCCCAGGCAAGGCAAACAGGACTCATTGTAGACAGACCACCAACAGGAGAGGGAGATTGGACCGTTTAAAACAGGTGAGGCTATAAGCTGGTGGTGCTAAGTGTGGCGTGCATAGGAGCGTGTCGGCTTGGTGTCGGCAACATTTCCGAATTTCGGAAATTTTCCATTTCCCGATTTTCCAAATTTGGGACGAACGGGACTTTCGAAAATTCCGGTATAATACAGGAAAGATCTGTTTGCAAAAAATGTCATTGCTTCTACAAAAAAAAGACTATGAGAAAGATTAACTTGCGCTCACAAGATGGATGTAATCTCAACCGCTTCTGTCTTGCCTCGCACTCCGTCGAATATCAATAGCTTTCTGAGCGCGGTGTTTCTTGGTCCCGGCAAATTCGATTCTAATGTCCTCGGAACTGTGTTCCGTGTCCGTGGCAGCAAAATTTGGTCCTTCAAATTTCTAGTATGCTTGAAACACCACAACCTGGTTATATTTCGCAAACTATTCAGAAAGGTGTAAGGCTATCTGCGAGTTCGACGGGGATCGTCGAATTAACCGATAGTAGAAGGGATCGAATGTATAATGAAAGACTTTTCTAACTAGAGTGCTGAGGCTTCTGACGAGAGGACGTTTCGGACGGAATGCGCGCGTGAATCTAGCGGGGGAGCAAAGACTGATCATAATGAGCGTACATGCGCGTATTTAAGTTGTGAAAATAGGGTAAGGGTCCTTGCTGTAACGAAAAGAATGATTTGGTGAGACGGAGAGTAGTGGCGTTGAGCCTAACAGGGTGAAACAGCGATAATAAAATGGAGTACGAGAAGTTTTGAATGGTTGGTGGTAATGGTGCAGTACGTTGAGCACCTGAGTGACGAGAATTTCGTATTGGTTTTGGCTGTTTTCGGTGTGTCAAGGGAGGGATTATGAAAATAGTGACGAAAGAAGGTTTATAGATGTCTGGGTATCGTGTAAGGAAGGCGGGAGAGCGAGCTGGTTGTCGACGACAGTGAGATAATGATAGTAAGAGACGAAGGATGTAACCTCGTAACTCGGATGCGAATGTGACGCTTGTTCGCATCCGTGAGTCACGTGGTTGGTTTGGACTTTCGTCCGAACGCTTGGTTTTGAAGCGCTGGTCGGGGCACAAAGGATATGTGATCCTTACATCCCCTCCCTACTTCGAATATCGACCGTCCTCGGTCGATCCTCTAACAAGTCATCATCCAGGGTTGTCTAGCGCTTGCATACCGGTATCGAGTTAGTTTCTCGATATCTGAAGTCTCGAGTCTGATCGATGCTAATGTTGTTCGACGCCTGCCATGCCTATGATACCGCCAGTAGAGCTTGCTGAGTCATTTTTACAGATACGGGGAGGCAAGTTGAACGCATGCCCAGGTGCTTATGACAAGAGCCTCATTGTCATGTCTCGGGCGTTCGATTATGCTGCGAAGCATCAAACACGCCCACGTGCCACTCTACGGCTCCGCTCTCCTTCTTTGTCTACCTCGACTTCCAGAAAATGGTGCTGTTTATTCCAGGTACCTTACCCATTCAGGCGTTCAAACATCATAATGGGGGGGGGGGGGGGGCTTTATAAACAACGCATGGGTCACAGGCTTGTATAAGTAAATGCTTTGTTTGCGGGACTTCAAGGTCGGTGTAGCTTTTGAAGAAAGTGGTAGGGCGTCATAATGAGGCCTGTGGAGCAGGGAGATCATCACCTGGCACGGAGAAATAGGGACTCGCTTACCGGAGCTATGTAAGCCCACTCCAATTGGATTTACTCATCAAAAATTGTCCAGGATCAGATGGAGTTTCGTCACTTGTTCATTGGATCGAAGTACGAAACTATGAAATAAGGAGACGTGGCTGATGCCACCACCACGCTCGATTGAATTTTCATGGAAAGGAAATCCAATCCAGTGTATTAACGATGTCCACTGCGTCGAAGCACATTTAATATTCAAAGTACATGGATAGTCAACTGGCGCAGAAGCATATAGTGGCAATCTCCGGATGGCTGCAAATCGCCCCGAGAGATAGATATGGACAGCAAGGGAGGAACATGACGACCAGCTTTTATATCCTGTATATGCTCAGCAGCACAATTCTGATCGATATGGCAAAATTGTTATTGCTTATCTGGCACAACTTTCAGCAGAATCTGCAGGAATGTACTTAATCTACCGGCATGCATCGACAAGTTCATTGAGATTGGTGCACGACAATATGTAAGCTGTCTTGGTTGCTGATGAACGAACGCTCGAAACCATGTGTATCGGAGAAGAACACGGTTGAACGTATTTAGTCTGATAGATATGTCATGGGTAGAGTAAGTCGTAAGTAGGGTAGTATCCGGAATATAAAGCAATAAGGAAAAACGTAATCCGCACCGTCATAGCTCATACTTGGCATGCATTCCACGCACAAAATATCGTGCATAATTAGTCCATAACCCACCACCTTACAGGCTGGCATGCACCGATCTCTGGGTGTAGAAGAATGGCAGAGAGCCAATACTGTAGTTGTCTCCGGCGACGATCGAGGAAAGCTGCTCGATAGCGGGAGAAAGGATATTTCGGGGGGAGGGCTGGGATAAAATGGTGTTGATGTTTCTGACGGGGTTACTGAGTACTGATATTTTAGTAAAATAAAATGAGGGTAGACGCACAGGCAATGAATGCTTCAGAGCATCATGCAACAGCACGAAATCGCTATACCGCTTATGTGCGTGAATAGTAGTATCCTATTTATGGTCATCTCGGATCTGAGTCACAAGACAGAAGGAATGCGAACTTCTTTTGTGCGAATCACACAATCATAGACGACATAAGCCCCACCTAGCTTATCGCCAACACTTGTCCACCCGGCGATATGCACAGCTCGGGCAAAAGCAAGACTCGTGCCTGAGTTGTCGTTAAGCCAGATGTCACGCGAGAAAATTGAGGGTGGCTCTTGAGGAGACTTTGGCCGGGTAGATGGGCGAATGGATACTTGATCCTGGATGGTGGTCAGTTAAGTACTTTGTGGGACAAAGAGGAGAGAAACGAACGTCACAAAACTCATCGTACAAACGTACTTCTGCTTCGACGTCAATCCCATCGTCCGGAATGACGACAAGAAGGCTTTCTGTATTTCGGAAAGGATGAGTGGGTGCGGGCATAGTGTCGAGACTCGAGACTTGACAGTGAGCTTGGGAGAAAGGTTTCCCCGGATGACAAATCGAGCTGATGCGAAGCCCATTACTAACTAACTTATTAGCTTCTGCCACATGTCGAACCGTCATTGCACATTATGAAACACCTGTAAGGCTGTATTAACTTATGATCTTCATAGTGACCTCAGTCACTGTCAGACTCTGCCTTGGCCCTTGAGCGATGCACCGTGAGTATATCCAAGGCTTGAGAGGTTTTGTCGGTGAAACAGACCCGCGGGAAATATGCACGTCAGCTCGCACGGGCGTTTAGGATTTTGTTGGAAGATGCATATCGACAACGCATTTTCATGGTATAGCCACTGTACTATGTACAAGGTTTTTTAACGGTGCGTCATCCGTCATGCCCATCTGCGGATGGGAATGATGTATCGAAAATTTTGCCATCACACTGCTGCAGGGGAATGAAGACTAGGAAATAACATATACCACATTGCCGGGCTGCTATTTGTCCCTTCGTACGTTTATACTTCCTGTCTGTGGATGGGAATGAAAAGTTATATTTCGTCTCCTCAGACAGATACAATATGTTTGGCTTTGATCAGAATGAAGACTATGATATACATATATCACCGCAGTCGTGCTGTTTTTTGTGAGTCCATATTTTCTGTCACACCACCCGCTCTGCACTATTGCATATGATACTAAAACAAAAGCAGAAACATGACTCACAGTCACGACGTGTCCCTCTGGCTGCCGTTTCCATCTTCATTTGCCGCCTCTGTAACACACCCGATCTTGATCCTAAGGCACACAGGTGAGTTAATGTGGTTGAATCCTGGTTATACAGCGACTGCTCGTACTCACCTCAACATATCCACAATACAAAGCATGGCCGCAGCAATCGGTATCTAGTTTGCAAGGTTGAGTCTCATTGGCACATGCACTAACAAACATAGGTGCTGTCAAAGCAAAAACGACGGCGAGGAGGGAGAAACGCATTTTCTGTGCGAGGTTGATATGGGATATTCTGAGGGGGATCTCAGAATGATGTCTCTGAGGATGGAGGAACATTGTAGGATGACGACCAGCTTTTATATCCTGTATATGCTCAGGAGCACAATTCTGATCGATATGGCAGAATTGTTATTGCTATTATACGGCACAAGTTTCAGCAGAATCTGCAGGGGCGTATTTAATCTGCCGGCAGGCATCGACAATTTTCTTGAGATTAGTGCACGTCATCCTGTGAGGTGGTGGGTTATATAGAATAGGCGTCAATCATTACTATGTATGGCGTTCTTCACGCGGAGTGGCGCTGTAACGGTGCAGACAATTGCATTTTGTTATCGTGAGGCCCTGGGGCACGCAGGCTTGGCGCCGACCCTAAAGGGCTGCGCAATTCATTTCGTTCGCGTTCAACTCAGCTCGCGCAGCGCCAACACTTGATCTAATGGGTTATTTACAAACAGTCTTGAGCTTGAACCACATCCTAAACCTCATCATTCATAACCATCAGCAGACCCAACCCTTATCTAAACCTTGTTAGGTGCTTTAAGACTGATTGTATATACCAACTTGTTTTCAAAGGTAATTGTTTGGCTGTAATGTGCCTCTGCATGGTGCGGAGGTTGCTGATGGGCCTTTGTGTATTCCACCACCACTTACAGGCCATGTTCGACCTCTGATACACTTACAATTACCGTAGATGTCCCTTGCTATAACCTTACTCCGAGCCTCGAGAGACTGTCCCGATCCGAGATTCAGTCTAGTCTGACTAGCGATGTTCCAGCCCAGCTTGGGCTTGGCTTCGAGGGGCTCAGGCTCACGAAATTCTGAGCCTAGGCCGTGAGCCCAAGCCGGCCCAAAGTCAGGGCTTGGGCCCAACCAGGCTGCGGCTTTTGGAACTTGAAGCCAACAGATGCTCAAGACTATGCTTAGGGTTCGTACGAGCGTTCTCGCGGTCGTCGCCGAGAATCGTCTTTGAAGGCATCATCAGGATGCATGCGCTTGTTTGACGAGGGAATAGCTGAGGGTGGGGGAGGCACGGGCTTGGGTTGGGCAGAAACCTCCAAGCACGCTTGGCTGCCTCGGTAGCATGGAATTCGTTGATGGCTTTGGTTTGAGATGGAAGGGCGGCCTTCTCGAAGTGTTGGAGGAGGGCAGCCGTGGGTTTGGTTCTGCGTATGGGACGAGGATGCACGACAGGTTTGTCTTCGCTATCTGGTTCAACACCGGGGTAAATATCAGCGAGCTTTCAATCACAAATAACATGGCGATGGAGACTCACTGTGATTGAATTCTGACATATCTCATGGTATGATGGACTGAGAAGCTGATACCAACTCGTCAGATGCAACATAAACGTAAACAGAAACACCAAAATAGATAGTACTGCCGCTAGCCGTAGGCCGGTCCTAGGCCTGGGCTATCATAGGCGGGGCTGAATCAGGCCCGGGGCTTAAAGCCGAGCCAGAACATTACTAAAATTTGTGCGGCAAAGAATCCTCCACCTCAAACATTGTGCCGGTGGAATTGTGCTCCTTGCTCGCTTGCACCCTTTTTTGGAATCCTACACGCTCTCGGACAGTGATGAATTTCAGTGCATTCTAGACCATGAGTTTGGTGTGTTTCTGCTGCTGTATCCTTCTCACTTTCCGAGGATTTGTCCTCTCATAATCTAGAACTCCTTCGTGTCACGGTTAGATCCCAAAGGTAAAAGGAAAGTGTCGGACGACGCCGAGGACCATTCTCCAGCGAAGAAATATGTGTTTAAAAGAGATGCCTTTACGATGTTTGACTGATAGACTCGGTGATCTCAAAGGGTCGTCAAACGTATTCCTGATGCTCGAATGTCGTTAGCCTTGTTAGTATAACCTGGTGGATTATATAAATGTTGTTTGGATAAGACAGGGAATAAGAACAAATACTCACCTTGAATGCACGCTTTATTGGTGGCCCATCTGCCATATCCTTCGATACAAGACGTCCGGCTAGGCTTGACGGTCCGACTCGGAGTTGGCTGTCACTTTCCTGGACTCATGTGCCAACTCACATTCAGGGTTATCTTATCCAAAACTATCGAACGTTGAACCTGCAGCAACGCCGGCTATGTCAGCCCTTTCCCAATGCGTTACGCAAGCGACTGCGGAGATCATCTTACTCGCTCACTGAGCACCACTTGCCGCAGTGGAGGTTTGTATCATGCGGTCTGGTTCATAGTATCAAACTATCAATTCAACCCAAGCAGAAATCGATTTAGTTGCGTCTTGGTGTGCAGAGACACATATCTTGGAAGGCTGAACTTGAAAGATTGGTCAATGATTAATAATATAATATGGACTGTAGACGTGAGCTGAAGAGTCAAACTTATCATGATCATACAATTTATGTGTTACGTCAACTTGAATGTCACGGTTAGGGTAAAATTTTAAAATGTCCGAAGCTCATCAATCATTGCTCAACGTCATGACATACTGTTTCCAACTTTTCTTGAAGTGGACGCAACCCCTACTTGCCTTCAAGCAAGAAAAGATTTGACAGTTTGTAGTTTTTTGCATTGACCCTGCCTTTGACGCTCAAGCCACGATGATGTTCTGTTAGCTATCTCTACAAATACACGGTCTGTGGCACTTAGGACGGTGGCAATTCCAGGTGAGAGCATATCATTCATCTTTGACCTTCAACTGACACGCTAAAGGGTCGCAAGTGTGAAGGACATGGTTATCTTAAGTGCTTGACACTGCTTGTATCGTATGATTGGTTGCCGCAGAGGCTCCACAGGGTTGAAAACATTGATGTGGGAGACTTTTGTGTGTGTCCCTACCTGCATTTCATCCTGATAAGACAGGGATTTTTCAGTCAACAGGATGACATTCGCGAAACACCCCCAACGCACGTCTGCCATTTCTGCCCACGTCTCGCTATGGTTGACTGGCACGATCCTGACCTCGAAGCTAAATTGAGGACACTTTCAGTACAGTTGTTGTATGCTATCTTTGGCTTATACGGGTGAGTGCTGCGCGTTGTAATGTCTTAAATGTGGTACCAATCAGCCTGCGTCCGCGTCTGTAGTTGGGAATACATACGCTCCTCACACGTGGAGATGTCGCTGCTTCGGAGGCAGCTTCCATTTCGATGGACTTTGGTGCGCATTTCTCGAGGGAGCAGTGGAAGCTTACCATTTACACATGCCCAGCTCTCGTACATTACCGCCAGATTCAGCTTCTTGATTGTAACAGTTTTACTGTAAGCCGACATAAAAAAAAGTGACAAGCGTAGTAACAGCATTCGTCAGCGCGATGCAATTCAGCCCATTTTACAGAAGCGTTGATTGTCAGAGTGAGTGTTTTGCATATTTTGATCTTCGTTAATGAGGCTTACTTCGACCTAGGCATGAATTACATCATCATGGTGAGCACGGAAGCTCGAGGTAGCTGGTTTATCATCATAGTACTAGTTGACGACAAACATCGCCCTCGGTTGCTCCGCAACAAATCTAATGATCAGAACGTGAACCCTTAATTATTTCTCACATAATACTTAATCTCATAGTATACATATGCAGGTGGCTTATCTGGAAGACCAGTTATCTGCTGCGCCTCTTCCTAGTCCTCCTCTCGCTAGGTTATTGGACAATGCTCACTCTCTGTGCGTATTTGCTGCCTTCTAGTGTGACTAGGCCAACCATTTTCTAGTCGTTGTAACCGCTCGCACATCTACCATAAATGGGGTGTGCATGATCAGCTATGTCAAACCTGCATATGCTAGTGCGGTGGTCATATATAGTATGCATGTTGCATTTATGATCAATGGATACACGATAATCAGTACCTTGGGTGTAGCCATGTTGTACGACTTGGCACTTTTGGTCTTCACCATCATCGGACTTCTGAAGATGTCATCGCCTTCTATGCTATGGAAGAAGCTCGTGAAACAAGGGACGATATATTTTATCCTCAGTGTGGTAGCAAACCTTATCCTACTGGTGTGTTCCTTGTTACTCTGCAGGATTGTCGCGGACCAAACTTTGTAGGTTTTCAACCGTTTGGACCTGAATCGTAAGTATATTTCACTGCACTGCAAACGCCTACTCACTCTATCTCATCAGCTATTATGAATTCTATGTTCGCAATACCTGGTATGTGCCCATGGTTTGATTGAGTTCATGTCGCTGACCTTCTAAAAGGGGTGTGCATTTGGTCAGGACTCTCATTACGACTTCCTGCTTGCCGCATTACCTACTTTCGTTTGCAGCACTATTGCATCTAGCCAAGTGGTCCTCTCGCTCCTCCGTCCTTCGTCCGATTATGAAAGGTTTTTCCTTTTTTTCTTCATATGTGTGTTACTAGTCTTATTCGTTGCGAATAGTGACAAAGCGTCGTCGGCTAAAGCGCCTGCGCTGACGAGTGACTTGACCATTTCAGGGTAAAAATCTTTGTCTGAAATGTGTGTACCGCAGTTCACTGTTCGTCCAGGTTCTCACCCGTATCTGAAGCCTAAGAAGGTATTTGTGTAAACCACCCAAATTACTACACCGTCCCTATGTAGTATGTACATAGTTTCATGATTTGTACTTCGTCTTCGATGTATGATAGTGCATCCTAGCTAAACTTGTCTTGTCTTATCTCTGATACAAAAATCGAATTTTTGATATAATAGACTGCCTAACTATAGTTGACACAACTGTGTACCAAGCCTGATAAGTCTTGCTGATCAGGATAGCCAGGTGGTGTCGAATTGAACGAAATACAAATACTACGGTACAGTACGGAGAGAGCATAAAAATCGTACATCTCGTTCCACTACGTGGTCCATTGTCGTCAGTTCATCGCCAGGCCAACTGACGTAGCTCTCTGTTTAGACATAAAGTCTTTTTAAAAGCAAAGAGAGTAGTACCTCTCACGAGAGGGGTACCAGAGACCCAGCACTAGAACCACCATAAACACAATCCATCTTTACATCTGGCAGAGGGTGATCGCTTGTCCCTTTTCAAAAGCGTCAATGCAGCATCATTATGAGTGTACAAGTACCCTACCAGCATGACAATACGGAATTTCATCCTTCTTGTGTCCTCACCACATCACAGGCGACCACTCGTCTACGAGGTCGGCGAGTGTTTGAAGGTGGCCGTATGCAGCCGGCTGAGGACCAGACGGTCGGCGCAATGCCATTATGCGATGAAAGTGAAGAAACAGGCAAATATGAAGAGCGCAATACATAAGTTCCAGATCTGCAAGAATGTGTGATAATCGTAATAATGTTACATGGGCAAGCAAGTGCGAACCTGGGGAATGTACATAGAAATTGTCAAATTTATTAGGTTATTGTCATAGCAGGCTCCACCAATTATCACGAACGAAAGCCCAAACATCCAGTCTGTGATCGTCGAAGATAGGGCTCGGTAACACTGGCAAGAATTCTAGGCATAATGACTCGCGCAGGAAAGGCTTCGCGACAAAAAGTATGAGACAGATCGGATCAGTGAAAATCGACTTGAGCGGGTTTGTTGCCACTGTTAGTCCTTTACTTCTGGTAGCGCATCTCCACTGTTTTTCATCTCGAATGACGTTCACGATGAGCTCTGAGCAATGCAGCCCAAGCGTCAACGGCGCCTGGACAACTGCAATATTGACAAAGAGCAGAGTCCACCCCTCAACGTCGTTGTTATATGGTATAAGATATGTGACGAGAGGGGAATCCTCATTCTGGAAGAATGACCAAATTTGTAGGATCGGCAGGGGGCCGTAGAGGCGGTCACAGATATACATGGTCAATGCTGCCCATCCAGCGCATGCGGCAACGATCACCCAAAGAGAAATGTTAACTTTCCGGATGCTAGGATGAGCATGCCACGCAGGGGGCTGGGTGTCTGGTGGCTTCGCTGGACCTCCATACGTGTCTAGGTCAGACACACGACGCATGCACCGGAAAGTAGCAGGGACCAATTGCGTGTGGTGGACCAGTGCAGCGGTCAAGTCGAAAGGCGAGGAGCTCCACGTCAAGATTTTGACAGCTCGCATCCCTGACAATGCGATCATCACCTGGAGGAGGATCGCGACACCCAAAACGAGGAGAGGTAACCCTACGATGGCGAGACTCGCACTAAAAGATGGTGCAGTGTCTGTCCCAATCATAGATATTGTGTCCGTAATCACGAGTGAGGCCGAGCTGTAGGATATAATAAGGAGTACAGCCGAGATGCCGTTAAGCAGGGCGCCGTTAGGGTTATACCATCCACGAGCTGCGGTCAAAAGACGCAGATTAGGGTTGAAACGAAGTCGAGACTCTGCGGCTAGCGCAGAGCGCAATGAGAGGCCGTGTACGAAGCCTATGGACTCGGTACATAACATGACGATTAAGTCAAGTATCATGGTCAATATCTTCACCTGCAGCGGGACTTGAGGAAGCATTTCATACACGGTCATGTTGAGCGGGGTTATTCTCATGATTCCGTGATTGGCTAAAGCGACAATCCCTGCAACGATGCATAAGCAACTAAAGATAGTTGCACATACCACTCCGACGAGGGCATATCTGCGACTCGTCAGACTGCGATCATAGAAATCGGTTCCGGTATCAGCAGTGGACATCTCATCAGATATCATGGATGGTGATCCAGGAGTGCGTTATACGCAAGGAGGCTGGATAGATGCCAATTTTCTTTTGTCGGTTTGAAAGAAGTTGCTATGAGACGCAGAGAAGGCCAGCGTATTATAGACACGCAGAATAAATATATTTCACTTATGACCATAGCCCCTGGTGCATGCGACTTCGTGATGGAACAGCAGTCGTGCGACACAGTATTTATATGTATCCGGTGCAGCGTTGATTTGCATCCCATCGCAGTGCGGCAATACTGGAGGTGGACGTGTGCTGATCATTGAGAGCCAGTCAAGCCCAACGTACTGCACGCATCCGTGCAGGCAGGCTGCTGTCCGTTAATCAAAAGAAGTAATAAGCAAGGATGAGGCCACTCGGAAATATATGGGAAATAATGTTAGAGGTTGAAACTTCAAAGTGCGCCACCCTTGCAGGTGTGAACCATCGGAAAGTGATATCAAGCAAATATACATACCTCGATGGTGCAGACGACAATTTCAACCCAGGCGCGATAAAACTGTTTCTCTTCCGCAATTTGGCAAACGTCCAAAAAACTTCATGAATAGAACGTACGAGCTCATAGAATGCAATTAGTCACGAAGCCTGTTCAACAAACCATGTTGACTGACGCAACGGACTAGGTATTAATGAGATTTGGTCATGTGCGAGATCGTCGCACGTCGGAACTTTGCGAAAGCGGTGCCCCCTGGATATATCCCCACGTTAGTCGGGGATTGCTCTGTCAAACACAAATGGATTCCCTTCCCCGATTTCCCGGGCCTTTGGCTTGTGCTGAAGCGCAGCTCGTACCTGTATCACTATTGAATGGTTTACTAATTGGTACCAATCCCTTGCTGCATAGGTAACAATGTCAAGTCAACGCCATGACACACTAGGTCACGTTTCAATTCACATTATCATTGAAATGAATGCAACCTTTAAGCATGGAAAGATTTCCCTTACGACAGTTGCCTGACAATTTTACGCACTGGTCATAAATTTTGGTACTAACCCTGCCTTTGACGCTCAAGCTGCCAAGATGCTCTGCTAGTTCCAGACGCTACTTCTACGTCTCTGCTACTTACAGAGGCAATTTCAGGTGTGACTGTATCATTCATCATTGACGTTTAACTGACACGCATTTATTTTGGTGGTCTAATGGTGAAGGGTCGCAAGTATGAAACCATAAGGATCTCGAGTGCCTATATCATATGATCGGCTACCGCAAAGGCTCTATTGAATTCGAAAGGGTTAAAAACGTCAATGTGGGAACTTTCATTGTACCTACTCTGCATCTCGTCCTAATAAGCCAGAGATTTTTCATCCAACAGGGTGTTATTCCCGCAACATACACCTACCATTTCTACCCATTTCTCGCTATGGTGGACTGGCACGATCCTGACCTCGAAGCGAAATTGAGGATACTTTCAGGACAGCTGCTGTATGCTATCCTTGGCTTATACGGGTGAGTTCTGCGCGTTGTAATGTCTTAAATGCAGCACCAATCAGCCTGCGTCTATAGTTGGCATTATATGCGCTCTTCACACGTGGAGATATCACTGCTTCGGAGGCAGCTTCCATTTCGATGGCCTTTGGTGCGCATATTCGAGGAAACGGTGGAAGCTTAAGCGCTTACCACTTATACATGCCTAGTTCTCGTACCTTACCGCTAGATTCAGCTTCCTGATCACCATAATTTTGTCGTGAGTCCACATAGAGAAGGTGACAAGCCTACTAACAGCCCTTGTCAGTGCGATGCAATTCAGTCCCTTTAACACAAGCTTTGACTGTCAGAGTGAGTGTTTTGTCGATCTTAATCTTCGTCAAGCAGGCTTACCTCGATTTAGACATGAATTTTATCAACATGGTGAGCATGCAAGCACCCGGCAGGTTGCTGGTTTACCATCATATTGCCTAGTTTTCAGCGAACGTTGCCCTCGGTTGCTCTACAACAAATCTAATGATCAGAACGTAAATCCTAAATTATTTCTCACATCATGCTCGATCTCATGGTATATATATGTAGGTGGCTTATCTGGAAGACCAGTTATCTGCTGCGCCTCATCCTAGTCCTCCTCGCGCTAGGTTATTGGACAATGCTCACTCTCTGTGCGTATTTGCTGCCTTCTAGTGTGACTAGGCCAACCATTTTCTAGTCGTTGTAACAGCTCGTGCATCTACCATACACGGAGTGTGCATGATCAGCTATGTCAAACCTGCATATGCTAGTGCGGTAGTCACATATAGTACGCATGTCGCATTTATGATCAATGGATACGTGATAATCAGTACCTTGAGTGTAGCCATGGTGTACGATTTGGCACTTTTGGTCTTCACCATTATTGGACTTTTGAGGATGCCATCATCTTCTACGCTATGGAAGAAGTTAGTGAAACAAGGAGTAGTATATTTCGTCGCCAATTTGGTAGCTAACCTTGTCCTACTGGTGTGTTCCTTGTTTCTCTACAGGGTTGTCGCTGACCAAACTTTGTAGATCATGGGTTATGTGAACCTGAATCGTAAGACTATTTCACTGCATTAGAAATGCCTACTCACTCTATATCGTCAGCTGCCATGAGTGATATCTTTGCAGTGCCTGGTATGTGACCGTGGTTTGACTGACTTCACGTCGCTGACCTTTTCAAAGCGGTATGCACCTGGTCAGGACTCTCATTACAACTTCTGGTTTGCCGCATGACCTACTTTCATTTGCAGCACAATTGCATCTAGCCAGGTGGTCCTCTCGCTGCTCCGCCCTTCGTCAGATTATGAAAGGTTTTTCCTCTTTTTTTATCTGTATCTGTCACCAGTCTCATTCGTTGTGAGTAGTGACAACACTTCGTCAGCTAAAGCGCCTCCACTGACGAGTAACTTCGCCGTTTCAGGGTAAATTTTTCCGTCTAAGAGGCATGTACCGCGGTTCACTGTTCGTTCAGGTTCCTGCCCATGGCTGGAGCCTAAGGGTATTTGTGTGGAGTCACCCAAATTATTGCACTAACCCTATGTACATTGTTTCATGAGAGGATTCCGAGTCGTACTTGGACTTTGATGTATCCATTCTAAATTGTGTCTCTATGATGCAAAACGAGATGCCAGCGGCGCTCGCAAGTTTGATGGAGTCTTCATGCATGATTAGACGCAGACTAAACATTCTCTGTAAGCCAGCAAAAGGACTTCACCTTCCGTTACGTCCTCATCTGGGTGCCAGTCGCCTGGAAAATGTAGCACACATAGTACAGTGTCCGTGTTGTTTGCAGATGAAGGGACTTACCTCGAATTCTGACATGGGTCACTTTCGTTCATTATTGCTTGTGCGATGCTCTCGGATTGAGAGAAACGACTTCAACCGTTACAACGAGCTATAGCCAACGATGGATGCGAATGCTCGGTATTTCACAGTGGCGGCGTGGCCTTAGTTATATGATCTATAGATTTCGAACGCTGCATCATGTAAAACATTGGCGAGCGCTAATTGAGAGCGATGGACGCTTTAGGCTAGAGCCGCTGTCTCTATCTGTAATTGCACTGCAACGTGGGGGACTTATAATTTCAACATCGCTACCACAACGTGGGTCTCCGAGTTAGCACAGTCCATCCATAGCCTGCATAGTGTCAGACACCTTCTCTTTCTTGCGTCGTCCAGGTAGCCCACGTCGGGCACTGCTCCTGATCTCAGCGAAAGCAGTTTCAAGAACGAATTGACAGTGTCCAATATGTCGACAATATCCACTCAGCTGCGCAACTTCAAGGAACCTACTAAGGATCAGTTGACTCAGGTTTTCTTCTCAATACCGGAGGTGCCTCCTGTGCCTCTTAAGGGCACAGAGAAACAGAGTTCTGGAGATATAGAGAAGATGGAGATCAACGCCATTCTCAGCTTAGGTGCACAAGAAGTGGAGGACTCGTATGTAAGTGGCATATCCTCGTCTGCGTACGATATCTCATCGTTTGATCGGACTCAGGCAGGAAAGCTACACTTGCTTCCACCATATCTCGCGTTTTCCTCCCTGGATCGCAAGTCAGTCAGGTTCACATTGCCCCTCTCCACAGTACGACGCGTCGAACGCCTCAATGCGCGTGCTGGAGTTTACGCATTGAGTCTCTCCACTTGGCACGGCATGAAGATAGTAGGTGATATCGACATCATCTGATACCGCCATTGACACTCGTTCAGATTGTGCAGTTAACGTCCCTTCGGCCTACTGCCGACCTGTTTTGCAGTCTCTTGCGGGAAGCACTCAAAGCGGAGCTGCAGCGTGGTCAGATGAAAGCTGTGAAAGGCTTTGTGAAAACTTGCTACTCTGAAGGGCTTGTGTCGCTATCGGGCGTCTCAGACAACGAGCGAGAGGACGGAAGTCTTATCACGGAGACAAAAGAAGGATGTTTACCTCCAGAAATAGAATTCCACGGTGGCCTAGGATTGCAGTTTAAGTTCCCTGGTGATCCAAAGAAGTCAATCTTTTTATACATACTTTATGCCTTGCACTGACGCGCTTCAGGTTGCGCGAGGCTTCAAAAATCAAGCTATGGACGACGTATCTAAAGAGTATGCCTTATACTTGTGTTGCATTTGAAACGATTGACCATGATGCAGATCACGGCCGCAATCTTACATTACTAAGATATCCACAGTGTACTCGATTGGTTCAGGTCGGCCTCCCCAATCGTCTTCGTGGTGAGATGTGGGAGACATTGTCTGGATCTATATATCTTCGCTTCTCCAATCCTGGAGTATACGATCAATTACTGTCAGACATTCAGGGGACGAACAGCACAAGTTTCGAGGATATTGAGAAGGACTTGCATAGGAGTCTTCCGGAATATGCAGGCTATCAAGCTGACGAGGGCATCAGCGCTCTTCGTAGAGTACTACAAGCCTACTCGCACAGGAACCCAGAAGTTGGCTATTGTCAGGTACGTTTTTCTCGTGTTTTGCCATTCGTTGATTCTGATTCATGTTTAGGCGATGAATATATTGGCAGCTGCGATTCTAATGTCAGTGTTTTTCTTTCATGGGACGTATGCTATCTCATGTTGGTGAAGTTACATGTCAGAAGAACAAACCTTCTGGCTTCTCGAGGTTCTGTGCGATAGACTTCTGCCTGGCTACTATAGGTATGTCTTTCCTAACAATTTGCTGTTACTATCACTAAATACATCTAGCCCAACCATGCATGGAACACTTCTGGATCAACGAGTTTTTGAATCTCTTGTGACACGGTGCTTGCCAATGATAAGCGACCACTTTCAGGCGGTTGACGTACAGCTCTCGGTCGCGTCTTTACCCTGGTTCTTGAGTTTGTCAGTGTTCATGACAATTTATGTTCTACGCCGGACATGACTCGCTCTTCCCAGATATATCAATAGCATGCCTATGGTTTTTGCCTTTCGCATTGCGGACTGCTTCTTCTGTATGGGTCCGAAAGTGCTCTTCCAAGTGGGGTGAGTCTTTTTGTCGTTTCGAGCTTCTATGTGACTCACAAACCTGTCAGGTTAGGTCAGTGTACCTCGCCTCCAATTGAATATACCTGCTGACTTGTAGAGTAAAGCCATTCTCAAAATTAATGGTGAAAAGCTATTACAAATACAAGACGATGGGGGCTTCTTAAAGTGGGTTGATTTCCATCCTTCACGGCTTATACTCACTGCGACTAGCTTGATGCGCGAATACTTCGCCTCGCTTGGTGATTCTGCACATCCAGAGTCCGCAGATCCTCGAACAAGGGCGATAACACGCTTCCAAGAGCTACTTCTAATCTCGTTTAGGGAGTTCGCTGTGATTTCTGACGAGACGATTCTTTCCGAACGTAGAAAGTATAGAAACGAAATCGTCAACAGCATTGAATCCTTCTCTAAGCGCTCGGCGGTCAGAAATCTGAAGACGCTCGGAAGATTTACCAAAGAGCAAGCTGGGTTCATATACGATGCTTTGTACAAGGCCATGTGCGAGGTTCCACCACCACCGGCTGTTACTCCAGCGCCATCGCTCTTGACCACGAATGATGGGATCCAGGAAAAAGCAGAAACTAGGATTGGTATACCGACTTTCCACGTTTTTCTCAGTGAAATCTTGACCTGGGCACGGAGCGAGAAGATTGTAATCAATGGTTTCCAGGTAGTCCTACGGTCTCTATATCTCGATTGCTGATCTTGACGCAAATAAAGCAACGCATCGACCGTGAAGTTGCAGAACACGAGCTCATCGACCGTCTCTTTTATTTCTGGGACACGTCGTGCAAAGGCTCTTTGTCGTTCCAGGCATGTTTCTCGATGAAGCAAAGAATTTAATGCTCACGAATACCCCCAGGATCTTGTATCTGGTCTAGATGGTGTGATCTTCAATGATTTGATGGAGAACATTGAATGGTTCTTTAATCTGCATGACAAGAACAAAGATTGCTATTTAACTAAGGATGAAGTCCTGACCCTGTCCGAGTCTTTTCTCGTCAGTCTATCTGCTTTTGCCGACGTTCAAGGCTGACTAGCCCTAGTTCATTTTCCGTCATGAGATCGGCGACGCCTACCTAGGAGCCGTCAGCAAATTCATGACCAACGCTTTCGAGTATGGTGATAGTCTTCTGCCACAGCACACCGATGGCAAGACCGGAGCAACAGGACCTGGAAATATCGAGCACAATCAGCCATACCTCAACGTTGCTACGTGCGTCACTCCGTATGACCCCGTACCATCATCTTACACTTGCCACAGGTTCCGTATGGTCGTTCTAGCTGACGAGGTCTTGGAGTCGTTCTTCGAAACTGATCTTTCTGCCTCGTTCAGGCTAGAGCCCGTTCCCGACCTTGAGTTACCTCCGGCATCAAGTGGCTTCTTGGGTGATCTGTGGTCTAACATCGCTACCCAGGATAACAAGAAGATGTTCAACAGATTTAGCGACGAGCTTGGCAAGACCATAGGCAAGCATCAGGTATTACAGTTAGTATGATTATCGCTCGACAAATTTGACGTTCTGCTTGCAGGTCATTTATCGACCTACAATAGGACGATTCACAAAACTCGAAGAACCGACGGCCCGGGAGTCACTCATTTCTCCACTATCCAAGACTACCTCGGGAACTTCTTTGGATAATACGGCGGTATCGAATTCATCTGCGACTCTCGATGCGTCATCCATCCACGACCATGGTCCATCATCCGCCTCGGTGTTTTCTCCGATGCCGCATCTCAAAGTGGTCAATGCAGCATTCATGGAGCGCACGCCGTTTGCCATTGACGACGCAGGTGATGATGACGATGATAGTGATTTAGACATGGTCCATGGCGAAGATGATGATCAAGTTTTGGACGAGGTGAGTGCTTTTCTTCATGCAAGTATATATGAGGATACTCAGTGCCGTAGGTGGATGCCTTTTTGGAGGCACATGATTCAGGGCTTACTGAAGCAGACAAAGAGGTGGCAAAGGGTAAGATATCAGTTTCTGTTTTTGTACCTGATTTCTGATCACGTTGAATCAAACCCAGATCTTCTTAATGCTGAACCTGTCAAGTAAACGGGTGTTTACAGTGTTAAAGCTTTCAACTTCATGCTATCATTCAGCTTTCCGTGCATTTGCGGGTTATATATCAATTGTAGGATAGTGTACACGACAAACAAACCGATGCCAGAACTAAGTGTACAAGACCAGCACACAATACACATTCCTCACTGTCGATCAAGATGTTGACCCACAATCAGACCATATGCGAACTGTAAGGTCTGACTCGATGGAGCCAGACGCAATCATGTTTTGCTGTGGGTGAGTAGCCACAGCAACGACAACACCTGAACAGCCAATTAAGTTGTCAAACCTGGCAAGGAAATATGGTCCTCACCTCCATGTCCTTCAAGAACTTGCACAACCTCACGACTTTGAAGATCCCATATATAAACCTTTTGGTCTTCACTCCCAGAAACAATCCATTTCCCCCCTGTAACACTGAAACAGGCCGCTATACAGAACATCTCATTACGATGACCCGTGTATGTTTTCAAGCAGCGTGACGTGTGATAGTCCCATAACCTGATCGCACTATCATGAGCAGTTGAGAGAATGTACTTGGAGTTGGGTGAGAATTGTACGTGTTGGCTGAAGATCCATAGAAGATCAGGGAACGAGATATGCAGCGGCAGCTGATAGACATACCATACGGCATCGTGTCCTTCAGCGAGGGTTTTCAAGCATTGACCCGTTGTGGTGTTCCATATCCGGCTGTGGCTGCGTCAGACAAACAAAGAAGTAATATGTTGCACTCACATTAACCCATCAAGAGCACAAGAGACTATCAGGGTGGCGTCTCTGTTGAAGTGCACGGCAGTAACATAGTCAAGATGCGCGTGCAAAGTCTTCATGCATTTTCCTTGGCTCGATGTGAGAGACTGGCCAACTAAATGTAAGTAGCCTTTGCGCACCTCTTGCGACGTTCCATATTCGAACATCACCGTCACAACCTCCGGAAACAAGGAGGTTGGATGCTGTGTTGTAATTTACACAAAACACGAAACTAGAGTGCCCTTTGAGGTGTTTCGTTGTTAATCCCTGGCTTGCGGTATGAGTCAACCGGAGGATAATTCCGTCATTGATGACTTACAGAATCAACGTTCCATATTCTTACACTGGTGTCATCAGACGCCGATGCGAGATACACACCGTCTGTTGACCATGCGATATCTGAAAGTCCTTTGGTGTGGCCACTCAAGTTTCTGATTAACTCTCCTGTGAACGGAGACCATATTTTTACCAGATTATCTGCGGCTACACAAACAAAAGCTATTTCAAACATGACAAGTCCTAGCGAGCTGCATACTAACCGCAAGATGCAAGTAGCGTTCCGTCAGGACTAAATTTAACGGCGGATATAGACTGCGTATGTCCCCTCAGTATATGACGAAGTTCATAATTTGGCTTTTCTCGCGTGCTTGACGTTGCCGGTGGCGGCGCTTGAGGGACTGGCTGAGGAGGTTGTGGTGCAGGAGGATGATTTTCTGGTACCTGAGGGTCATCCTCAGTTGTTTGAGAAGTATTATCATCATCAGTCGTAGAATCGTCCATTCCGGCGAGTGGGTCCATGACGATTATTACCAGATGTTAATCTTCAAGAAGATATGTATTGTGCAATTCCAAGGCGTTAATGGTGTTTGTGGATGTTTGCTAGGACCTTGTGATTTCAACAAACCACAACAACGCTCAGCGGGTGATTTTCCTTTCTCCATGTTGCAGGCTCCATGCTCGCATCCACTCTTGATGTAGCTGCGATTTCAAGAGCATTTAACGTGCTTCCTATGCGACGGGCAGGTAGCAGTGGCAGCTCGAGATTTATATCATCCAAAGCCAATGTTATTTTCAAGGATGCAAAGTCAGCAGAATTTCTTGCTGCTGTTGGCGATAAAGAATCTCTTTCTTTACTAGGTAGGCTTCCTGAGGTGAGTCACTTAAATGTCAAGCACTCCACATGATGCATACTTTTGAAGGTCGTTGTAACAGGTCGAGCAAATGTTGGAAAGTCATCCTTGCTTAATTCTGTGATTGGGCGTAGGGATCTTCTTTTTACCAGCAAAAAAGCCGTGAGTCGTTATAAGCTTAATGCTGAATTCTACTACATGCTGGTTTTGCGCAGGGCCGAACACAAACACTCAACTTTTTCCGTGTTGGATCTCACCCTGGTCGCTTGATCGTCGTCGACTCTCCGGGATATGGTGCCAGGGGTCGACCCGAGTGGGGTGATTTGTTCAACCATTATCTAGAAACCCGGAAACAGTAAGTTCCTTATGCCATTTTAGGTGCTTTTGACATAATGTTACAGATTACGCCGTGTCTTTATCTTGATTTCCGCTGCCCATGGTGTATGTGCTACGGATGAGGCGATGCTTTCTTCGTTGGATGCTCAGATACAGTCACTCGATAGCACCTGCTGGACACTTCAAGCAATAATAACTAGGGCCGACGCACTGAAAACAAATGGCCGCGCTCAAATAAGCCAGATCGAGCAAGATATCTTTCGCATTGCCCCAACATGCTTACCCGCTATCGTCACCTCATGTCCGTCCAAGGGAATTGCTTTTGGCATCGATGAAGTTAGGAAGTCGATTTCTCATGCATGTGGAATCCTCCCTTAGAGGCCTTACTCCCAGTGACTGCCTGCTTGTCGTCGTTGACAATAGTCACCAGCGTTTATTTGATAATTGTTCCGGGATGACTCATTGTTCTGCAAGGATACTTTTTATCGCACCGACGTTCCGATCCCGCTTCTCAAATTCCATCCTTATATTGATCACGTGCCTTGGTTGGTGATACATTATCTCGATGGAGGTCAGACTTGAGATGAATCAAATACTCAGATTTGCCTGTTTGGTGTATTCGAACGTTCAAAATCCGATATCGCCTTCACTGTGGTAATCAGACCACTATAATTGCGCTTAGGCGACATGTGATGATCATTTTGAGGTAATAGCGAGAAACATTTGATTCTATGGACACGTACTAGCCTGCAGGGACACATCGTAAGTGTTGTTAGCTATTCCAATATAGGCTGACCTATCACATCTCAGCAATTCATGGTTTGTAAAAGCCGGCGCATCAAAGAGTGCTCTTCTTATTGCACGTCTCAACGCAATATCGTCCTGCACATTTCATCTCCTCGTCAATCATCATCCCTAGATCGCTAGCTCCCCACCTGCCCACTCGACTCTCATTTCAACGGGTGATTGCTGTATAGCACCATGCCTTCAACTTTCAATCTTGGAACCTACACTGCTAAACTTTATTCTATTCTTATGTCGCTGCACTTTCCGTCTAGCCCACCTCCTTATGATCACACACAGTCATTGCATCACGATCACTCTCTACGCAACGATAGACAATATCAGGATCTATTGGTCCCTGTGGCACCTTCCGTCGTGATCCACATCCCAAACCATATCTCCTATAATCCGCGTAGTGCACACCGCAGGAAGCGGAAGGCACAAAGCATTCCTATGGTGGAGATTGCACATCATAAAGCAGTAAGCCTAGAGCAATCGACAGTGAGTCAATAACCTGTGGCCCTGGAGTTTTGCACTCATCTTACAATAAGAGTGGTGCTAACGCATAGTATGCACGAATAGGGTAGGGAATTGGTGTAAAGTTTATTGGAGGTGAGGGTGGACTTACAGAGACTCGGTTTCAGTTAATCAAACTCTGATTTAGGTTATCTAGTTTGACGCCATCCATTGCCCCTTAAAGCTTACCGCTTCACGAAATTTTTGACATCGTTGATTGGATAGCCAAGCCTTTGTTCCCATTGTGTTTCCTCGTCTTCAGTACTAGATGACTTCTCGTAGGAAAATCCATGCGTTCGAGAAGGATTCTTTCCGACCCTGCTGTTCCATTCTTCATTGACTCAACGAAAAATGTGAACAACAGGATCAGGCTACGAGATGTGCAATGGATGTACAACTGTCTGCGATCTCGGGGTGTGGTTGTCACGTCTCGGTGCGGTCGCGACTGTATACCAGCGCCGCTGTAGCGCAATATAAAGGATAGAACAGTGTAGGCGTGCTTAATTCTAATGAAACATCTAGTTCAGTCTGTTTCAATTGACGTGATTTATGCAGTAAATAGTTTCATTTCGGCTCCCTACATTAGTTCCGAGGCCGATAAAAGGCCAGACAGAGACCTGTCTCCCGGCCAAACATACTGGTCAACATTCTCAGAGTCAGCAATGAACTACCATGCTGACAGTGGCAGACAACACATTCCCTACCGGTTCCAGAACCAGGCTCAGCATTAACGAAACAATACACCATACAACCTGTAGTAACACAATGAAAATATTGTGAGAGTTACCGGTAGTGATCATAGTCCTCGAAATCTTGATTGTCTGGAGAGAAAATCTGCTGATAAGCTCCCTGATTATGCTTAGCTGTCGCCATCATTCAATGTGAGTATGTTCATGTTGTCTCGCTGCATGTTGATCACAGGGGCTGTCGTTTCGAACGTTCGCAACTTGCCGAGCGACGGCCGGCCTCTGGCTACAAGAATACTAGCAACACTTAAGCGTCGGCAATCAGTGTTGCTCTTGTATTCGGAGATGAAACGAACTGAACTTTGTACAGTGTAAGTCACTCAAAAGCGGCAACTACCGACATCAAAATTTGTAATTCTTTCTACACCTTCGGAAAGACAACTTTCGTCTTGAAAACATTACAAATGGGCTATGGTAGAGTAGTATAGTGAGTCTACCAGAACACTTTTTCATAAAGCTCAAGTTTCATAATTTTCGTCAGCCAAAAGTGAACTTCGAGCGGAGCTTGTCGGAGTTTCATATTTGGGTATGCGGCATCTGACGGCCGACTCCGTGATTACTCGAGAACACCCAAACTCATTAGTAATGTAGTATGTACTGTACATGCGATTTGTACTTCTTAACAGCAAATTCAGCTTGACGGGCATCAGGACTTTTCCTGAGACACTGAGAAAGAACTATGAAGCTATATATATATATATATATCACTGTCTAATATGAGACTGAATGACAATGCTCCATAAAAGTTGGACACAGAGTCTACTTCACTTTCAGCATCTGAGACAGGCACAGTCTGTGTCCAGAAAGACTTCCAAAACATCTTCTATCAGCCCATTGTCAAAGCACCTCGATGGTGAAGCGTACTGCTGCTTCACTCGCTTCTTTTGGTAGGTGAAGCCATTTGACGGCAAAAGTGAACAATTACGTAATCAGGCGAAATTTCGGAAATTTATATTTACGCTCCATTTGTCTATGTTTCCTATCAAAATTTTAATCTGAGCATGTATGGATCAAAATTGCAACCTAGGGAGAGTTGCCGTCCCTTGGTGGCAGACACTGTAGAATCGAGGCCTTGTTAATAGTATATTTTTGGAGAAGATCATGTAATGAATATTAAGGTTTGCTTTAAAATCAGCGGGTCTTTTAACAAAAATCCTTAGCAAAAACACTAATATAAAAAAAATCCATGATTATGTAAAGCCCAAAAGTCAATTTAAAATCGATTATCATCTCTATGGCAAACGACGTACAAGATCAGAACAGTTGATCCCGCACTCCACATGAGCTCCACTGCACTTCCATTGCAGTGTTCGCTCGGCGGTCTCCTGTTTCTCTTAGTATCTGTACTCCACCTTTTTCCAATGCGTGTCTTCTGAACTCCACATTGACTCGCAAGGATTGCGCGTGTCTTGGCAGGAGGTATTTCACTTCGTCCACCTGCCTCGTTATCATAGACCCCAAGGACACGAGGCTGTTGCTTCAGTGCATTCGTGAGTCTGACCCTTGTCTCCACAGTTTCCAAAATGTATCCCATCGCATCAAATCGAGCAGTTGGTGTTTCCAGACACTCGAATCAGAACCACCAGGACATGCTTTCATCACATCAGGAAAGAAACGGAGCCTACTAGTAACTACATCATGATGGGTGGACTCGGTCTTCGTATGTTATCCGTTCATACGTGGCACATGATATCATCTCTTATCCGCACTGGCGGTATCAACGGTTATGCAGGAGCATCGCCTGTATACGGAATTCTCGATAAGTGTACAGACTTGCATACTTGCTATCGCACCAAACAGGTGGATTTGAAACAGCCTAGTAGGTGCGCGATAGGAGGTATTACGTTTGACAAGAGCATGGGCATCCAGGCCCTGTTTGTCACTTGGGCTCGACGTTTTCACATACAAGGCTCATGCTACAGATAGCCAGCAAGTTTCATTCGGGGATTCCGTTTATGCTGGTTATCGACTGGCTAGCTTTGATATTGTCCTTCTCCTCTCATCCATTTGATCTGAGAGCCCCGCTAGAAGCAATGCAAGGAAGAACACCGTATCAGACACCATGGGCCATAAAATGATCAAACTATTGTTCACAAATATACGTACAATGTGCACAGATTAGCATGTGGTTTAGCATTCAGCTAACCAAATGTGCTATACGCCAGAAGGTGACTGTCAAGCTGACTCGAATCACACAGGCCATCTGACGTGAATCTACAGTCGAATTACCTAGGATGTCGGCCATGAAACCGTCTATAGTTACTTTTACTCCATGTCAAATAACAAAAACTCAACCGCGTCTTCCCCCGCGTTCTCGACCTTCAACTCAGCATCCTTTCCTACGAATAGATATGCGCCATCTCCCTCTCTAAGCTCAATTATCGGCCCCTCGATTTGAGCACCAACGCGCAATCTGACGCCCTTGGCGTTACCAGGATTGTATCCAGATTTTTGAACGACATGAATGTATGCCTTGCGTCCCTCAGGACTGCGACTTGGGTGAAATGCATGCGCGAGGGATATACCAGGGTCCATGAGCGACGCATATGCGCGGAGCTGCGAGCGAATAGGAGCAGGGCCATCTGCCTCCCTCTCGAGCGATACTTCAGACGAATCGGAAGGCGCGACGATAAGCCTGAATTGGTTTCGCTTGTCTTGGTCGCTGAAATGTCTACGGGAACCAGATGGCCATTTAGGTATGTTCAGGATCGTCGGAGATATATATATTTTACCTGGTGAAGTATGCGGGCTTTCCCCTGCCTTCTCCGGGACGAGGAGATGCCCATATCTGACAGAAGTGCACCTCTTCAGAGCCATGGGCTTTCTCGGAGTGGGAGATGCCAGTTCCAGCGGAAGTCAACTGAATGGCGCCGCGAGATAGTATTTCAGTGTTGTTCATAGAATCTTGGCTGCAAAAGTCAGTCAAAACATTCATCCACGAATAATAACTGAAAGGTCGCTCACTGCTCTAGCGCGCCACTGATCACATACGAAAAAATTTCATATTCGCGATGGCTGTGAGTTCCAAAACCAGTGCGAGGCGCTACGCGGTCCTCGTTCAAGACACGGAGAGAACCAAAAGACTCGTGTTTTGGGTCATGGTAACTGCAAAAGTGGTCACATGATCATGCAATAAAAAGGTTCGAGGTCAAAGATCCATACTTTGAGAACGAAAATGTGTGAAAAGTTTTGAGCCAGCCGTGATCTGCGTGACCTCGTTCTGTGTTCCTTCGGGGAACTATCTCGATGGATCTGCTGGAAGACATCTTTCCTGCAGCGTGATATGGGGACGCAAAGGTTTTCAGCAGCAGTAGTTTGGTTTGGGATGCGAGTAAAGCCGTAGTTCGAAAAGTTGGAGGCACTTTCAGCGATGAGGTTGAGAGGGGAAGGGAAGCGTTGAGTAAAAAAGCGAGCTCCTAGCCTCAAATTTATAGTCAGCGGCAAAGATCATCGATCGTACCATCGCCTCAGGGGTTACCGCCTTTCCTATGTAGTCCCTTCTCACTCACGCATTCTCACGACCCTCTTGCTTATTACGGGTCGGGTGTACGATGAAAATGACACGTAATTGTTTGATCCAAGAACGTCCTAGCCACCGGTGATCGATCAGAATCGAATAGTTCTGCAGTAATCATCCAAAAGCGAGCGTTGACATCATACCAGCGTGCTAGCGTGTCGGTCTATATCTTCCTTTGAAAGTCTAGTCGCACGGATCCGTAGCTTCGACTTCAAGATTAAACTCACGACACCAAAGCCCTGAAGAACAAAGTCCTGGATTCGGTCTATGAAGAAGATAGAAGTGACAGGCTTTCGTGTTTTTCATATGATCTGACAATTCGTCTATGACCACATCCCGAGATAGTTAAAATATCTGTTATCACTCACTGTCAGCGACGGTAGCCACGAGTGCCTTCTATCTATCGTACTGTCTTTGTAGTTCGTCCAAGTTCTGTCGAAAAAAAACCGACTATTTCGTCAGACAAAAGACCTCTTTCACTACATGAAGGGAGGGTCATTTATCGATAATGAGATCGGAAAAACGGTCGACCCACCAATAGAAGGGAAGGTAACAAAACGCTCCTTCGCCTCCGGATATGTTGCGCTTGACATGTACGGATACAAATAAGTGATGAAAGACAGGTATATATAGCGCCTACCAATCAACGACTCAGTGTCAGACGAACGTGTAATGTATGGCGTACGCCAGGCGGCCAGACCCCATGTAATCAAAAACCCATATTTCCCCAGACAAAGGAACGGCCCTTGAACAGAAAAGATAAGTTTGAGAAGCGCGGCACGTGAGATCCTCCGATTCAGATTCGACGGCTCCTATCCAAGGGGAACTAGCAAAAGCTCTCGCAATAGACATTCCGTCTATTTTCTCTTGGCGAATCGTGACCGTCATCTCTCCCACCTATTCCAAAAACGAAATTAGACGACTTCACTATCAGTGGCGGCACAGCTTCGCATGTAAAAATTACTCAGGCCAAGTTAATGTTAATTCTTCGCTGGCATGTTCCGTTGATTGAGCTAAAGGACACCGATTTAAAATTAGAGGCACATACGAACAGGCCTTCTTGATACAGTTCATTTATACCTAGAAGCATCTCGTCATAAGATACGCTCCGGCACATGAAGACAAGAAAAACGCGGATCTTATGCGGACCAAGGGGCTATCAAAGAGACTTGCAGCTGCAGCAGCTCTTTGGGTAGCATGACCTTCCGGTATTCAAACTGCAGCCCCGTGAGACCAGTGTGAACACCCACCAGGAACTGCGACAAGAAACAGAAAACAGACTAACTGACTTGGTGTCTTGTTGCGGCGCCCCCCGGATGCGCTGCAGCCCAGTCAGCCCCAAGGTACTGCATCTTGCCTTGTGAATAGAATACCCCTTCCGAAAGATGCTATTGCTTTAGTTCCGCGCAGTGAGATATCTATCCCACGTATCCTTTGCCAACGAAGCAATCTATCGGTTTCTGGCGGGTGGTGGCGTACTCCCATAAGTCGTGGATGCGAATTGCGAGCATTCCCTGCATTTGCACGCTTTATAAAGCTTCCAGGTGTAGTCGTGCGCGTGAGGGCCGCCGCTGGACCCAAGGTTGGTCCCCATTGTTTGATACAATGATTCCGGCGCCTATGAATAATTGTGGTGGCTTGAGAAACACCAGGATAGTGGCGCCATGCCTGATATGTTCCAGTTGCCTGAGAGAACTGGACGAACAAAAAACGACTGCCGGTATGCTACTAGGTTTCCAGGTGTAGATGGGATTTGTGCGAAGGGATGCTAGGACTGGTGGCAGTGCCTGACCCCAGTGCTTTTAAATTGTTTTTCTCCTGATCGTCGAATAACAGTAATTTATAAATAATTGTGCCTGTCCGGAATAAATATAATGAAATGTCTGCCCGGATCATTTACATGCCGAATTTCACTCGGTTCTGAAATTTGTCTGTTTGCCCTGAGTCGCCCCTTTTCCCCCAGTCCTGTGTCTGGACTAGGGACGAGACGAACAGTCTAGACTCACGGGCAAAGCTTTCCCACTATCTGAAAGTACGGCCTTAAGACAAGTCCTGGATAGAAGATGAAATTATCATCGAGGGTATATAAAAAGAGGTATAACTGAGCAATAATACAAAAGACGAATGTGCTGCAGTGAAAGGGTTGGTAGTAACGCGGGGAGGCCAGACAAATAGATGCCATAACCCGAAGTGATCCCAAAGGTTGGGAGATGCCGTCAGATAAACGGGAACGATCTTCACCAGAACCGAGTATCTTCCGAGGGAATGTCCCTTAACATGCGTAACATCACGATGTTAGATGTCAGGCTGGAAAACTGCAACAACAGTTAATCTAACTGGTTATAAAACGAAAAGCGATTCGCGACGTACCCCGTTACCTATCAACACCTGAGCACCTTGACCGATCAGCATGTCCACGGCCTGTGCGACAGGTTTTGCCTCCCAGCTCAACTTCACGTCCCTGCTGGTGACAACAGCATCCCATTTCTTCACCTGCATGAGGGCCTCCTTAAGCTGTTGCAGCCACTCTACGTCTCCATTCGTCATAACGTATATGCTCTTCAACTCCTTTGCAGATCCATATAGACGCTTTTGATCAGCAAGCACGTTCTGCACTTTCTCGACGATCTGCTCAATCGTTGGGAAACACGCTCTGAAGTACATGTTCGTGTTTGCCTCCGTGGTCACGCCCCAACCACCATCCGTAGGGACTCTGAATCTATCGGGGAGAGCAGAAAACTGGTTGAACCCATTCCAATTCGAGGACCAGTTGGCGAGATGTGAACAATGACCCGCAAAGTCGCCTCGGCGAATATGAAGAGCCAGTAACCCAGGTATAGTATCCACCTCTGTTGCTTTGACGATAGGATTGACGTCGTGTAATGTTTTAGGAGTCGGTGACTGACTGGCAGGGCGCATGAACGAGGGGAAGAATGAGAACGAGGAAGTCGGCGCAAACAAATGAGCATTCTCCGCGTACGCCTGAAAGATAAGCGGAGACCAAGAAAAATCTGTGAGGATAGGCGAATTGGATAGGATGGGCCACATTGAAAGTATGCGTTTCGAACCAAATAGCCTATCGAAAGTTTGAGAACAGTGAGAACTGACAGCAGTACAGCCAGCGACTTACCAGATCTCAAACAGTTGATATGATTCGACTTTTATCTCGACGCATGGGTCGTCGATGGAATTCAATTCATCCACCCACTTCTCAAATATCGACAGAGCAGGTACGTTATCGTCCAGCCTAAGATGCTCGTTCAAATTCCTGCTGTCAATGATTGTGGGATTAGGGCAGACTTTCTTGAAGTACTCGCGTGAGACAGCACGAGGAGCAGCATCCCCGGGAGGAAACGACGAGCCTATTATGGGACCTGGACAAGAAACCGACTTTGGGTATGGATGGAGACGATGCACATTGATAACGTACCACTGATGATAGCTGACAAAGGAATGCGGGTAGGAATGAGTTTGCCATTGAAGGTTGAATAATCGGGAGCATCTCGGTCCCACGTGAAATTATCGAACACGAAGCTAAGGGACGTATTGAGTGCGAATCAAGGTCATGGAAACGCGAACGTACGCTCGTTTAGTTGCATGAGCCAGCGCTGCATTCATTACAAGCTCTTGCATGGCATTTCCCCAACCCGAAACTGGTATCTATTAGCGCTAGCCTGAATGGACATATGAACGATATTCATACGAGTGACATGGTTGGCGGCCCAAAAAAACTTTGCATCACGTCCCTCTGGGAAAGGCAATGAAAGGTTATGCTGGGGCAAGCGTCGTTCATAGTCATGATATTCTTCGTACAAGGGTGGTAAAGAGTGGTGTTCCGACTGGTCCTGCGGCCAAGATGGCAGGCTTAACTTTGTGCGCGAGAAAAAGAGAAATAAGGAGAGCAAGATCAAACCCATTAAAAGACGTGTACATCGTCTCGTCAGTGAGAATCGCGAGGAAGGCAACCATGTGTCGGAATTGTTGAGAGGTAAAGTCGAGGTATCTGACTGTCTGGGATGCTTACTTCCCGTGAATGTTAACTTGAATGAGTGCATAGTCGCTGTGGTACTAGTGTGCGTGCGACACGAGAGCAAAGGTAGCGGATCGGAGTTTCCTTTTGTGATATGATTCAAACTCCGCTAGTCCCTTCATTAATCACAGGTCTACTAGAAACGAAAGACACGCTGTCGCGGATTGGTTACCGTGATGATCTGATTATCGATAAGAGCGATTCAGTATTATATTTATAGAATCCGAGTTTGCGCATATAATTTCCCCGAGGTTGTGCCCGAGAGAATTTTAACCAAATTCTGGCTGGTTCTGATCGGGAGCCAAGTTCCGGTTTATCGTCTAATGAGAAAACCTTGTATAAACTGCGCACGGCCCCGGCTCGACTTGCCGTTCAGCGGGATGGGTAACATCCCGAGGGAATCATCCTTTAGAAGGAGCGATCACATTCTGAGACTCTACAGGCTAAGAACCCTCCCATGCAATATTACAATGGAATCCGTGAGTGCGACTAGACGGAGTACCCCCCTCACAATTCACTTGGAGTCTTCCCCTGCGGTACCGTACCCAAGAATAACTACCCACCCTCAAAGTGCCGAGGCAGAATGCCGCATTGCAACGTAGCCTCGACCTCCAGGCCCGACCGGCCGTCGAAATGGGGTCTCGTCGACAAATCACGGACCATTCTGGTTTCTTGATTTTCCAATATGCCTATGCAACCATCTCACAGAGTTATATCACGTTCCACGACAGGAGGAACCTGTGATAAGGAACGAGATGGAAACAAGGTACCTAAAGGGTCGGACGGCCGCGGTAGATGATCCGAGCGCATTGCACGCGCACCGCCTGAAAGGCGCGAGAAGCTTGGCCTCTGCCTCGAGGCATGAAGCCACCCACTATCGATACCACCTTTCAGTGCTGTCATCTCCGTGGTATACAACGTCATATTCCAAGCTCTTCACTCACGCTCAGGATGCTCGTCACGCCCTATCGGTGGTGATGACGCTAATGATGACGATATGCTCCACGGCCACCAAGGTATGAATCGAATCGTATTCTGGGCAACTCGCACACACCGACTCCAAACAGATTCTTGTAGGACAAAATTAGTAAAAGCTAAGAAAACATACAAGCCAACGAGACGCTCACAGCTCTTCGACTTCCCACAGTCGTCCGTTCCTGCACTGATGATGATGACATCCAGCACAGACTTTCAATCTGCAAAAGTAGGTGCACTATCATTGGATTGGCCTCGGACCATCCCTGGTTTCTGTAAACAAAATTAGCAAAAGCTAACTTGAAGAAGATATGTACAACCAGAGGGCGAAACTCACATGTCTTCCCACCGTAATACGTTCCTGCATCCAAATGCTGCAATCTTCGGACCGGTGTGTACGTTCTCGAAACACTCATGATCATCACGATACGATGGAACCCCGTCGATGAGGTAGAACGACAGCGAATCGATGAACTCACGTAGTACATTTGCAAGCTTTACCATACGGTTCTTTTGTTAGATTGCTATACATAGCGTTCCACGAATGTTTTCCAGACCTGTTTCCTGATTGAATGTTCTCTTGAGAACACGTTCTTACACTCTATCAATTTAGACTTAAAAAGCATGCAAGCGCCCTTTGAGTACGAGGGGACAACGGCAGCCCGAGCGCGACCTTGAGCTCGATGAAGAACAATACAGTTCCTTGACGTGAGTGCGAAGCTAAAGTGCCGTGTCGATTGCACGTAGTTCGGTAGGCCATGGGAACGCCTTTTGAAAACCCTCTCGTGACTTGTGTTCCGGGGCAGGGTAGCAGTTCTAACCGCGCGGGAGAAGCCATGACGCACACAACCACATCGACGGCCTTTTGCTGTCAAAGGGCCATCTAGTGGGGGAACCTTCTCTCCTGATAATCGTGATCAATGCATCAAGGTTGCCAGCTGCAGGGCCCACTGCCGCCCTTACGTTCTGACAACAAACAACTCTAATTGGTGGAAGGATTCGGCTATCATGTAAAACCGGGATATCCCAGAAAAACGAGCGCTCATGAGCTGGTCAAATGAGCGACCAAGGCCCCCCCTCCGAGCTAAAACACCATTTCTCACAACAGCGGTGTAACTTCAAACCAGAAGAGTACCCCTTCTCACGGACACCACACGGGAATTATCGCATTCGGAACGATCCATAATCGTCTAGGCCGATATTGATGTTTTGGGTTTTTAACAGGCACCACCTCGCCGCTTTCATAAACGCATTGCTTCACGGGAAAGTATATCGTGATAGTAGGTAACGCTATTGTAGAGACCAAACAACTGTCAGCCAGCAAAGTGCGGGGTTACGCGCCTGACATGGAACTAGACCCAGCAAATAGTAGGATGAGAAAAAAGCAAATGCAATCTCCTTGATCGTCGTGGGTACTTCGCATCAGGTGCGGAGATCATCGAGACCTTCCAAGCTCTGCTCTGCTCCGTTGCCTTGCCTAAGAAGTGATCATGTGAACGAAGTTTCGAAGGGGAACTCACAACGTACGGCAATGTATATCAAGTCCCTTCCTCGACCTCTTAAGAAGATTCCGGACTCGGATGGTGAATTACCGGTTTTGAGCGTCAAACTGCGGGGTAGCATCGACTTCCGATCAATAACAGGGATTGCGCAAGAGGCTTTGCGCAGCTTGCCAGCGAGTGACCCACTGCCACGTCGGTCCCGTATCTTGAAGAGAAAAACTATCTATATTTGCTTGCGTCACAGGCACTTCTCGGACTTGATCACAAGGTGAGACTCCACGGTAGACCAAAGAGCTCTCCGTCCTCGACGTGGGAGTAGGAGTGGTGAAAGAAGTCATAGTGATGCTCCGGGTCAGCGGAAGATGCACCGAGGTCACCGTACTAGAGTTGCACAGCTAATTCCCATGCTTTCGTGCCTGCTAGTTCCGTAGAACGAGATTCAGATGAGAAATAGCATAACTGTGCATTCAAGTCATTTATTCGACCCTATGGGTGTGGAAGTACTAGCGAGCAAATATGGTATAATTAACAGGTCAGTCAGGTCTGTAGTGATCAATAATGTACAGAAACAAACATCGCTTCAACTTCATCCGTTGGTGGTACACAATATGCGTAAAATGTATGTGGACGATACCATGAATAAAAAAAATAATTGTGGGTTATCGTACAACGATGCGAATGCTGGGATCATGATCGTCATAAGAGTACATAAAACTGGAGACGGGAGTGGGCGGTCATTCGAAATTGTATTCGACCGCTATCCGGCATGCCTCAGATATATGAGGAGTGCGACCGTGTTGTCGCAGGCTTTGCCTTGATGAGAATGGAGTATCGCACGCGGTACATGGATGCCCGAGTAATCTGGTTGCGCTATTAGGATCCCGAGAACGTGATCTTTTTGGGCAATGCGATGCCTGATGAGCGCGAGCTTAATACAAAGTCCCAAGGGATACTACAATGAAGACTCACGAGATCATCATCAGTCAGATTTTGATTCAACTTTCGTTTCAACGAAGGTGAACGAGGCTCTGTAAAAGTTTTTAGTCAAAGCCAACGAATGGGAGGAAAAGAACGCACCAGCTGGGGCGCTCATCGCTTTTATCGAATGATCTCTCCAATTCTGTATCCGTTTCATGCGAACATCGTATGTATCATCTGTCCAAGCGACAGGTTCTCTGTCCTGGGAAGGATGGGGAGGGGTGACAAAAGAGGAGCAATATGATGAGCAATCCTCTTCGTCTTCAGAGTCTGATGTAGAAGGATATGATGAACCCGAAGAGAAGCTGGAATCGATGTCTGATGATGTGGGACGCGGGGGAGGTGTAGCTTCTACGAGCTGGATGATCTGAATGGCGTCGTGGGGTTGACGGACATAGAGATGACTTGGGTTGACCTTTTCCTTGTAAGGATCAAAGATGACACCAATGGATGATTGTAGCATGATACTTTGGTCGAACATTTGTTGGGAGTGTCGAGTGTAAAAAGATGAGATTTAGGTGGAGGTTATAAGGGAGAGGCGCCACGCGAGCGACATGCATATTCGATTGTAGATTTGTTGTGGCAGCTGTTCAAAAAAAAAGCGAAGCAGAGCCCTGAGAAGTCAGAAACCTGGGGATCGGGCGATAAACAGCGAGATGGCCTGTTTCTATTTTAGGTCATCCTGTTCTTGGCGTCATTCCCGATTAGGTATCATTGAATATCTGAGATCTGGTATCATTTCACCATCTCACCAGTATCTCAATTTCCTTTTTAAGCCATTCTACTTCCCATGCCTCCCTCTCCATGTTCCATTCCTTTCCCATCGTCTCCTCCGTCGCTCCTTGTACCCTTTCTAACGGCCATTGCAATTGATCGCTTCCTCACTTCCGAACAAATCGCGCTGTCACAATAGGCTATTTTCTATTCGAAACTACACAACAATGCAGCTTAGATCGAAAAATATTTTCAATCAAAACTACCTATCTCATGGTCGCATCGGTGCAAGCCACGCCTCCGCTGCTTCAAACTGGTCAATCAACTCGCGAAGGACAGCACCCTCAGAGTGAAGTTGCCTCATGGCAGACAGCGCCTGTGAACCACAACACATGTTAACCATATCCCAACACAATGTAACAATGTCACTAACAATGTCCCAGAACCGGAATCCTCGTTCCACTTCCAGTTTGGGGGTTTTCACTCCCGGAAACGTGTCTTCACATATCTCTAGGGCCATCGCCTTAGACTCTCTAACACCTTCTGCATTAGGGTCAAGTACTCGCGTTTGATTATTGAGGTGGGTCAGGGCATCCAGGTACACCTTGGCAAGCACTCCAAATCCAGTGTTTACCTCAGATTGGAAGGGCAGGGAGATAGTAATGTCCAAAAGGTCTTCCCGTGCTCGGCGTGCGTCCGAACGCAATAACATGTTCAATGTCGTCACCTCAAGTAGCGTTCGAAGCGCCCGAGTCAGAGACCGCACGAAAGAGTTGAACACCAACAATTCACGTGACAACGGTGCCGACCAAGGCTGCGACTAAAATAGGAATAGCATGAAGTTTGGTGTGATCGGCTAGATATAGAAAAATCACCTTGAAGTTCAAAGGCACGATGCTCAGGACTCTCATGACCAGCAGCATACATGACTTCTCATCATCTGCGTGAGACAATCATTTATCAATCCAAAGAAAAACTCGTATGTAAGTTCCGCTCACCGGTCCCGAAACTTGGTCCCCCACTGAACGCCCGACCTGACCATAAGTGGCCGTGCATTACCCCAGCCCTTACCAGCTCCAAAAACAGATACAGGGGATCCTGAAATTTATCATTCAAACGCGCTGATTTAATTGCCGTGTACATGGCGCGCGCTAGTGGTGAGTGTGTGTGAGAGTTGAGCAGGAATCTATAGTTGCAGTGTCACAAGAGTGTTATGCTGGCAGAACGGCGCTTACCCTCTAAGTTCCAGGAACCGCCATACCACATTAGCGACGACCTCATCCTTTTTGTCCAACTGTCCATTCGGGACGCTAGTCTTTCCCTTGGTACGCAATGCAAGTTTCTCCGTTGCTGTCGCTCCGAGGCAAAGTGCGAAATCGATGGTGGAAGACTGGACCAGTCCAGACCGTCAGATCTGACTCACTCGACTGATAAGCGACTTCGGAAACTCACGTTCTGTCTCCGAAGCTCCTCCTCCACAATGGCATAGCTTACATTCCAGCCCGCCACGCGTTCGGCAAGCTGTATGGTCTGTAGTGAGTTGTGTTGGACAAACTTCTGACCGTGAGGTGCGGGGCTCTCAAACCAAAAGTGTCCCGCAACTTTCCGGTTGTTCCAAAATTGATGGGAAACACTGCTAATGAGCGCGAGAGCGGTCGCGCGCGGTCCTGTCTGGCCATCCGTGATAACCTCCTTGACAAACCGCTTGTACTCAGTTGTCTCACCGTTATCCAGCGGTGGGGGTTCAACGATCTGACCACTGGTCAGCCACACCAATGCTTGAGGCCCTAAAAGTCCACGAGAGAGATAGAAATAGATTTCGTCTGGAAGACGGTGCGTGAATATTTCATGAAGATCTGAAGGGATATCCGCAGCTGTAGGATGGTGGGGGTGATTGGGACCGTGTGCTGGTGTAGTGATTGCAAGAGGAAGCGGCGTGACAGTTCCCTCGGACGAGAATATGAGAGAGTATTTGATCATCGAGCGCGTGCGCGCGTATTGATCGGGATACTGCATACTCTTGACAGCGGGATGTTCCGCAAACGCGGAAACGGCAGCGTGGCCAGACTTGTAATATTTGACCATGTCAACCGTGGCCTTCAATGCCTGTTCATGCACAGTTGGTGGAAATGGTGGCGAGTGCTCGAAACCAACAAGGATTCCAACATCAAGAAACTGGTCCTCGCTGAGGCCCAAATCACCCAAAATAGTGCGTTTGGATACGAAGCAAAAAGATGGTGTGGCAGAGGTGAGGTCCAGTGAAGTGATTAATTTGTCTACTCCTGGGTAGAGCAGGGTGTCAGTCGGTCCAAAGATTGCATGAATATATGATTTGGGGTGTCGTTGCATATAAATCAACTGTTCAGGATGCATCAGCGGAGTATCCCGCAAGAGATGATTTCAGCCTACTTGAGCCCAAGCGACGTATGGAGCAACCAAAAACTCCACATTCCTATGTCTGAATATCCTCAAGACCATGCGCCATAAGTCCCATTGCTGGAGCCCACTTCTGCCCTCGAATAGTTTTGTGGCGGATTCTTCCTGGCCAGCCTCGTATTTTGCCCAAGCATCCCTCCGGTCCCTACATGCATCATTGTGCTCCACGTGATGTTGGTATTGCTTCCAGCGCTTGCTCGGCAAAAGTCCAGGAAAAACGAACACCGGTTTTATTCGTAGTTTCTCGAGCGTGCGCAAATCAGATTCAATGCGTGTCGTTAGCGCCAAGGGCAAGCCACCAGTCGCAGCGAGGAGAGGTTCGCGCGAGGGTGGGTTATCGGTCAATATTTTGAGGTAGTAAGATGCATCAATTCCCAGCCGCGAATCGGATAACACAGACAGAGCAAATGATTGCGTGTGTTTCCGCTCGGAGAGGTAGTCTGTTTCGTTTTTAGGTTATACGTCAATTTTAACTGCAGCTCGTCTACTCCGAGATTCGATGGAGAATAAAACGTACTTTCCAGGTGCTTGATGGGCATCGCAGTCTTTGATGAGCTTACTGTGTTCGTTGTACCAACTTGAGTACTTGAACAACGTGCAACAAGGCAACCAACTTTCAGATTATTATGTAAGCGCGTGAGTTTGTTCTGCACGTGGAACTTCCTTGACTTATAATTAACCTCTCAGGCTTGCTCAATGCCACGTCCAAATTGTCGGTTCGGGACTGAAGCTCAAGCGCTGACGGCCGGCTACGTCCTCAGTCAAGAACTTTCGCCCACTTACACGTCTTGTCAAATACTTTCATCAATGTGGCGCCGCAACATGAATGTCATTAACCCTACACAGGAACTTTCGTTCGTCCTAGCCCATCTGAGAATTCTTGACAAGGGCTCTCACTGCTTTGCTAGATTGTCAACATCGCTAAATCTGTTGCTCAAAGGGTCTCAGTGCATATTTGCTGCCTCGTTGAGATATCAAGGCTGTCAGTTGTTGCTCGTGACGCGTCACGCGTTTGGTCAAAGCCAGTGCTTTCATGAAGAAGCACCTATATGAAGGGGCGCAATGACAGTTCTTGCTACCACTGCGGTCATTGCGGCTATGCATCATACCCCACGCCGGTTTTTTTTGCCGACTCAGGGCGTTCAATGTTTATCTGATAAGTCAAGAAGCCCCCTTTGTTTTTCTTCTTGCGTTTTAATTTCCGGATCCTGTGCGAAACAGACTCCAGTGCCTGTGAACAACTTCAGCTGGATCTGGCTAGTTCGTTCTCGTGACGAGCTCAAGGGTCCTTGAAGCGCGGCAGTGCAATCATAGTCAGTTTCCAACAAGCACCACAGGTCTAATGCAGATGAAGTTGGCCACCTTGAAGCATGCTTTCAATCTGCCTCCGAATTGATGTCTTCTATCTGCCGACATTCGGTACGAACGTTCAAACCTTTAACTGAGTGCGCCTAAAAGTTTGCTCAGCCAAACGGGGACGTCGCTACAGGTTACTACTCGGAAAGTACCGTTTTGACATAGTGTGGGCGTTTAATCCGATAAAGTTCATTCACACCTGTTCACACACATAGAGTTTTCTTTTGTTGGAAGCTGATAACTACTAAGAGACGGTCACATCCTGGCGCTATTACTGCACAGCAAAGTCAATTCAATGATCATAATGGAGCCTTATTAGGAACTTGCTTCAGGATGTCTCAAGTCTAGTCCTTCCACACAGGATTGTCTTTGTTGCAACCCGCTGAGATGCAACTACTACGTTGGCACCACAACTGCACAACAATCAATGCGGTGATCGTGGTGGAGCCTTGGTGGGAATTTGCACCGGAACGATGCACGAATCTCGAGCTGTATTTCAGGTTTCAGTCTCTCGTCAGTGATTTCATCTTCATTATGCTGTGCTCTGTCCATGTGAAACGCTACGTCTTCATGGCAGGTATCTCCGCAATAAGCAGGCGAGCTGGCAGAGGCGATCTCTCGGCCATTTGCGTCTCCATGGGTCTTGCCTCCCACAATGCTGTCTTCGACTGTACGCGAACTTTAGCCGACGCGTAATATGGTACGCAGACCTTGGAGTTGGTCTCCCCCACTGTTGCATGTGCTCCGGGGATCTGGGCTCTCAATTTCCTCATTGAAATATCTCGTCGCTGTGGCGAGCTGATGCCACACTACGTGTTTAGTCAGTGTTACCTCTGATTTAGAGGGAGTAAAAATCGAGCCCGTAGAGTCCACATCTTTGGACACGAGCAGTGTGAGATGCTATTTGTCGGCAAGGAAGATCCCGAGAGTGTCACTGACCAGTAGCGCAGAGGGCTGGGGTCATGCAACGCGGCAGTTGACATTCGGCGATCTCCAGACACGAAGACCGTGTACTATGTATGCGAGCTCGCTGGGATCACGACTAGGGTGTCTTGCACAGCGCCTGTGAGTTTAATTAGTCTTTCTCGTCAACTCATGTCAGTCGAAGCGCAATGAAACATCACTCACGAGAAGCCTGTTCAAACCCACGGCGTCGTGACGATATTCACGTGTTGCTTGTTGCGGCATTCTGCGGGAAACCTTCGCAATGATCCATTCGCTTGTCAAGCGAGTGATTCTAATTTTTTTACCTCAACCTTTTGAACCTTCCGGAAGAACTTAGGAGAAAGGCAATTCACTCACTCATGACAGCTATTGTAAGTTTAGAATCTTGTTTTGTTCAGAGTCAAGAACTTTTCGGCAGGTCTTCGCTTAAATCATCTAGGCGGCAAGCCGCGGCCTCAATCAAATGCACAGTCCATCCGTTAGCCTCGTGTTCACAGAATAGCTTAACACACCCGAGCATGTCAACGAGCAGAATCAGCTGTGTAAAGGGATCGAATTATGAGGTGGCATACCGTCAGTATCTACCCATTTGTGTCAAGAAGTGTGCTCACCAGAACTCCCGCAGAAGCTCTCTTCGAGGTGCTGAGAGCTTGGTATGTACATGTCACAGGTCCAGACCAGGTGCGACGCGAAGGTCATTGAACGTGCTCTCACTGACTGGATAGGCAAACAAGGTATGTGTACTTTACCTCGCCTTCGCCCTCCTATGACCGCACCTCCCGACAAATTTTGCCGATGTCATGCTCCTTTTCCATTATTTTGCCACAAGATTGACAGGGGACTGATAGCCGCAAATATGGTGCTGAAGCTGAGTTGTAGGTCACATGTTATCATTCCTAAGCGATATGCAACTCACAATACTTACTCTCTCAGAACTGTATATGGCGATTACCCCCGCTTAACTTTAGCATTGGACCATGGGCGTCTGCAAATCTGCTGGGTACCATAACCGCAGGTCTCGTGCCTTTATAGCCGAAGCTGAAGCGCTGATCGTGTATATATACACTCTGCCTGTCTAATTTTGGGGTGTTGGTGTCTTGCTCATTCAGAATCGTGGTGGGTGTCATAGTCTTAGAAATCTCTGATCAAAAGTGATCATATGCACAAGCAGCAGGCGCGAATGCAATGCGCATCATCTTGTATGAGTACCGCTTCAAATCCCGGTGCTCATAGCGGTCTCAAAACTCTAATTCTGTCCATCCTCCTTCCTGCCCTCATACATCCGGACAAGTCAGCACTCGCACATCCACATGTAGAATGCCCAGTACCAGCTACATTCTACGGTATTTAGTGAGCGTGTGTATTTTTCAGAGAAGCGATTTAACCGGGATGCCGCGCCCACTGTCCATATCGTGTTCCTCTCTGCCATATCGTCGATCATGCCTGACACGCTTTGCAATCTGGTTAACTGGAATCATGAGGACTTTGCTACTATATCGCTCAGCTGGACTGTATACTCTGTCTTGGGGGTGCGCCATCCACCCGAATTATCGGTCCTAATTAGCCTTACTTCCCGCATTCCAGCACCATGTGTCACTGTGCAACACCCGCCGTCAAGGTCGTTCTTACCGAACCATCACTATGTCGTCGGGGTGCAGCTGACTTGCGTTGTATTTTCGTAGACTGGAATCGTGAATGACTATGTATCTATGTAGGTTGTCCTGGGAGACACTGCGCCATCTCCCACGGCCCGAGAGACAGGAAATGTTCCTCCATGCGTATGAAGTGACAGGAGTCATATTTGAGATTGGCTTTTTCGTGGTTAATCGATAACAAGGAATAGATATACGACCTGTAATTGACTTGCTAACTTCTGGTAACGCACCTGTACATTAGCGATAAATCATACGAGGTCCACTTTCTTCTTTAACTTCTCCTAGCATTTGGGATGGGGGGAAGAGCAATTTTTAGCTAGACAGAAGAGTTGGTTGCGTGCAGTGTCATATATAGGCCATAGTGGTTGGCGGCTTGAACGGGAACAAAAGTGGATTTGGGTCTGAAAGGAGAAATTCCCAAGTCGTCAAGGATAGCTTTGTTGCGGGCAATTACATGATGTTCCATTCTCGCGATTCTATGCTGGACGAAGTTGTCGGCTGGATAACATTGGGGGTTCGGGTCTGCCGAAATCCAGATCGGCATTGCAAGGAGATTGCGTACAACGTTCTCTTCTAGCTCTTCCGCATAGAAAGTGCTTGCATGGACGACTAATTACAAAGAACCAAAACACGATAGAAAAGCATCACACATATTATGAGTAAGAAGTGCAAGGTATGAGCAGATGGCTCGTCATCGGCTACGGGACTGAAACGTAATGATTGATTCTATTAGTGCGCATTTGGTTGTGATGCCATGTAAATGAAATCAACAAGGTCTGCGATGAGCGCTACGCTGATGGTTGTGATAGGGTGTCGCACCACTTCACTCCCATGCATATTAGAGGGAGGTCGGCTGGTTTGCATCCAAATGAAGTCTCTAGGTTACAGTCGCGTCGTTTATGGTACTTCATTGGGATCTACGTTCCCTATGGCAGGCAGACATCAGATGGCTGTGACCTTGGCGTTCAGAACCTACTTCGGCCTTAAGAGATGCATCAACAGAAGGGAAAACACACATAATGGAAAGTACACGCTCACAATTGACAGCTACCCAACAGTTCGACCCGGTGGTGTGACTTGATATACTATAAATGAGCAATTTAAGAGCAGCGTAGACTCGGAAAAAGAACCAAGTAAAAGTAAACGCTGCAACGTGAATGAAGAATGAGCTAGGCTCATACCGACTCCCTAGCTATGATGACGACATGTCACATGTGAGTGACTTCCCTTTGACCACTTTGTTGTCGCTCATATGAATACTTTCCAGGTATGTCGATTTCGGTCTTGTGCAACGGCAGCGTCTGTCATGGAACAACTCGTCACCAATCAGAGTTTCCACGACGGTATACGCAAGCACATGGAAAGCATTTTAACAACCCTTTGAGTCGAGCTGTCTAAACGGGAGCGCCACGATCAGAACAAAATTTCCTGCAGCAGCGAGTAGCCTGTGAGGTGGCATTTTGGGATCGAGATAGTATAGAGATGATCTTTGCAGCACGATTGATGGTGTCTACAGCCATTGCGTAAAGGCTTTCTTAACTCGTACTGAACGGCAGTTCAGGAATCTGTCAGAAATCAATGGAAGTCTTCAAAATCAGGTCATGAACGGAAATGTCGACTCCCTCGCAGGCTTCAACACTTTTAATATCAATTCCGAAAACATAACGAACAACTACTTGTCTTCATTTGGTGTACATATCATGTACGTATACAGTCTCAAAGTCCGGAATATCGAAGTCCTTGGCAATAGGTTTCGCATAGCCATGACTAGATGTCAAGTCATCAGATTGTCTCAAGAATGCTTTAATCAACAAGGTGGGAGGACGCACGAAACTGATCATATGCCAATATGCACGAACACTATGCGCTGGGCCAAGGGTATGTCTACATCACTAGCCAACGACTGGACCGCTCGGTGCAGCGCTTGGGCAGCTCGTTTGGGACTCATTGTGCCACCCTCGCAAAACTTTTCGTAGAATGCCTTGACTAAGAGGTGCACAGTAGGATCGTCAACCTTCCACAACGTCCCGACGACACTTCTAACCCCAGCAAATTGTAGGCCAGCCGCTAGGTGTATCACTTCGTCGGGCGTACTGACGTCACCGACCGCGGTTTCACAGGCAGAAAGAAAGGCAAAATGATGCCGAGACAGATCCGTTTGTGCAATATCAAGGAGCGAAAGAGGCTGGTCGCGCATAAGAAAGGCTGACTGGAAGGGTTCGTTAAATTTCTGCGTTCCATGACACGCGAGATGGAACCAAGTATTTTCTCGCAATGCGCACAGTGCTCTCGATTTCGTGGCATCAACGCTGGTTATCTTGGAGAAGGAGACAGTCGGGGGAGGAGGCAAAAGTTTCCGCACCAATTCCAGCTCAGGCTCTACAGCATCCAAAGTGAAAGAGGCACCGGCTGGGCAATTCTGACCGATGGCGACGAAGGGCACCGACGTGGGTCTGTCACGACTTGCGCGAGCATTGATCAGCGCGGTGAGAGATGGGGTGTATGAAGAGATATACAGCTGCGAAAGAGACTTTCCCCCGTTTCTGTACTCGCGAGCAGCATGCAACGGCAAGAAATTGAAGAAGAATGTCGGGCACCACCATATTCGGGAACCTAGTCGTACCAATCCGCCCAATTTCTCAACCACTGGGCCGACGACATCGTTCCACAACTCGTGCAAAGCTTTCATCAGCGCTCGTTGGTGCCCGGTCTCTTTGTCAACTGCCTCTCGGAATGTGAGTACCAATTTGGCAAGTTTCTGAATATCGGTAGAGAGTTGGATGCTGGTGGGAGGTTGCTTGTGAGGGATAATAATGGCATCGCAAGACGATTCACTTGCGATGAGCATGATGATGGGCCCATCACGAGCTGCATCTTGAAGATCGGAGAACAAAGGGGGAAGCAGGAAGCGAGAGAAGTCCTTGATCTTCCTGATCTCTTCTACAGTACTATTCCAGTCGTCTACTAGACGTCTGTATCGGGTGGCTTCTGCTTCCACATCGACTCTTTGGGTCCCTTCTGGATGGCTTGGAGTAGGTTTATCGAGGAGGGAGCTGAGGTCTGCGAATTTCTTCATCAGAGTCACTGCATGATCGCCGCAAGTCTGGAGCCTGTCAAGAGGCGTGTGGAGTCGAGTCATCTGGGTCCAAATGATGGTCCTGCCTTGTTCCAACAACTCAACAGCGCGACCCACGTCACCACTACGAAGAGCACACGATGCAGCATCTACGGCAAGTGTCCTTGGGAATCCCTTCATGGCATCATGACGAGATGATACGGAGGCTGTCATAGACATGTAAGCGTCCAGTAGTTGCATAGAAGTCGCATAAGCCTCCAGTTGAGTACCATGTGAATATTGATGAGCATAGTGCACCCAAGTTAGACTTGCCCGCAGGCGGGAGAGCAAGCCTGCAGAGACAACATTTGTCGCTGCCCTTAAAATGGTGCATGGCAGCATTTAGACTCTCTGTATTTTCGCCAGCGCCGGTGCCGTCAAGCTCTAAATGATGGAATGATAGATAGACGTTAGCTATAGATTCGTGGACCATCAATTGACGAGGATTATGCTGCGTCAACAACGTCAATGCACAGAGTAGGTTCTCTCGGGACTCGTTCAAGTCTTCGTCATTGCCTCGGTGGCCAAAGCGGGAGGAGAGTCGATTCGCGAGGTTGTATAATGACATGGACCGATCTGTGTGACCGACCGGGCATAAAGTCAGTGCTTCCCTCTGAAGTGCGATAGCCTGATCCAAGTCCTTCGCCGTTGCCTCGGTGGTCAAAGCGAAGGGAGAGTCGATTCGCGAGGTTGTTTAATGACATGAACCGATATGTGTGACCGACCGGGCATAAAGCCAGCGCTTCCCTCTGAAGTGCAAATGCCTGATCCAAGTCTTCGCCGTTGCCTTGGTGGTCAAAGCGGGAGGAGAGTTGATTCGCGAGGTTGCCTAATGATGAAGACCGATCTGTGTGACCGACCGGGCACAAAGCCACTGCTTCCCTCTGAAGTGCGATAGCCTGATCTAAGTCTTCGCCGTTGCCTCGGTGGCGAAAGCGGGAGGAGAGTTGATTCGCGAGGTTGTTGAATGACTTGGACCGATTTCTGTGACCGACCGGCACAAAGCCAGCGCCTCCTGTTCAGTACGATAGCCTCATCCAAGTCTTCGCCGTTGCCCTCGGTGGTCAAAGCGGGAGGAGAGTTGAAGCGCGAGGTTGTTTAATGACATGGACGAGCTGTGTGACCGACCGGGCATAAAGCCAGCGCTTCCCTGTTCAGTACGATATGCCTCATCCAAGTCTTCGCCATTGCCTCGGTGGTCAAAGCGGGAAGAGAGTTGAGTCGCGAGGTTGTGTAATGACTTGGACGACGTGTCGTGTGTGACCGACCGGGCGCAAAGCTAGCGCTTCCCTGTGAAGTGCGATAGTCTGATCTAAGTCTTCGCCGTTGCCTCGGTGGTCAAAGCGGGAAGAGAGTTGAGTCGCGAGGTTGTTTAATGACATGAACCGATCTGTGTGACCGACCGGCCACAAGGCCAGTACCTCCGTCTGAAGTGCAATAGCTTGATCCAAGTCTTTGTCATTGCCTTGACGCTCGAAGCGAGTGTGTAGTATTAGAGCTAGATTATTCAGCAATCGCCCTCGGCAATCATGCCCGGCGTTGTAGTATCCCAGTGCATCATAATGAAGGGATATCACTTCATCTAAGGCACGAGGTTCGTCTCTCTCCAAACACCGCTGGGTTTGATCAGTAAGTTGATTCGGCGATAACGGAAGCATGGATCGGGCGTGCCACTCCTGCTCGAGATCATTTGCATTAATGCTTCTAGCAGAATGTAGAGCGCATGTTTCCATTGCAATCGCAGCCGCTCTGTGAATGTGGCTGTTGGCGTGGCAGACATTGACGATTTCGCTCAGTAACTCTTTGGCTGCATCAGCATCCGTTTGAAATCCCCGTTTCGCGAAGCGCGAGAGCAGAGTAACGGCAAGATACAGCTGTGTGACCGTTCGGTCCGGATGATCGGTGGGGCGCAAGTCGAGGGCGCCTTCAAACAGGGAGACAGGGTCGTCGAGGTCGAGGTATCTTCCCTCAGCTTGGCAACTAACAAACTTTGCGGTGGCAAGATTAAACAGCACTGCAGGGCGGTAGGGATGATTCATGGGGCAGAGATGCAAGGCCAGTTCAAAGTGATCTATGGATTGTTCAAGATCCCTACCGTTCTGCATCCTGCGGTATCGTGCGAGAAGACGATGTCCGACATCCGTCCTTAGTGCTAATGCCTTTATATCGGGGGATGCAGGCTACGCGTTACAGCTTTCAGCATCAGAATGCCAGACTGCGTTAATCACTCACATTAGTAAGGAGGCAAAGAAATGCGGCTTCATTTGGATCAGAAAGTTGCTGCTCTACTCTCATGAACAGTGAAGTACAAGCAGAAATGACTTCCCGCTGCTTCGGCTGAAATATTATGGCTGTGATGTTCGTTAGCATGTGTCAGGCATTGTGTGCAACGGACGATACCGACAATGCGATCTCTCGCTGCGATCCAGTAATTCTCCGACCGAGATCTCGAACGTGCGGAGGAGCTCTCCGTGACAGAGCATGGGACCCAATTCGAATGAGGCATACACGCTGACCCGGACTTTGGAACATGGCTCGTGCGGCCTAGAGTCTTTCTCAATACCTGCACAGCAGACGGGTTAAAGATGACTTACAGAGGAATGCGCTCGCGCCATTCGATGACAGCCTGGTCTACATTTACAGATATATTGCTTGTCTGGTATTCAACGCCATTGGCCTTGATCACTGCATGGAATCCAGCGGGGATCCATCGGAGGCCAAGAGTAAGATCAGTTGCGCGAATGGCTTGAAGGAAATGGTCAATACGAGCTGAGCGGAGATGGATATCGCATACCAGTGATGATTGGTTGCACTCCACTGAGGTGCATCTCTGCTGGGTCCTGGGTGTGGTTTGGGTCGTTCGGCTCCTCACTAAATAACAAGCACATCATCAGGCGTTTAGATGAACCGTGCTTCATATACTTACTTATCTTGTTTTTGCCTGAAAATGCGAACTTAAGTCCATACATGTGTTATACAACGCAGCGACTTACGATGGGGAAGTTCTAAGCGACGACGCTGGAGAAAAGTCTGATTCTGATGGGGTTGAAGAGACACGTCGACGATGAGCCATTATGAAAATGATGGCTGAGGGATGTATTCAAACGAACACTGGTCATGAAGCACTGCTGTACCTGTAAAGTTTTGAAGGATTATAAAGGAGGGAAACACATAGCATCAACCCTGTGCAGCGCCGATGAGTTAACGGGATATAAGTGGCTTGTCAAATATCGGGCCTTCTATAACCTCCTGGCTGGGTAACAATGTTAATGTCGTCAGATATGTACTGGCAGCAGTCTGATGGCACGATGAACTATATTAGCCATGTTGACTGTCAATATGCTTACGAAATAAAATTTGATAAAATTGTTATTTATTGCCTTTTATTCCGGATGCTACCCTACTTTGACCCTACTTACGACTTACTCTGCATATGACGTATCTATCAGACTAAATACGCTCCACCGCGTTCGTCTCCGATACATATGGTTCCAAGTGTTCGTTCACCTGCAACCAAAACAGCACGCAGATGTGCTGCAGCTTGTACCCTTTTCTTCTCGATTGCAAACCCTTGATTCAAAAATTTTGATGGAGAAGACAACGCTGGGTCCCTTGTTTTCGTCCCTGGGTCAATCTGCTGCTGGTTCACAATTCGTTATCCGGGGCTGGATAGCGCTTGCGTATTGAGTCAGTTTCTCGATATTTGAAGTATTGTGTCCATTCAATGCTAATGTTGTTCAACGCCTGCCGTGACTATCATAACACCAGTAGAGCTCGTTGAGTCATCTTTAACCCATGTGCCACTCTGCAGCTCCGCTCTCCTTTGTCTACCCCAAACTGAGTCCAGAAAAATGGTGCAGTTCATTTCAGGTACATTACCTGTTCGAGCGTTTAAACATCATAATGGGGCAGTGAATAACGCATGAATCACAGGCTCGTGTAATAAAATGGTTCGTCTTCGGGACTTCAAGATAGGTGTAGTTTTTGAAGAACACGGTAGGTGTCGCAGATCATCACCCGACACGGAGAAACCGGGACCCGCTCACCGGAGCCATGATATTGCGGGTAATATCGATAGATTCTAGAGTGCATCTAGTAAACAGGATAATCATTTATGTCATACCGCCCGCCCTTACGCCTCATCCAACACTCGCTTGATGAAGAGATTCACTTCCGGAGTCCCGAGCTCCCTACGCTACACGAACTCAAGCTTAGTGGTCCACGAGCAAGACTGGGCACGTTCAATCATTTTAGATAAATTCAAACATCCACATTGCTCGAGCAGTACGAAAATTTGTTCAAAAGCAACTGTACTGATTGGCTCCGAACGGCGAACTAGGTATTGCACTATTAAATATGATACTAAAGCAAAAGCAGAAACATGACTCACTGTCACGACGTGCCCCTCCGGTTGCCATTTCCATTTTCAATGTTTGTTAGGCTTGTAACAGAACCAATCTTCACCCTGAGGCACGCAGGTGAGTAATGTGGTTGAATCTTGGTTGCACAGCTGACTGCTCATACTCACGCCAAAAACTCCACAAGAGTGACCTTTGCAGCATTCGAGTACGGGATTTGTCGCATTTGGATTGCAATTTTGGTTATCTTCCAGACATGCACTGACAAACATAGCTGCTGTCAAAGCAACAACAACGGCGAGGAGGGAGAAACGCATTTTCTGTGCGAGGTTGATATGGACTATTCTAAGGGGGATCTCAGAATGATGTCTCTGAGGATGGTGGAACACTGTAGCACGACGGCCAGCTTTTATATGTATACGCTCAGGAGTACGATTCTGATCGATAAGGCAGAATTGTTATTGCTGTTATATGGCACAAATTTCAGCAGAACTGCAAGTGGGTATTTAATTAATCGGCCAGTAGGCATCGACAATTTTCTTGAAATTGGTGCATGTCATATTGTAAGTTGATGAGTTATAGATTAGGCGTCTATGTGTGGCGTTCTTCCGAGTCACGCAGAGGGCCAAGTACACCGTCGCTGGCTAAAATCCTATCCCACACATCCAAAAGTGGTAATGTGTGGCAAATCTGTCCGAAATGTCGTACATTTTAGCTGTTAGCAACCTCGCGGATGTTGTAGGTGATGAGGAGCTAGAACTTGAGGAAGGATGGGACCAAATACAGTTAGGGCAGCTACAATTGCTGTTTTTGTAGTACTAATTCAATGACACCCTGGGTATACCCTCCATGGGTACGGGTATGGGTGTCTATCTTCAGTACCCACGTGAAAACCCACACCCCTGGTATGGGTGTGGGTATATTGGTGGGTGTGGGTGCGGGTGTCAATGCATATACCCCAGGGTATACCCATGCTAATCCCTACTCATGAGTCATTGAAAACATCAGGCAGTCAGGAGAGCGAAGCCATACCAAAAATGTGTATCTATTCCAGTGTGATGAATCAACCTCTATGCAGCCATGGGCTAGTGATCTTGCAGTGTCTATGATACTTGAGCATTTTGAGATCAACAACATCAGCTGGATAAGTTTAAGCTTAATATTGTTCTGTGAAGTATTTGAGCAACACTTACCTTATTCTTGACATTACCACAGATTGAAGAAAGTGCTTCACTGATAAGTTTTGACAATTGTGCGGTGAGCTCAATGTTTTCAAACAGGAACTTCGAGACCTTGAATATCTTGTTGTTGTTCTTAATAAATTCCTGTCGTAGTTTTCAGCAGCTAATTTCGCCCACAAGAATATCGAAGCCATGACATGTTTGAGCGTGTCATTGATGTACACAGTGAGATTGGGTGATAACACACATGCTATGAGGCAGTTGTGAAGACGCGACTGGTCATGCATGATCAACTTGAAGTTGGCAGCAGATCACAGTTAGACGCATGTACCTTGAAATATTTTGATTCTATCAATTCTTTGATTTCCAGGAGGAGAGATTTTCTGTTCGCTGCACTCAGCATTATCAAGGTGGCCTTGATATTGATGAGCATATTGTTACAAAAACATCTAGACGCTTGGGCCCCTACTATTTTTCTCCTGATCCTCCTCGTATCAGCCCTCGCATCATACCCTTACCCCGACCTTACCCTTGTCGTCCTCGTCATCCTCGCATTCCCTTTCGCCCTCTACCTGTCGCTTCAGCAAAGCCAGTACATTTGGCCGGATCCTTTCGCTGACGAAGCATACCCGTGCTCCGTTTCACCACCTGACTGATCCTGCGGACAGTCCCCTTGCCCTTACCATCTGGACGGTAACCTATGACATGATGCACGATGCATCCCCTTTGCCCTGTTCCCTTTCTTGATCTCTGACTCAGTGCGCAGTCGCACATGCAACTTATACTTAGATCCGCAGCTACACGATTGTGCCCCTGCGCGTTTCACTTCTTATTTCAATCTTTGACTCACCTTCTTATCTAGCACGTTCTACCTCGACCGAACGTGCCTTCCTGTTATAGTCATACCCTTTACCGATTGCCTCTCCCGGTAGTACGAGTTATCACCCACTAATACGTCTCTTGCCCTCTATATAAACTCGCTACCATGTACCATATTCCCTAACTTGAATCTACTTGGTTCTTGACCTCCTACTCTTAACTGAGTGATCCTTTCTGCCTTGCCAGCAGTCTATATTCTATCTTCTTATCTGCTCATTGCGGATAAGCCTATAGTCTCGACCTTTACTCATCGACTTCGTCGACGAGCAAAGCCCCTGTTAACTAGTCGGACTTCTGTCCTTCTAATTAACGACGATCCTTACGATTAACCTTCGGGTGTCGTAAGCCTAGGCCGATATAGCTTATCGTCCAGCACCCGCGTGACATAAGCTACCTGATTTGGACATAGGCGTTAAATCGTACTTGCCGAAGACCCGCCAAGTACGACCCCTAACCTTGGGCTAGCCCAAGGACGTCCTCGACCGTTGACGACACAAGCTCTGTTTGAGCGTCGCCAACAGATACCATCCAAGTCGTAACACATATAGGCAATTCCTCCAGACTAAAAACGAATCAGAGATGAATCATGATAGCATTGAGCGAAGACTTACATCAACAAATTCAAAGAGTTGTTCTTCAGAGACACCTTTTTCTTCAGCAACTTTCATTGCATATAATTCAAGTCGAATCATAAGTACAGGTAAAAATGTTAACAAGTCATTACCATCAGTATTGGAAGATCTCCAGCGATGCACACCAGCACTGATGTGTGCATCTAGTGAGTCATCTGGCGAAGCGAAGCGAGGGCCTGAGGCAACAGTGTGACCTTCAAAGTCAGAGGCTCGATTAACTGCCACTGGCAAGGTCTGGGAAAGTGGTGAGCATGCATGGCTGATATGTCCCACTGATCTGGACAAAGGAGGTCCAGTTGCAGAAGTCAAAGGGCTCCTGCCTCAAGAAACAGTGGCAGGTGGTGCCAACAAACCATTTACTGAATGTGGCCCTGGGGTGCCTGTGCTTCTCGTACCAGAACTGGTCCACACAGGATAGCGCTGGAGAAACATGATGGTAGGATATTGACGTGGACACACTGTGCAGGAGCAGCTCACTGTTCTGCTGAAGGTTGACTGATGCGGTGAAGATGAGGAATCTAAACTGTGGGGAAAGTTGGTGCTAAGCTAAGCAAACACAGATAGACCTGGGCGTGAGTGAAATTGTCGTCCCAAGGGCAGCTAACTGAGTAAGGGAAACCTCTCTTTGTAAAAAGAGGGACACCAAACAACTAATGAAGTACTAAGTCTAAGTAACATGCGAAGTGGAAATGATGCGATGTACGAAAGGCGAAGGTCGAGGTGCGCGATGTGAAGGTAGTGCACGTGAGTGAGAGAAGCAAAGGAAAGACGAGGTGAGACGAGTTTTAACACCCCAACTAAGGTTGGCTGATGCTAAGACGGAGACCGAGAACTGAAGTGGGCGACTTTAGACAGTCACTTGCAAACAACGAGTAAAATTCTCAGTATCTAGAGACACAGAGAAAGTGGGTGGAAAATTGACCTAGAACATAAGTAATAGGAGGGTATAAGTAAAGTAGCTAAGTGGTGCTAGGCACACAGGTCCAATGTAACAAGCTGAACAGACTAAAAATAGTACACAATGTATGTAACAGGGTCTCGGTTACATGCGAAGCGCAGAGCCAAGTATTGGTGGTGGAAACCAATTAATTGAAAAGGGAATATGATGGGAAAATACACCAATGAACATCTAAGGACATGGGATGGACAGACAGACAAGTGCGCGAACCCACGAGGCCGCACGTGAAACCTGTGAAATAAAATATAAGTGCGCTAATGTGCTTGACGTATCCTGTGGATCAGAGCTGGAGTTTGTAGGGAAAGTGGGAGAATTTGGAGGGAAGTGCCTGTGAAGATGCGAGGCTCTACAGCGGTGAGGTTTGGGGCAGCTTGGTGGCTGATTGAATTAAATCCTCGCTTCCAAGTCTTCGCTTGCATCAATACAGTCACCATATCACAATTTCTTTAAGAGATGCTCCTCCAGCACACTCAAGCCCATGAAAGCAGTAGAGATAGGGTATCAAACAATAAAAAGGATTCTTGGGATAAGGGCAGGGTGGAGTAAGGCTGGGAGGAGGGTGGCAGGAGGGAAGAGCTATAGTAATCTTCTTGGTGCAGCAAAACTGAATATTTGTAACAAAGGCCTCCATACAACCCAATTTGAATGACTGGGAGGTTTCTGTGTGGCTGTAAGTAGAAGTTGTGTACTGCTGGATTGCAGTAGAAATTACGTACTGTGTATCAACTCTCTGATCAGTGACAAATTGTGGGATACTTTTGGTGTTCATATTCCTTGGGGATAGTATGCCATACCAAATGGAGGATGGTGATGCTGACTCTGCAGGTATCTGAACTTGAGAATCTTGGGGAAGATAAGGCTGTGGGAAGTGGCCTGCAACACCATGCAGCAAATGATGTGCAGGAGACACCACAGGTTGAGATTGGTGCAGTGGTGGGCTACAAGAAGAGCTGGGGGGTCCAGGGACAGAGGCAGTGTCATGAGATTGCTGGAGCAGAGGAGCATATGATTGAGATGGAAAATATAACTGTGGCGGGGGGGGTGATACAACTGGGATGGTGATTGGTGTGATTGGTGTAAGGGGGGAAGAGACAGAATTGGCAGGGATGGAGGGAAATACTGATGTGGAGGATAGTATGGTTGGGGTGTAGGTGAATACAAGTGTTGCGGAGGAGCTCTCATTGATGGCACAAAGGCAATTTCTGGGCAGACATGTCTGCAATAGTGTCAGGAGTTGGCGCCTTCTTTTTTCCTTGTATCCTCAGACCACCTGTGGTGTTCACTTTCGTTGTTTTCACCTTGGCCTTGGGTGCAGACTTCTGCAGTTTGGTCGGAGCACAATTGAAGGCAGAAGGTGGTGTCAAAGGTAGTTGAGCATCCACACCCTCGTCACTACCTGCTAGTTGGGACTCGTCTCCACCTTTCTTCGCTGCTCTCTTGTCTCGTAATTGGCGTATGGCTATGGCCTGAACTTCAGCTACATTGGTAACCTGAGGCGGTGTCTCATAAAGTGCATCAGGAACAACACATTGGATGTGACTGTAGTTATGTATGGAATAAACATTGAGAAAAAAGCTCAGAGTTGGCTTGTGCTCGAGGACGGCCTTTGTTCGAGAGGTGTCTATCCGTTCTTGATGTACAGTCTGTTGATGGATGTCCATGCAGTGTGAGTCGAGGCAATTATCTTGGATATTGATGGTACAAATGATATCCTGTGGATTGAACCAAGTCTTGAGCCATTATCATGCATATAAAGTATATGACATACTGCACCAGTTGAAACTATCTTGTCATCAGTAAGGTTGATGCATGGCAGGTGCAGAGTCGGGTGTAGAGCAGCTTCAAATGTAAAAAGCTGGAGCACAACATAATCCACAGTTTGACTGTCCTGGGATGATACAAGAATCTTGTGAATACATCCAATATACAGCTGGAAGCAACATCAGTGAGCAGCCGTCACAATGAAAGGGGAAAAAGATACTGGTTTACCTTCCTGTCCACTGGTTGTTGGAATATAACATAACTGTTCAAGTGAGCACATTCACCATTCACCTTCACTCGTCACAACTGATTTACTCTCATAATACATACTTCCATGCTGAACATTCCTAAGAATCTTCACATGACAAGTGATCTCCCACGAGGTCGCATTTTTTCACACTGACTTTGCTGTTGCAGTGGTGGTAGTAGTTTCAATTTTTCCCAAACCTGTAAATAATTAGTGGCAGTATAGTGATAATGCATGCCATTGGACTTACCAGGCATGGGACCATGACTTGAGTTTGGTATGCCTAGAAGACTCGCTTGTTCAGGATGTTCATCGAGATAACATTGAACCTTTTGTCCCACACAGACCCATTTCTTGAACATAGAATCATACCAGTATCCACCAGTAGCAATGTGTTTGACCGTGTCTTGGTGAGAAAAGATCCTGCAGGTGTCTCAACTTGGCACCTGTCGGTTGCTGTATATACATGATAACCAGAACACATGATTGAATGATTTGTATCACTCAGTTGAAAAAATGATTGTAGGGCAAAAACGACGAATGTATACCAGAAGATGGATGAGGAAATGGAACTTTGGTTTTGTTATCAAAATATTTGGTGCACATTGCACTATGATATTCAAGAAATCTTTGATCATTCAAGAGAATTTTGCCTAACTCACAAAGATATGAGACAAGCACTTTAGATAGAGCATGAATTGAACTCACAAGATATGCTTCTGTGTCTGCAAATTTTGTGTGCCAGACCAGTACGACAAGTTCACCGATCACTGTCCAGGCATTAAGCACTGTTGGGGGAACAAAATTATAAATAATGAATGACATAACTTGCGCCAGACTTTTGAAATGTTTTCCGATTAGACTCCCTTTGTAATGGCAGATATAGTCTGCATTTAGACAGGGAGCATTTAGGCTGTCTTTGTTGATGGACTCAAGCTGGTACTGAAAGACCTGGAGGAACTTTGCTTTCTTGAGAAGAAATACCGTCTGTCCCCAAAAGTATTTGACAATGCCCAGGAGTATCATATGAAGAATCTCAGTTGGGGTATCCATGTGAATATCTAAGCCTGTGGGTGTTACGGACTTGGATAGTGTCTGTTGGCGACGCTCAAACAGAGCATGTGTTGTCAACGGTTGAGGACGTCCTTGGGCTAGCCTAAGGTTAGGAGTCTTGCTTGGCGAGGCTTTGGCAAGCAAGGTTTAATGCCTATGTCCAAATCGGGTAGCTTATGTCAAGCAAAGCTCGACGATAAGCATATCTGCCAAGGCTTACAATACCCAAAGGTTAATCGTAAGATCTGCATTAATAGAAGGACAGAAGTCCGACTAATAATGGGGCTTTTCTCAACGATGAAGTCAATGAGTAAAGATCAAGACTAGAAACTTATCTGCGATGAGCAGATGAGAAAGTAGAATATGGACAGCTGGCTAGGCTGAAGGAATCACTCTGGTAAGAGTAGGAGGTCAAGAACCAAGTAGATTCAAGTTAAGGAACTAGATACATGGTAGCAAGTTTATATAGAGGAGAGGAAGTGTATTAGTGGATGATAACTCATACTACCGGAAGAGGAACTGGTCAAAGGGTGATACTAGAAAAGGAAGGCACATTCAAGGTAGGTCATGGGTGAACCAGAATATGCAGATAAGAAATGAGTCAAAGAACAGAAACAGGAAGTGAAACAAGCAGGGGCACGATCGTGCAACTGCAGAGCTAAGTATAAGTACAATGTGCGACTGTGCACCAAGTCATAGATCAAGAAAGGAAACAGGGCAAAGGGGATGTGGCATGAATTGTATCATAGGTTACTGTCCAGATGGTAAGGGTAAAGGGGACTGTCCATAGGATCAGTCATCGGGTGAAATGGAGCATGGGTATGCTTCATCAGAGAAATAATCCGGCCAGATGTACTGGCTCTGTTGAAGTGACAGGTAGAGAATGAAGGGAAATGCAAGGATGACAAGGATAACAAGGGCAAGGTCAGGGTAAGGGTGTCATGTGAGGGCTGAAATGAGGAGGATAAGAAGAAAAATAGTAGGGGCCCAAGCGTCTAGATGTTCTTGTAACAGTGGGAAGCTAAACGAGATATCTATGACAACAAAAAGCACTCACTGTCCATTCCCAGTAATGGATTGATAGTGTTGTCGAGTTGTCCACCTTTCAGATATTGCCTGAAATATCATCCATGAAGATGATTAAGGGAACACTATGCACCATTCGACCTTTTGACTTTTCTCACAGTGGGTTGAGTAAAAGTGACACATATTTGACAGAAGAGGCTGCACCATGCTTTAGTCCCATAGCCACTAACAAAATCATAATCAAACATATGTGTAAGCCCACCGTCAAGTTTGCTGCAGGTTGCAGTAATATCTCCAAATGATCATATAAACATAGATGTCGGAATGATCTCCTCGTCATCACTCATGATGAACCCAGCCTGATACACATGTGAGTATGAGCACACATGGCATATATATACAGACATCATACATCTGTCCATTCAATAGCTCGACCCAGTGCATATAGTACTTTATCTGATTGCTCGCAGGATTTGGTGACATTGATGGGGGTGTCAGCGGCAGCTAGAAAGAATCATTTTGGGATGAAATAACCTCCTGACGACTCCTGTAACAATTTGTCTGTAAAATACACTGTCCTGTCCACCTGAACTGCTGGTGGCGATGGAAGATCAAACAACATTTTCTTCCCATTGAACACTTGCAACATTCCTGTTCCGCCATCCTCTGGATAGTCTTGCATTGCAAGGCAAGTAGGGGATTGGTGTAGTCCTATTGAACAAGTTAATATCACAACAGCGCAGATATCTGGCCCACAAACCTTTGCAATTGCTTTCACAACACTATTAATGTAGAATACATTTCCAGAATGAGATGTGACTTTCTCAGTCAGATCACCCATAAGATCCTGCAGGTGGCTCTGACACTTCTTCATTGCGCCAAGTGAGGGAAGGCTTTGAACACCAAGTTCTTTGGCCCAATTCAGGACAGCCTTCTTTTGGGCTTCAGAGAACAGAAGCTGCGGGGAGCTAAAGAGAAGGGAGGTGATGAAATGCTTGATGTTGATAGATGTATTTTATATACATATGCAAAAAAGTACTTACTGCTTTCGAGGGCCAGGGATACATTGGATGATCCAGAGAGATGGCGTAGTTGGTGCTTGCTGGTTTAAGAAGTGGGTCATCTGCAAATGCCCCTTGAGTATTGGATTACAGAACACAGATAGAATAGTTCACTCACCTAGAATTTTGATCCCAAAGTCAGGAGCACTGTCGTCAACAAGCTCACGCTCCTTGTTGGTGGAAATGATGGGTGTTGAGATGTCCATTTGCCCCGAAGAAACAGATGCCTGCAGTTCAGAAAACAGGTCCAGAAATTTGTTATCAAGCTGGAGTGTTTGACTGCTGATGATTTTATTTCAGAGATCGGCTAATGAATATTCAGAATCTGTATCATGTGGCACCATTTCGGGCATTTCAATAGGTGTGTCATTGATAGGATCAAGATACATGCTGAAGTCGTCATGACCCATGGAGAAAAGTGAAAAATCAAGATGATCAAGTATTGCAGCAATGGTTCTGGTTTCAGAAAGTTTTTTTTTAAGATTTCCAATGCAACAAATATGAATTTCTTACTTTGCATGCTTTGTAGCATGACGGTGTTCCATGACACAATAGGCACTAAGTTTTTTAGGGCATGCAGTGCAAAAGATGCAATTTGAATTGTTATCACAGAACTGAAAAACTGTAGATACAATGAGCATAAATAAATAAGCAATGAGATGATAAAAATAAATGTACTATAGCCATCAATGATATCGTCCTTCATGCTGATCGATTTCCAAGGAGTTGAAAGGACAGTGTGCACTGTGCAGATGTGCCAGTCATGTGACTGTGTCCATCTGAAATCTTGACAAGTCCAAACTCTCACGCCTGAGGCCTGGTCACTGTTTGTGGTGATTGTTGTTCAGTCAACTTCAATATGAATTCAACACTGTCACTCACCAAAGTTTTGACGATCTATCCTGGCATCCATTATCAAGACAACTATGCCTCGCTCCGACCAATGTGCCTAACTGTCTTCTTTCCCGGGTCATTTCCGAGACATCTTTTGGAAAGGACTGATGTGGTATGCATCTGCCATCTTTAATTTTCCTCCAGGCTTGCTCACAAGTAGATACTAGCCTATACGTATATCAGTATTGATTGATGAGCAGTATGGAACATTCACCACACCAGTCATAGAGGTTGTGTCACCAGACATGTACTGCCGTGGTAGCCTACTCCATGGTTCAGGAGACTCAGATGATGTAAGTGCACATCTCATTCATTTAAACATCAGCCTACTCACATCGCGCCGAAGTCGGATTTAGTCCAGGATATGTCCTGTGACAATGAAACCACTATATCATTCCTCCTGCTCCTGCCTTCATTCAACTACATCAATCAAGCCAATTGGAAGACAGTCTCCCAGTGAATTCAAGAATGGCTCACTTCTGAAGTTGATGCAGAGTCATCACTGTGGATGTGGGGACGCAACACTTTCTGGCTGTCATTTGTTGGTGCCTATCCATCCTTCCCAATGGGCAAGTGGCTGATGTGGGATCCTCGTATTCCACTGGAGGGATCATTCATTGAGGAGTGGTTAGAGCATTTGAATGATGGTGGCATTGATGAAGAAGCCCTGAAACAGGACAATGTAGTGAGTTATATTTGGAATGAATTTTGCACACATGCAGCACTCTTCTATCCCCTTCCCCTCATTTCCTCTAGTGACTGATATCATATCAGAGTGTTTGTTGTCCGATTTCCTTTAATCATACCATCATGTTGATTGTTACATATGTTTGGACCATAGGATACACATCTATACATCAGACTCATTGTTGTACAACTTGTATGTATGTACATACCAGAATGCAAATGTCATGAACTTTGACTCGAACAAATGATGCCTGTGTTGAAAACTGTTCAAAAGATTTGTTTTTTCAGTGTACAGTGAACGATCTTCTGGTCATGGCAGATGTGGCAGTCAGAGGCACAGATAGTGAGCATATTGATGGGATATCTACAAGATATCTCATCTTGAAACCTATCATGCATAACTCAACCCAAGCTACTCCATATATAGTGCATGTAATATCTGAATGAACTCTTGTGTCAGATGTGTGCAACATGTGACTTATCTTTACCAGATGTCAGAGAAAATTCCCTACTGTACACCAGATTTGTAACCTTTATGGTGTAAATTTATTATTTGTCTATAAAACCCTTATTACAGCCAGGATTACAGGAACAAGCCGGGTCCACTGAGATAGTTTTCTCACAATATTGGTCATAGATAAATGTGCAACTGGTGGTGTATTACAAGCCACTGTAATGGCGCGGACAACACCGCGTTGTTGTTACAAGAACATCTAGATGCTTGGGCCCCTACCATTTTTCTCCTCATCCTCCTTGTCTCCGCCCTTGCATCACACCCTTACCCTGACCTTGCTCTTGTTATCCTCGTCATCCTCGCATTCCCTTTTGCTCTCTACCTGTCGCTCCAGCAAAGCCAGTGCATCTGGCCGGACCCTTTCTCTGACGAAGCATACCCATGCTCTGTTCCACCACCTGACTGATCCTGTGGATAGTCCCCCTTGCCCTTACCGTCCGGACGGTAACCTATGATACGATGCACGCTGCATCCCCTTTGCCCTGTTCCCTTTCTTGATCTATGACTCGGTGCGCAGTCGCACATGTGTACTTATATTTAGCTCTGCAGCTGCATGGTCATGCCCCTGTGTGTTTCACTTCTTATTCTGTTTTCTGACTCATTTCCTATCTGCACATTCTGGTTCGCCTATGACTCACCTCAAATGTGCCTTCCTTTTATAGTCTTACCCTTTACCTGTTCCCTCTTCTGGTAGTACAAGTTATCATCCACTAATATGCTTCCTATCCTCTATATAAACTCGCTACCATGTATCTTATTCCTTAACTTGAATCTACTTGGTTCTTGACCTCCTACTCCTAACAAGAGTGATTCCTTCAGCCTAGCCAGCTGTCTATATTCTACTTTCTTATCTGCTCATCGCAGATAAGTCTCTAGTCTCGATCTTTACTCATCGACTTCGTCAACGAGCAAAGCCCCTGTTAACTAGTCGGACTTCTATCCTTCTAATTAATGCAGATCTTACAATTAACCTTCGGGTGTTGTAAGCCTTGGCAGATATGCTTATCGTCGAGCCCCTGCTTGACATAAGCTACCCAATTTGGACATAGGCATCAAATCTTACTTGCCGAAGCCTTGCCAAGTAAGACCCCTAACCTTGGGCTAGCCCAAGGTCGTCCTCAACCGTTGATGACACATGCTCTGTTTGAGCATTGCCAACAGATACCATCCAAGTTGTAACAGTTGTTGTCATAAAGCCCCATGGCATGCAGGCTTGGACCCCAAGGGCTGTTTCATTTGCATTCGCACATTGGGGTTTCAACATTTTACCTTTTGCAAGATGTCAATCAACAGCAGATCTGGACCTGGCTAGCATATGAGAGATCTAGCCTAGTGTGTTCTAGAGCACACTAGAATACCCTTTCAAATGTAATTTCACTGGCAGGAAAAGGTGGTAAAATGTTAATTTTTCCACTGTGTCACTTGAATTCAACTCAGCTTGTGCAGCGCCAACACTTGGTGTAGTGAATTATTTACAAGCAGTCTTGAACCACATTCTAAACCTCATCATTCATAACCCTCAGCAGACTCAACCCTTTGTTAGGTGTTTTAAGACCGATTGTATACACCAAGGGCAAGTGAGAAACGTGTGTATTTTGAGAGAAGTGATTCAACCAGGATGGCATGCTCACTGTGTTCCTCTCTGCCATAATATTGTTGGTTATGTCTGACACACTTCACAATGATCTTGGTTAACTGAAATCATAAAGACCTTGCTACTACATCACTCAGTGATGGTTGGGCTGTCTTGGGGGTGCGCCATCCACCTGTGCTAACTAGCCTTACTTCCCACATTCCAGCACCATGTATCACTGTGCAACACCCACCATCAAGGTTGTTCTTCCTGTTGAACCATCTCTATATCATCAGGTGCAGTCGACTTGTGTTGTATTTTCGTAGATTGGAATCGTGAGCGGCTATGCTTTTAGACTGCAGTTGGACAGCTGCACTGTGTATATATATGTAGGTTGTCTTGGGAGGTACTGCACCATCTGTCACAGCTTGAGGAGATAGGACACGTTCCTCCATGCGTATGAGGTGACACAAATCATATTCGATAATGGCACTTTCGTGGTTAGTCACTAATAACAAGGAATAAACATATGACCACCTAGCATGCAATCAACTTGCTAGCTTATGGTAACACATCTGTACATTAGCGATGAATCATACGAGGTCCACTTTCTTCTTTAACTTATCCTTGGGCTAGCATTTGGGTTTGAGGAGAGAGCAATAGTCGGCAACGATAGCTTTGTTGAGGGCAATAACATTCCATTCTCTGCAGGACAAGGTTGGAAGTGGGTAAACCAGGTCTGATGAGACAAAATTCAACAAGAACTCATGATGCCTGCAAAATGCAAATCATGCCTTGATGGAAGCTTGACCTTCAAGGACTGGACCATGATTTAAGATTCCTGGACGATTTTTTCAGCCACGTTGGGGAATTACAACACGGAAGATGCAGTGGGATTCCAGATAGCAAGGGGATGATACTCATCCGGGATAGGCCCGGTTTCATCCGCATTGCTAACATAGGTTTGTCCTATATGAGTTGTAAGAAATTAAGATAGGGTAGAATTGAGGCAGCAATAGAAGTCACATAATGACAGTGGGAGGGAATGAGGAAGAAGGCCACCTGATCATAATGGCCGGGAGGACCAATATGTCGTGCTGTGGACATTACTGAGAAAATAAGCAAGAATGGTGTGTACAGCTGAGGACAATTCTGCTGAGATACTAGTAGTAGATGCATCTTGAACATTGGATTAGAACCTGTGCTTCAATGTCACTCCTGCGCCTGCTCTCAGTAGCAGTGAGAGGGGGCTGTGGCCCAGGGTACAGAACATATTAGGTCAGTCCCCTGTACGTTTGTGTCTAATAGTACCAGATTCTATGCGTTGAGGAGTGGGATGCATGTATGCACTGTAGAGGTGCTGGGAGGTCATACTCATCAGGAAAATATCAAGTTCCTTATTTGCTCCTTATTTGCCTTAACTTGCACAATAAGGAACTTTTAAGGCCATTTTTCGTCCTTAAATTAAGGAAATAAGGAATGGTGGCCTTAAAGTCAGGTGGATAAGGCAGTCAAGGCATACTATTATTTCAGTAGACACAGAATAATCCAAGTAGGCCAAGGTGAAAATAAGGACGTCAATGAGTTCAAAATGTTCTATGAAAATGTCCAAAAAATATTAAAAAAGGTGTAGGACAGCGATTGACGAGGGCAGTGATTGAAGCGAAATGATATGAGGCTGGGAGATGAGTGCGCATGTAGAAAAGCCAAGTGAGTTCTGTCAAAAATTATTGTGTTAGAGCAGGAAGAATTAGAATAAAGAAACAAATACTTCAAATATGGATACGTGTGTGTGGATCCACTGGCATGGGGGGCTGACTTTGACCGTCGAGAATGCTAGACTCTTCATCTTGACCCTTGCGGTGAGCATGCTTCATGTACTGCTGAGCTCATTTGACAATTTCTTTTATGTGGTCGAAGGGCAGCTCAATTCATTCCATGTACACGAGTGTGTCAGTCTCCCAATTACCCGCAGAAAAAGCAGTGCCTGTGTTACTCATTTTGTTTGTGGAGTGATTGAGAGTTAGGGCGATCTTGTGTTTCCTGTGGCCCAAAGCATCTTCCACAATCAGGTCATTGCGAGCTAAAATAAGTGCACGCTCGGCCTGCAAATGAAAGTTAGGAAGTTTTGTAAAGGCAGTGCAAAACTCATGGCTGCAGTGGTCAGTGCAAGGGCCGTTGGATATGCAGGTAAGCTGAAGTTGAGTGAGTCAATTATCTGGCGTCCTTGGGTGGCATTGAGTTGAACAGCAAAGATGTACACAATGAATTCCAATAAGAAATCTCCAGGTGAGTCTTTGTTATCTGGATCTTCATATACAAAGCATGAATCTTCAAGTTGATATTTGGTATATTCTTTGTGTGCCTCCTTGGTCTTGTATTTGTCCGTGGAGGCAAAAATGCCATGAGAATGGTGATAGCAGTGGAGCCAAAGTTACCTCTCTACTCAGAGATCCTTTGGCATACCTGCCAGCATAGTTGTCAGCTAGAAGTACCAGAATGGGAATTCACTCATGAGGTTGAAGGCAAGATTGCAGCCATCATCATTCCTGAAGTCTCCAGGCTGCTTACACACTGCCATGAAGATATCCTCAAGAACGTCTGAGAGTTTCTCATCGAGAATGGTCCATGGATAGTTGATATTGCCGACCCAGTGCATGACCATTGGAATAAATATGGAATAAAAGCTTAGATTCTGAGCAGCATTGGGTAAGTGAGAATTCTTTGGCTTTTCTTTCTTCAGATTGAGTATAGTACATTGCACACATCCATTTTTGGTTGTGATGTACTTAGATTTTGGACCATCCATCGTGGTATCCATGATGCTAACTGACATCTGCATAGGAATTTGTCAGCATTGTCAAGTGACCAGAGCAAATTCTCCATACAGAGCTTGTGAGTCAACTGCTTGACTCTTTACAGACCTATAAGATCCATGATTGTGGTGAGCGATTCATCTATCTCACAGGACCCACCAGTACTTAGCTCCATATCACTCTGCTGATCTGTCATGTCAACATCCTCATCTTTGTCCAGAATATGTTCGTTGGCATCTTGGTCTTCTTCCATCTCACACTGCTCTTCAGGGTCATCCAACGAGGTTGTGGACAAGGTATGCTTTTGTCCCCTCATGGCATCATCAACAGTCTCATTAATATGCATGACACCCTGCATTGATTTAAGCATTCCCCATTCACAATCATGAAGTCACTCACCTGACCACCCCGACTCACAGCTACGCTCTTGTCATGATCTTCAGGTAGGTTTTTGTCTTTGGATATGTCCGCATCCCTGCTTGCAATCACTAAAAACTGTTAGCAATGTGTGCAGACATGAAACTGAACCTACCGCTGGCACATGCACTTGGTGGTGCAGATGGCTTCCATTGGGACTTCGATGCCATGCTTCTAGCCCACTTCCCTACTTCCACCTCCTCTGTTAATATGACTTGTTCAAATCTCCTACATTGTAGTAAGTGAATTATATTGAAGTAATAAAGAGTCAGCTCTGATAAGAGTAACATCACAGTTAAGACGAACTTACAGCGACCTTCTATTTTTCCCACTGTCACTCCCCCTGCCTGCACTTAGTATAACACACATTGTAGATGATGTACCATTGTTGGACACCTTTCAACTGGTGTTGACACCATCCTTGAAGGTGAGTTTCAAGCCTGGATATTTCTTCTTCGGGGTGTCAGTGCTTTGGACACCGTTTTTGCCTCAACAGTTGTATAAATGTCAAAGGACTGGTGAGTCTTGCAACAGCATTGTAGGCTTAGGCTTTGGTCTGACAAGGTGTCTCAGGCCAGCACGTTGAGCCATCTGCTTGACAGCCATAGTATCTTCCATTGCAGCAACCTTCTTTTGAGCATTTTCTAAGGCGGTTGTCTTGGCTAATTTCTCTGCTGATGTCTTTTTCTTTTCAGCTGCAATTACATCCTTTGGGCATGCTACGCGACTCGCTTCAAGAACTATCTGTCCAGGATGCTTGTTAACATTCCCTGGGCGCATTGCAGATCAAGGCATGTTGAGATCTAGGACAAGCTGTTTGAGGAATGCTGGTAGCGAGGTGTTGAAAGAATATGGACCCTAGCAAAAAGTGGCAATGAAAGGGTGAAGTTATATTTTTTTCCAATTGAGCATGTCATAATCTCTGATTCACACACTTAGTATTAGTCTAATCTCCATTCTACATATTCTGCTCCCTGGTATCCATCTCGCTACGACTGTCCAACATGGCCCCGGCTGTCACCAGGCTTGTTTGTTGGTCTCTGAACTGCAATCGGGTCTTCAAAAACAAGTCTGGCCTCACTCAGCACACACATGCACAACACAGCACGCCACAAAACCTCAATCACACAGCTCCGCTCGCAGGTCCTGGATTTATACCTCCACAGAGTTGTTCTCCCACTCCAGCAGGTGTTATCGATGAGAATTTCCATCAAGACCTGGCAGGCAACCAGGATTTTGTACTGGAGGAAGGTACTTGGGTGGATATGGGGTGCTTATTCCGTACTTTCCATCCGCACCTTACAGGTGGGCGTTTTTTTGAGGAGTTCATCTTACTGTTACTCAATTTTTGTCTTAGGACTCAAATGCAATGCTAATGGAGCATTTATTGACCAGGATGCACCCCCGCCACCTCATATGGATGCCCTCCCAACTGATTGGACACCTTATGACAATTGTGCTGAATTTGAGATGGTGGAATTCTTATTTACACACAATAAAATGTCTGCAAAGCAGATTGATACACTTCTCGACTTGTGGGCCGCGACTCTCATTAAGCACAATGATGCCCCCCCATTTGCAAATTATAGGGACATGTACACTACAATCGATGCAACACCACTCAGTGATACCCCTTGGAAGAGCTTTACGTTGTGCTACAATGGAGCCAAACCCGAACAAGATGTACTGCTGTGGATGGATGGACAATATGATGTGTGGTATAGAGATCCATTGCAAATGACGCGCAGCATTTTGGCAAACTGTGCTTTCAATGGAGGAATCAAGTATTCACCCTACCACAATTATACTACCAAGGACAAACAATATTTCAAGAAATTTATGTCTGGTGACTGGGTGTGGAAACAGGCAGTATGCCTTTTTCATATCTACATTTTGGCATACTAACAATCATCTCAAAGATGATATCGCTTGAAATGAGGAGAATCATGATTCAACATTTGTACCATTGATTATTGGCAGTGATAAGACTGTTGTTTTTGTTGCTACTGGTCAGACCAAATACCGCCCACTCTATCTCTCAATCAGGAACATTCACAATAGCGTATGACGGGCACATTGCAATGGTGTTGTGCTCATTGGATTTCTTGCAATACCGAAATGTAAGTACTTGTTATTCTCAATGCATCACTGTATCATAACCTTCATTTGTCTAGCTACAAAGGAACATAATGATGACATCAAGTACAGAAATTTTTGACGGCAGCTGTTTCAGTGCTCCCTTGCGAAGATTTTTGAGTCTGTGAAACCTTTCATGGAAAATTTTGATGTCACACACTTTCCGGATGGCCACTATTGATGAACAGTGTACGGCTTGGGCCCTTACATTGCAGACTATCCAGAACAGATACTTCTCTCTGGCGTCGTGCAGAACTGGTGTCCACGGTGTGTCATCAAACTTTGTTTTGCTTTTTAATGACTTATTTATTATCAAAATAGGTGTCTAGGACATAGGAAGGACCTTGACAGCTCTCAACCATGTCTCCATCAACGTGAAGCACATACTGAGTTGCTCATCAAACAACTCACATACAAACAGGCTTAGGATGAGTATGGCATCATTGCTGATCTTGTTGTAAGTTGCTCACTGAAACTCACTAGGTCCAATCTCACCTTTTCGCTTTTCTAGCCATTTACAAATGGCTTTCCTCGAGTGGACATCCACAAGTTCCTATCTCCAGATATCTTGCATCAAATAATCAAGGGAACTTTCAAGGATCATCTGGTTGATTGGGTGGGAGAGTATTTACTGATCACACATGGTACCCGTCATGCAGCTGAGATAATGGACAACATTGACCGTAGGTATGCAAATATATGATGTTTTGCTGATAACTACTAATAACATACAGGATAGCAGCAGTTGCCCCATTTGCTGGGTTGCAATGCTTTCCTGATGGGCAAGGTTTTCAGCAGTGGACAGGTGACGACTCAAAGGCATTGATGAAGGCATGCTGTGTATTATGTTCCAAATGACATGTGAGCTGACTCATATTTAGGTCTATCTAGCTGCAATTGAAGGTCACGTTCCTCAAGATGTGGTGCGCACATTCAGTGCATTTTTAGAATTTTGCTACACCATGAGGCATGAGGCTCTCACTGAAGATGACCTCATAAAACTACAAGATGCCCTCGACCACTTTCACCAATATTGAGAGATCTTCAAGACAACTGGTGTGGTCTCAACATTCTCCCTTCTGTTACAAGAACATCTAGACGCTTGGGCCCCTACGATTTTTCTCCTAATCCTCCTCGTATCAGCCCTCGCGTCATACCCTTACCCCGACCTTACCCTTGTCACCCTTGTCATCCTCGCATTCCCTTTCGCCCTCTACCTGTCGCTTCAGCAAAGCCAGTACATCTGGCCGGACCCTTTTGCTGACGAAGCATACCCATGCTCCGTTTCACCACCTGACTGATCCTGTGGACAGTCCCCTTGCCCTTACCGTCCAGACGGTAACCTATGATACGATGCACGACGCATCCCCTTTACCCTGTTCCCTTTCTTGGTCTCTGACTCGGTGCGCAGTTGCACATGCGACTTATACTTAGATCCGCAGCTGCACGATCATGCCCCTGCGCGTTTCACTTCTTATTTCGATCTTTGACTCACTTTGTTATCTAGCACGTTCTACCTTGACCGAATGTGCCTTCCTGTTATGGTTATACCCTTTACTGATTGCCTCTCCCGGTAGTACGAGTTATCACCCACTAATACGTCTCCTGTCCTCTATATAAACTCGCTACCATGTACTATATTCCCTAACTTGAATCTACTTGGTTCTTGACCTCCTACTCTCACCAGAGTGATCCTTTCTGCCTCGCCAGCAGTCTATATTCTATCCTCTTATCTGCTCCTCGCGGATAAGCCTATAGTCTCGATCTTTACTCATCGACTTCGTCGACGAGCAAAGCCCCTGTTAACTAGTTGGACTTCTGTCCTTCTAATTAACGACGATCCTTACGATTAACCTTCGGGTGTCGTAAGCCTAGGCCGATATAGCTTATTGTCTCGCACCCGCTTGACATAAGCTACCCGATTTGGACATAGGCATCAAATCTTACTTGCCGAAGCCTCAGCCAAGTAAGACCCCTAACCTTGGGCTAGCCCAAGGACGTCCTCGACCGTTGACGACACACGCTCTGTTTGAGCGTCGCCAACAGATACCATCCAAGTCGTAACACCTTCCACATCAACACTCCCTGTGCCACTACATATTACTGATTTGACTTTTCGGCGCACCCAACAGCCTTTGCTCTTCAATTACCAAGTCCAAGCACATCAAGGCAGTTAAAGAACCTTGGCGCCAATCTAGCAGGTTTGACACACTTGGACAAATGCTACTAACAAATCAATGCCTCGACAAACTTGCAGCTGCTCACATAGATTTTGAGGCATGTGGTATGCTTCGTGGCTCTTGTCTGTCCAATGCTTTGGGAGAACTCCGGAGATGTACATGATCTTTCTCTCTGATGATTTAGCCCTTCTCATACCCCCAATAGGTCAGAATATTCCTGCAGACAACGACTTAGAATCAGTGGCTGATATGGTGCAAGAAGGCCGTCCTGGGCATCTGCATATCCACGAGCCTCAAAATCATTCTGTTGAAGTGGATGCTGGTGAGATTATTGATGGACTGGCTGTGGAGTCCCATGTTGGGCTTGCATTAACTCCCCGTTGTAAAGAGTAGATCCGGGCTGGGCTCTACAGAATGTGAGTCCCTAGTCCTGAGAGATGCAAGTATGCTTTGTCCCAAGAGACAACCTAAAGAACTACCTTGATAATGCAAGGGAGGTCTTGTACAGTCAGAGAGTAGACAAGATATTGGAAGTAAACCTCTTTAATGTCCGTCCGGAGTTCCGAGACTACGTCCAAAGTACCGAGGAACTTGTCCGATGCGACCGAAAGTTGTCCAAAGCTGCGAAAGTGTTGTCCGAAGTAGCACAATACCTTCCGAGGTTTGTGAAAAATGTCCAAAGGTCAATATATGTTGGTATGTCGATGTGTCAAATAACAGTATAAGACTTTGCGAAACGTCCGAAGTCCAGAATGACACTAATCTATCGGAACTCAAGAATAAACGAAGTGCAAAATTGGCAGCGGTCTAGCCAAACAATCATTCTGAATGAACAAAGATCAATTGCGCAGTTACAATTATACCGAGGTGACTCTACTAATTATGACTCGAAGTATGGGAAGTGAAGTAAAGTATCAGTAGCCAGCAAGTGAGATTATATCCTACTTCGGTGAGAGACCGGAATCCATAGGCAAAACTAGTAGCGAGATAAGCAAGTCTGAACCTATGTAATAAGCCGCGATGTGTACTGTTTATACATATTCCAAGGCTCCCAACAGGATGCCAATGGAATTTTATCTGTGTAGCACTAAGACATAGTCAACATATAATTAGAATAAGGGAAAACACACCAGTGAAGTCAAAAGGACAAGGATAGGACATGGTATGGTAACTCGCAAGGTTCGGACAGGCCTCGGAACACAAGAACTGCCTGCGGAAGGTTTGGACAAGTGCACGCGGCCTTCGGAAGGTCAAGGGAGGTTGAGGAATGGTATGGATGTAGGTGTTGGATTGCCTGGTTCCGAGCACAGTGCCATGACCATCGTTACACCATATGTTAATCAGTTTGCTCCTGGACCCTTTCTGACAATGAATAGGTTGTGTATGAAGTGTTCATGCACTCAGCCTTGAACTCGACCTTCCACACCTCCCATTTATGATTCAACAATTCATACATGATCAACACTATTCAAGAGATCCCAACCCTCCTAAGTTTGATCCAGCAATGGCGCAAGTATTCCTAGGAAACCTCACCATCTTTAATTCTGCTGCAGCCTCATTCCATGCACCCAGTGATCTGAGTGGTATGGGAGGTATGTGTTGCGAGCACATCCGGGCAACACCATCACGGTGCGTTGGCGAACCAAGGCATGACTGTATCTTCATCAACATGGGTGTTGAGTTTGACTCTTCCATGAATGGACTCGCAGTTGCACGAGTCCTTTGCTTTTTCTCATTTAACTATCGAATATTGTACTATCCCTGCACTATAGTTCATTGATACTCTTATGTCCATGAAGAATGCGATCCTGACACAGGCATGTATGTTGTTATGCTGACGACAACTGGTGACGACGTCCCAGACGTCTCAATTATTCACATCGATTGTATCTTTCGCACTGCCCATCTCATTCCAGTCTATGGCCCAGACTTTATCCCAAAAATAAGTCCACACAACTCATATGACATGTTTAACTTGTACTACGTCAACAGATATGCAGATCACCACACTTTTGAAATAGCGTGATTTGTGGTATGTCTTTCCTTATCCTTTTGTCATCCTTTCACTAACCAAATACCCTATAGATCCGAGGCTCAGTGTATTGAGTACGGCAGGCTCCAAGACCAGGACAATATTGGTATATTGTTCTCCTCCCTCCCCCATGTGTTACGACTTGGATGGTATCTGTTGGCGACGCTCAAACAGAGCGTGTGTCGTCAACAATCGAGGACGTCCTTGGGCTAGCCCAAGGTTAGGGGTCTTACTTGGCAAGGCTTCGGCAAGTAAGATTTGATGCCTATGTCCAAATCGGGTAGCTTATGTCAAGCGGGTGCGAGACAATAAGCTATATTGGCCAAGGCTTACGACACCCGAAGGTTAATCGTAAGATCGTCATTAATTAGAAGGACAGAAGTCCGACTAGTTAACAGGGGCTTTGCTCGTCGACGAAGTCGATGAGTAAAGATCGAGACTATAGGCTTATCCGCGAAGAGCAGATAAGAAGATAGAATATAGACTGCTGGCGAGGCAGAAAGGATCACTCTGGTGAGAGTAGGAGGTCAAGAACCAAGTAGATTCAAGTTAAGGAATATGTTACATGGTAGCGAGTTTATATAGAGGACAGGAAGCGTATTAGTGGATGATAACTCGTACTACCAAGAGAAGTAAACGGTAAAGGGTATGACCATAAAAGGAAGGCACGTTCGAGGTGAGACATGGGTGAGCTCTGAACGTGCGGATAAGAAAGTGAGTCAAAGATCGGGATAAGAAGTGAAACACGCAGGGGCACGATCGTGCAGCTGCGGAACTGAGTATAAGTCGCATGTGCGACTGCGCATCGAGTCAGAGATCAAGAAAGGAAACAGGGCAAAGGGGATACGTCGTGCATCATATCATAGGTTACCGTCCAGACGGTAAGGGCAAGGGGACTGTCCACAGGATCAGTCAGGTGGTGGAACGGAGCATGGGTATGCTTCGTCAGCGAAAGGATCCGGCCAGATGTACTGGCTCTGCTGAAGCAACAGGTAGAGAGCGAAAGGGAATGCGAGAATGACAAGGATGACCAGGGTAAGGTCGGGGTGAGGGTATGATGCAAGGGCTGATACGAGGAGGATCAGGAGAAAAATCGTAGGGGCCCAAGCGTCTAGATGTTCTTGTAACACCATGGGCCATCATCTCCACTCCCGCATACTCAAACAGTACCATCTTACCAGGTATATTGTTCTTGTCATATCCCATATATCCACGCTTCTCATCCGGACCTCAGACCCTAGGTCTGATATACAGATCTGCTTCCGATCCGAGATATGATAAGCTTCCTATTCATTTCCTGTTCATATAACATTAATCACAGCCTATTCCTTTATTCAGTATTCCTTGTTCCAGGTATCTCAGTTATCCTTACTTCCAGCTATGCTTTATGATCTGTTAACCTGTGCTAATTTCCGACTCGTGTTTAACTTGTGATAAACTTTGCTTGTACATTGTGCATAGCCTCGGATAGTCTTCTAGTATATAAACCCTTGTATATGCCCTGTAATACCTCAGTTCAAATATCATCTTAGTTTGTTCTCTTTCTGTCCTCTGTACTTGAGCCTAGTTAAGCTTTTGTCGCATTCCGAGACTTAAGGATTGTATCTTATAAGTCTACATCTCTGACTCTATCTTTTGATAGTCTATACTCTGTTATTTTCTAGTCTGGACCTGTCCGGATTAGTCTTACATGTGTTTCTGTTATCCAGACAACCTTCAGATATCATTATGGTACTCATCTGATCCTCCGGATGTGTTATATCTCCATCTGTGAAATAAGGGGCAGTACTTGGGAAAGGGGCACAGTGTACGAGCTGAGGCCAAAGCCCTATCGGATCCGTTAATACGAGAGTATGACCTTAACAGTATATTTGAACTCACACCTTTCCAAGTATACATACCATATTCATATCATGGCTCCTACAGTTACTCAAGCAGCCTTGCACACGGTCGGGCTTTCATCCACCTGTCACGATCCGACTTCCGTAGTTGATACCTTCACTAGCTTTTCACAGCACTGTGCTTCCCATGGTACGGTTCCAAGCATATCCGAAATCCTAAATCATTGGCATCCAGAGACCCCTACACGCATGCCTGCTGGAGGGCCTCCAGATGATGAAGACGACACCCCTGGGGGAAATCCTCCAGATGATTTTGGAGGTGACCCAGATGATGGCCCAGATAATGACAATAAAGACAATGGACTTAATCCACAAGACCGAGTCATGCTACGTCTTTCCGAAGCTATCAATAACCTTGCACGCAACAATCATTGTCCTATCCCATCCAATGACTCCAAAGTCAAAGTCCGAGAACCCGGCATTTTCGATGGCACTGAGCCTCAGAAGCTATGTGCATTCTTCATTCAATGCAAACTCAATTTTCAAAGTAGACCTAGAGCCTTCCATACCAGACGGGCTAAGGTCAACTTTGCCCAATCCTACCTCAAGGGTATGGCCCTCAAATGGTTTGAACCGGACCTCCTGTCTGATGATCTAGACAATCGTCTGGACTGGTCGGATGACTATTCCGCATTCATGTTTGAATTGCAGACTAATTTCAGACCACATGATCCATCCATAGATGCGGAGATGCAGCTAGAGCAGCTCCATATGCGTGATGGACAACGGATCAATGAGTATGTTGTTGAATCCCAGCATCTAGCTTCTCAAGTCCGAGGTTGGGGAGACGGTGCTCTCTGACATCAGTTCTATAACGGACTTCCAGCTCGCATCAAGGACAAGATCAGTCGCATGGCTAAACCATCTACCCTATCCGAATATAAAATCCTTGCCCAGAATATTGACACTCGATACTGGGAATGGAAGGGAGAAGTTGCCCATGAAACCAAGTCCACCACATCCTCCAACCCACCACATCCTCCAACCCACCAAAGCAGTCCTCATCCAAATGCACGTCCTTCGGTCCATCTGGACCTGCGAATAAATCCGACAAACCCGTGGCCTCCTCATCCTCCTCCACTTCTAAAGCTCCAGATCTTACCTCCAAGCTAGGGAAAGATGGCAAGCTCACCTACGAAGAGCACAAGAGGTGGATGGATAATAAACTCTGTCTGTTCTGTGGTGGTGTCTTGCATGATGTGGGAATCATGCATGGACATGAATACTAGGTGACCCTCAAAAGACAAAGTCTGTTAGCTCAGTCCTCAGACTAGTCAACCCATATCTTGGTTTTAAACCATGGTCCATATTTCCAGTTTTCCCCAAGTTTTACGATCTGAATATGTTTTGATGGAAAAAGTCTAATGTGAGATGGGAATCACATATAGACCTAGTTGATGTGAGAAGAGAAATGAAGGTTAAGGTATAGCATTGCCTTTGGCTTATTCACTTTGGCTAGAGAAAAACCATAGAGAAAAGTACAAAGCCTATAAAAAAACCTATCCACAAAGACCGTGTTTCAATTCCTGCCAACTGTCTTATTTTTGCTACCTACCTTTCTCTAGTGTTTCTTTACTTTACTTTTTCATTAGAATGCTTTGACTCACCTGACACTTCATAAAATTGTACCCATAGGGTATGATGTCATTATGATGTCATAAGACTCCACAGATACTCCTGCAGGTATTCTGTTGAAAGATATTATGTCATCAAACTCTAGAATATTCTACTCCACAATGATGTCATTATGATGTCATTACTCCACATTCCAGAATGTTCTGCTCCACAATGATGTCATAGCTTCTTATTTTATTCTTTTATTAGGGTTTGACCCAATATTTTGATTGGTCCTCCTGTCACAAGTACCTTTAACAAACCATTATTCTTTCTTGAATCTTCCTAAGCGTCAATACATAGCGCCTAAACCAAAACCTAACCCTACAGTAAAGGCGTCAACTAGTTCTGAGATCCCTTTAGCGCCCACAACATGTGTCTTCGATGTGACTGATGAAGAAGACGAGTTCTTTGATTGTGATCAAGATTAGATTAGATATGATAAGATAAGATATGATCATGTGATACTTCTTTAGTATTCTACAATGTTCTATGGTACGATTCCCTTTTCCTTTTTATGATTGGCTAGTAGTTGTATCTCAGTTTCAATCTCAGTTTCAATAGTTGTATATAGGTAGCACATCTTGGTCGATAGTTCCTTAGTTCAAACCTCTTGTATCTACATCATTGTAGCAATACAAGACGTACTTACTCATTTCCTTTTGTTGTGATAACCTTAGTCCGAGTCCTAGTCTCTGCCCAGTGTTAATTTGTTATTGGGTTGTGACACCTCCTTATTTTTTATTGTTTGTGAACCTAGGTTACTTTCCCACACAAAATGTATATAAGGAGAGCCCATTCTCCCTCAAAAAAATATGATCTCCCATTTGTAGCAATCTGCCTATCAGATATTTCACTTGCAAAGTTAGTCCCTTTGAAGTGAGACAAGTGCAGGGAAAAGCATTCCCTTGAGATTATAAGTTTCTTACCTTAGAAACTTATTTAGTGCTATAGACCAAGTGTTCTTGGTCACATATATTGTCTTTGAGACCCCTTTGTCTCATTGCTCTGTGCCCTTTGACTAAGTGATCTTAGTCATCTATCATATTGTTGAGACCACATCTCACTAGTTGTCCCATAGACCAAGCGATCTTAGTCAAGTTCCAGTCCCATTTGTTCAAGCAATCTTGAACATATATTGTATACTTGAGACTGTTGTCTCATAGTTCCAGTGCCCATAGACCAAGCGATCTTGGTCAAATCTTGTATATTTGAGACCACGTCTCACTAGTTCCAGTATTCAAGTCCAGAGCCTAGAAGGAGATTTCCTAGGCAAATACGTCCCAGAAACCGAATTACATGTCTAGAAGCTTATTCCTAGACAAGAGATTTGAGTTTCAATAAAGAAAAATAAAGCTCCAGCTAGGTCAATCTTAATAAAGATTAGTTTAGCAAGCCTCCCAAGAACTCACACATTATCTACCATAAAATAGGAAAAGTTGTAGACCGTGTTAATCGAGGACTGGCAAGAAGTCTTATCCAAAGTGTAATTGTGGTGTCATTACATTTACACGACTTTATATAAGACCCTTGGTTATCAAGACAGTGGACCCGGCCATACGGCTCAGGAATGCACCAAGTTGACTTTGCATGCTGCCAAAGGCCATGCTGCAGTAGTCACTCCAGAAGCCAAACCGGAAGTCTCGGATGAGACAAAAAATAGTCTGCAACCCTCTTGAATCCGTGCAGTGTAGAGCCTCGTGTCTCCACAGGCACTTCCCTCTGAATTCTCCCACTTTCCCTACAAACTCCAGCTCTAATCCACAGGATACATCTGGCACATTAGCGCACTTATATTTTATTTTGCAGGTTTTGTGTGCGGCTTCATGCATTCCTGCACTTTGCACATCCACACTCGCATTGTCCATGCACCCGTCCGTCCGTCCATTCCATGTCCTTAGATGTTCATTGGTGCATTTTCCCATCATATTTCCTTTTTGTTTAATTGGTTTCCATCGCTAATACTCAGCTCTGTGCTTCACGCGTAACCGAAACCCTGTTACATACATTGCGTACTATTTTTAACCTGTTCGGCTCATTACATCAGACCTGCACGCCTAGCGCCACTTAGCTACTTTACTTATACCCTCCTATTATTTATGTACTAGGTCAATTTTCTGCCCACTTTCTCTGTGTCTTAGATACAAGGAATTTTACTCGTTGTTGCCAGTGACTATCTGAGCCTTGCACATCCACATATCCACCTTAGCATCAGCCAACCTTAGTTGGGGTGTTAACAGTCTTTTCGTATCGCCTATCCATACTCTCTCTCACTCATTCACTGTTCCCTTTCGCTCGCGCGCACTTACTTTCGTGTCGCCCACTTCACCCTCTCGCATTTTGCACTCGCGCATCATCGCGCGTGTTCACCTTTCGCTTCTTGCAATGCATTTGCCTTGCGCACCTTAGTGGTTTATCTCCCTATCATTGGTTTGGTGTCCCTCTTTTTATAAGAGAGGTTGTCCTTTTACCCAGTTAGCTGCCCTTTGTCGACGATTATACTTGTGCCCAGGTCTATCTGTGTTTGCTTAGCTTAGCACCAACTTTGCCCACAGTTTAGATTCCTCTTCTTCAGTGGGGCAAGGATTGCGTTGACTCCACCTGTGCAATGGAGCTATGTCTCAATGCTGTTTCACTTACTGATCTGAACTCTCTTTGTCCATATGTATCTCTTCTGACTTTTCGTCTCTTATAGACTGTGGTTCCTCACATTGTTGTATAGACTCTAGTTTCATTCAAAAATATAAAATCCCTACATATCCGATACCTCTGATTTCTCTTCATTTGTTTGATGGTACTTGTAATAGTATGATTTCCGAAGCCGTAGATTTACCCATCTGTTTCTCGTCCAGTGTAGTGACCTCCGATACATTTTTTGTTACTCCTTTGGATTCTTCTTGTTTTATCGTTCTCAGATATAGCTGGCTCACTCCACACAATCCATTGATTGACTGTGTTTCGGGCAGCATCGACTTCCGAACAACTACTCATGGAATGCCTTTGACACCCCCGACATCGCTTCCATCTCCAGATACCTCTCTTCCAGCGGAAGAATCACCTCCTCCAACTACACCCAGTACCTCCACTGACAAAACCATCCCTAGTATTTTCTTAATAAATGCAGTTGCCTTTTGCAGGGCCTGCAAAATGGAAGGATCGGTCCAGTCCAGCATTTACCTTCATCCACCCGGCGCAAACCTTCATTCCACTACCCTCTCGTCCGATCCGCCAGACCTCTCCAAGATTCCCTTTGAATATCATGAATTTGCAGATGTTTTCAATAAAGGCCAAGCTAGCCAACTTCCTCCTCATCGTTCTTATGATCTCAAGATCGAGTCAGAAGAAGGAACTAGTCCACCCCTCGGAACCATCTATTCTCTCTCCTGGTTGAGCTTGAAGCCCTCCAGAAGTTTCTTGACAAAAACATTTTCAATGGACTCCTCCAGTCCTCATCCTCTCCTCATGGAGCTCCTCTCATTTGTCAAGAAGAAGGATGGCTCCCTCCACCTCTGTGTGGATTTCCATGGACTTAACCAGATTACCAAGAAAGACCAATATCTGTTACCCCTCATTTCCAACCTCCTAGACTCTCCAAGCCATGCTAAAGTCTATACCAAAATTGACCTCCAATCCGCTTATTGTCTTGTCCGGATAGCGGAAGGAGATGAATGGAAGACTGCCTTCTGAACGCGCTATGGCTCTTATGAGTGGTTAGTAATGCCAGAGGGTCTCACTAACACTCTGGCCGCATTCCAATGCTTTGTCAATAGCGTGTTTGCCAATATGCTGGATGTATGCATTATCGTATATCTGGACGACATCCTCATCTATTCCCAAGACCTTGCATCCCATAAGAAACATGTCCGAGAAGTCCTACTTCGCCTCCGAAAACATCGACTCTATGCCAAACCAGAAAAATGCACATTCCATACCACATCTGTCAAATACCTTGGTTACCTCCTATCTCCGGACGGCCTGACCATGTCGTCCGAGAAGATCTGGGCCATCATAGACTGGCCTGAACCTCAGAAAGTTAAGGATATTCAATCCTTCCTTGGATTCACAAATTTCTACTATCAATTCATCTTCAACTACTCGGATATTGTTGTTCCTCTTACCCGTCTTACCTGCAAGGGTGCTCCTTGGGACTTTTCCAAAAATTGTCGAAAGTTGTTTGAAACACTCAAGAAAGCCTTCACTTCTGCTCTGGTGCTAACACATTGGATTCCGAATGTTCCAATAGTCATAGAAACCAACACTTCTGACTATGCTATAGCCGGAATACTTTCCATAGTATGTCCGGACTCAGAGCTTCGCCCGGTAGCATTTTATTCACGAATGCTTACCGCTCCAGAACTCAACTACGACACTCATGATAAGGAACTACTAGCCATACATGAAGCCTTCTGGACCTGGCAACATTACCTAGAAGGCTCATCCGAGCCTATAGATGTTGTCACGGACCACAAGAACCTTAAGTATTTCTCCACCACCAAACTCCTTTCTTGTCGTCAGGCCCACTGGTCAGAATTTCTCCATCAGTTCAATCTTGTCATCAGTTTCCATCCCAGAAAACTCAGAGCTAAACTGGATTCCCTTACTAGATGCTGGGACGTCTACCTCAAAGAGGGGGATAAGGACTATGCTCAAGTTAATCCCCATAATTTCCATCCGGTATTCACCTCAGAACAGTTAGCTTTGTCCCTATGAGCCTCAACTTTAGCAACTCCGGTTCTTAGGGCAGCCATTCTGATCAATATCGACCAGCTCCACAAAAACATCCTGATCGCACTCTCCAATGACCCTATCACATCCAACCATCTTCCAGAACCCTCGGATCCGAGATGGGCAGTAGACGATAGTGGCTTCCTCCACTGTGACAACCGTATATATGTTCCAGAATCCAACAACCTCCAACTTTGCGTCCTCCAGAATACTCATGATCATCCCTTGTCCGGACACTTCAGGCAAAATCGGACATTAGACCTCATCCGATGCGAGTATACTTGGCCAGGAATTCGCACTTATGTTAAGGACTATGTTAAGTCCTTTACTTCCTGTGCCCGAGCTAAGGTTCCGAGACACAAACCGTATGGATTACTCAAACAGCTACCCATACCAGAAAAGCCTTGGAACTCCATATCCATGGATTTCATAGAGCACCTTCCGGACTCATCCAGCTTTACTGCCATCCTCGTCGTCATTGATTGCCTATCCAAACAAGCCATATTCATCCCGACCCATGACACCATTACCTCTTCGGACCTCGCTCGCCTGTTTATCCTCCACATATTCTCTAAGCACGGAGTTCCATCCCACGTAACTTCGGACTGAGGAGCAGAATTTGTATCCCACTTCTTCCAGTCCTTAGGAAAAGTGTTAGATATGGTCCTCCACTTCACATCCAGATATCATCCAGAAGGAGATAGACAAACCGAACAAGCCAACCAAACCCTCGAACAATACCTCTGGATATACTGCAATTATCAGCAGGATAACTGGTCGGAACTCCTTCTGTTAGCAGAATTCACCTACAACAACGCTCCAAGTGCTACCACTGGGGTATCTCCCTTTTTCGCTAACAAAGATTATCATCCAAACCTATCTGTTCATCCAGAACATGATCTCTCATCCGCCCGCACACGAGAATATGCCATAGATCTTGACCAACTTCATCAGTTCCTTCGAGAAGAAATGGCCCACGCACAAGAAAGATATCAAGGACCTGCGGATGCCAAACGTAAACCTGCTCTGGATCTGAAAATCAGAGATCAGGTCTTTGTCAAGGCGAAATACTTCCAATCCACCTGTCCATCCAAAAAACTCTCAGAAAAGAACTTAGGTCCATTCGAAGTCATAGCTTGTCCAGGTACGCATTCCTTCACCATCCAACTTCCGGATTCCATGTGTTCCGTACATCTGGTCTTTCACATATCCCAATTAGAACCAGTATCTCCCAACACTATTCCTGATCGCATCCAGCCTCCTCCACCTCCGGTCGAAATCGACAGAGAACCAGAATATGAGATATCTGAAATCCTTGACTCCAAATTGGACCGCTGGAGACAACAATGCCAACTCCTATACCTCATTTGGTGGTCGAGATATGAAGGAACAGATGAAGAAACCTCGTGGTTGCTTGCAACAGAGCTCAGAAATGCATCCAAATTAATATCGGATTTTCACTCTGCATATCCGAGCAAACCCGGTCCTATTCAAACTTGAAGTACATATTGTGCAGAGTAGTTACAAGTACATTTAAGGACAGAAACAGGAACAGACCCAAAATTTCTACATCTCCATAGACCCTTCCGCCTCTCCAGATCCACCTGCATCACTTCTGGATGCCTTACCCATCTCCTCATTCTCCTCCTCAACTTCCAGCATCATCCGAGCCACTTCCAGATGTACCTCATCCACCTTTCCAAGCCTCCCAAACAGAAGGGCCTGAAACTCCCTCTGTTGCCTAAGGAACACCTCAAGTCCGGAACTCATCCGGTCCGCTGCAGCCCTGCTGCCTTCTGCCGCCTCAATGCTCCTTTCCAGGAGTGTGCTGGTCCAAGCCAGTTCTGCCACAATGTTATTGGCAGTGGCCACCCAAGCCTGGTCGTCATATTCCATGTCCTCCGCAACATCCAGAGTCAGACTCTTCTGGCATCTCTTACCCTTGCCCTTCAGAGATGGAGATCCGGCAGCACGCTGTCTCTTCTTGCCCTTAGGAACCTTCACAGTTCCGGGCCTTCCAGGACAAGTACCCTTGTCCTTCTGGCACTGGTTGCAAGATTTGGTCTATCCAAATGTCAGAAAACTTGGATCCGAGATATCTGGATGACTCACCAGGACATTCTTCTCTGCGTCCTTCCAGAGGCAGTTCCGACCCTTGTCGACACACCATGCGCAGGGTCTGTCCCCTTCCACAGACATAGCACGAGACTTTCGTCTGTTAGGAAAGAAACCCTCACACAAATCTGAAACTCACCATTTCCTCCACTATCTCCCTGCGACATTTTTGCTCTGCCTCCATTCAAATTTTGGCCCGCTTAATCCTTTCCAACTCTTTCTTACACTTCCATTCCTCTTCCTGGTGTTTCTGCTCCTCTTCCTCCATCCGGGCTGCTTTCTCCGCATCCGCCAGTTGCTGCTTAAGCTCATCCAGTTTCTGCTTAGCAGGATTTCTGAGATTTGAGGTTGCTGCCAGACATATTGACCAAAGTGTTATAGAGATTGAAAAGTGGGAAGGGAAGAATCAATTTAAGACACCATGCCTTCTGTATACCTATCTGAATCCAAACTCAGAAACTCCTTCCATCGACTTCTCCATCATCTCGCGCTATTTTTGTTAAGTCCAGACCAATCGTTCCTGTGCCTCTAGGGATCAGCCCTAAGGGGGGGATACTGTCATATCCCATATATCCACGCTTCTTATCTGGACCTTGGACCCTAGATCTGATCAGATCCAATATACAGATCCGCTTCTGATCTGAGATATGATAAGCTTCCTATTCATTTCCTGTTCATATAACATTAATCACAGCCTATTCCTTTATTCAGTATTCCTTGTTCCAGGTATCTCAGTTATCCTTACTTCCAGCTATGCTTTATGATCCGTTAACCTGTGCTAATTTCCGACTCGCATTTAACTTGTGATAAACTTTGCTTGTACATTGTGCATAGCCTTGGATAGTCTTCTAGTATATAAACCCTTGTATATGCCCTGTAATACCTCAGTTCAAATATCATCTTAGTTTGTTCTCTTTCTGTCCTCTGGACTCAAGCCTAGTTAAGCTCCTGTCGCATTCCGAGACTTAAGGATTGTATCTTATAAGTCTACATCTCCGACTCTATCTTTGGATAGTCTATACTCTGTTGTTTTCTAGTCCGGACCTGTCCAGATTAGTCTTATGCATGTTTCTGTTATCCAGACGACCTTCGGATATCATTACGGTACTTGTCTGATCCTTCAGATGTGTTATATCTCCCTCTCTGAAATAAGGGACAGTACTTGGGAAAGGGGCACAGCGTACAAGCTGAGGCCGAAGCCCTATCGGATCTGTTAATACGAGAGTACGACCTTAACAGTTCTCCTCCCTCCCCTACGGGCCCAGGCCATCCTGTCCTTTTAATGCATTAATTAATGATAGTTACAAGATTGATGTATTGCATTAACTACTGTAACTATCAGTGCACCAGCCTTTAATTTAACATTTAACTTTCAAAGACAGAATATAATCATAACCTGACCACTAGCTAACATCTAACTAACTCTAACTAACTGCTAACTGCTAACCTCTGACTACCTAACTAACCTTCTAACATCTAACATCTAACCCCCAACCTCTAACTAAAATTAATAGTTATCATTATGTAAATGTGTCATAAGCCATTACAATGATTAATGCAATACATGTGTCTTGTAATTACAATAGTAATGCATTATTCCCACAGGGTGAGGTGACGGGCCACCATCTCCACTTGCCACATACTTGAACAGTACCATCTTACCAGGTACATTGTTCTCCTTCCTCCCCCACAGGCCACCATCTCCACTCGCCGCGTACTCAAACAGTGCGATCTTACCAGAGAGGCATTTGACTTGGCAAAGTGGAGGCCAAGTTCAACCAGTCACTGGTGAACCCAGGAGAAATGTGTGGCATGCTTGCCACTCAATCAATTGGTGAACTGGCTATGCAGATGATGCTTAATATGTTCCATTATGCCAGTGTCTCCAGTAAGAATGTGACACTCAGTGTCATGCGTCACATACCCACACCCACAACATACCCACACCCACAACCAATGTGGGTTTCATATACCCATGCTAATCCCTACCTGCGTCTGAAAGAGATCATCAATGTTGCTACCAAAATCAAAACACCTTCCCTCACTGTTTACCTCAAGCCTGACATTGCTGAAGAGTCTGCTTGTGTACCATGACAGCAGCCATGGAGATCTGGTAGGACTCCGTCTTCATAGAGTCATTCTTCGAGGCACTCTTTGGCACGGACAGATCTCAAGGTTTGTATTATACACTTGTACCAAACTGACAGTACTAATTTCAAGTCAACAAGATGAGACTATTGCAAAGTTCAGTAAGTTCTCATCAAATTTGATATATCCTTGTACTCACCAGGATCAACAGTCACTCTACGCTCAAGCCGCACACTCTGTTTTGATTCCTGCAAACATTATTGGTAAGTTCATATCAAATTTGAGGTATACTTGTACTCACCATGGTCTACAGTCACTTGAGGGTAAATGTCAACTTCTTTCTGAGATGCACTAGTAGGGCCAGCTTTCTGCATGTGCATCTTGACTGCTGACTTGAAAGCAGAATGTTTGATGGGCGAGACAGGGTCAACAGTAGTAGTGGGAATGATGGGGGAACTGTCCATGCTATCCTCAGAGTATACCTGGTACATATGATTGAGAAGAATTCGCACATGAGCCATGAGATTGGTGTTTGACCACAAGCTCTCGTCCTCAAAATATGAGACTCTCATTCTCGGATGTAGAACTAGAAACAGCAATATGATTACACTTCTGATGTGAAAAAAAAAAACTCACCAGCACCCAACAAAGGGTAATGTTACGACTTGGATGGTATCTGTTGGCGACGCTCAAACAGAGCTTGTGTCGTCAACGGTCGAGGACGTCCTTGGGCTAGCCCAAGGTTAGGGGTCTTACTTGGCGAGGCTTCGGCAAGTAAGATTTGATGCCTATGTCCAAATTGGGTAGCTTATGTCATGCGGGTGCGAGACAATAAGCTATATCGGCCTAGGCTTACGACACCCGAAGGTTAATCATAAGGATCATCGTTAATTAGAAGGACAGAAGTCCAACTAGTTAACAGGGGCTTTGCTTGTCGACGAAGTCGATGAGCAAAGATCGAGACTATAGGCTTATCCACGATGAGCAGATAAGAAGATAGAATATAGACTGCTGGCAAGGCAGAAGGATCACTCTGGTGAGAGTAGGAGGTCAAGAACCAAGTAGATTCAAGTTAAGGAATATGGTACATGGTAGCGAGTTTATATAGAGGACAGGAGACGTATTAGTGGGTGATAACTCGTACTACCAGGAGAGGTAATCGGTAAAGGGTATAACCATAACAGGAAGGCACATTTGGTCGAGGTAGAACGTGCTAGATAAGAAAGTGAGTCAAAGATCGAAATAAGAAGTGAAACACGCAAGGGCACGATCGTGCAGCTGCGGATCTAAGTATAAGTCGCATGTGCGACTGCGCACCGAGTCAGAGATCAAGAAAGGGAACAGGGCAGAGGGGATGCGTCGTGCATCGTATCATAGGTTACCGTCCGGATGGTAAGGATAAAGGGGACTGTCCACAGGATCAGTCAGGTGGTGGAACGGAGCATGGGTATGCTTCATCAGCGAAAGGGTCCGGCCAAATGTACTGGCTTTGCTGCAGCGACAGGTAGAGAGCAAAAGGAAATGCGAGGATGACAAGGATGATGAGGGTAAGGTCAGGGTAAGGGTATGACGCGAGGGCTGATACGAGGAGGATTAGGAGAAAAATGGTAGGGGCCCAAGCGTCTAGATGTTCTTGTAACAGGTAATCAGATACTAGAGCCTTCTCCATGTGAATCCGAAGTTTGTTGAGGCCAGCCACAAGTGCATCTTCGAGTCCGTGAACATCAGTTTCCTCTGAGGCTTGATGGCAATAAGTGTCCATGTGCAACTCAAGCTGCTTGTACAGCGGGAGTGTGTAACATATGGTAGGGACGTGTTTGCGTGAGAGGTCGAGTGTTGAAGTGTAAAACAGCTGGAACGAGTACTGTGAGTTATGAATGAGCAAAAAATAAAAAATAAAAACACACAACGAGAATTGAGGAAAGGTGTTCGAGGAATTCCCAGTCACTGACGCTCAAATATAATTTCTTCTTCTTGCGGATTGCGGCGCGCTTCTTTTTCCCAATGAGACGTGCATCGAGTTGATCAACCCATTGGTTGATTGCCTGAATGATGTAAGCTGCCCTGGTCAAGTGAGTTGATTGCAAAACTACGTACTGGCTTAAGCTTCATAGCTCAGTCAATTTCTGCAAGTGTCATGTTCCACCGAATGAGCATGCTGTGAATGGGAACAAGCCCCTTGTAACGTGAGTCACATAGTTGACGGATAATTCGGCGCATCCGTTTCCAACAAACCTCTGAAGCGAGAATGTCGACTACAATTGCATGAAGCTGAAAGCGGCATCAGAACTGACTCGGATAGCAAAATACACCTACCTTTTCAACTGCAGTGAGATATTGATTCTTCTTCACTTTTTTGGCACTCTTACTCATGGTCACAGCACCTTCATCATCACTGGAAACATAAGCATCTGATTCATCACCTTGGTTCGTGTTGTCATCCCCATCATTTTTCTTTGCCTCTTTTTGCATCTCTTCCATTTCTTGCTGGACTTCGGGGTTGTCATCAGGTGAGTATGTAAGCGGGAACTGTCAAGCACTCTCATAGAGGTCTTCCTCATCAGGGTTTGGAGCAGTGTGAAGCCCGTGCAATATTGCCCTGCCAGTATTATACTTCATCAGTCTTGTGAAAGGTGAATATCACGCTACATACTGCACAACGAGATTGATGACATGAGCTGCACGGCCAATTTGCATATTTGCACGATGCAAGTGGGAGCCTTCATCAGCAATCTGTTTTGTCAGTGCCTCGTTCATTGTCGTGTTACTCGCTGTGTTGTCTGTAGCATGTGCAACTATTGAGAGATGAGTGACAAATCTCCGTGAAGCTGACCATGAACCCACTGATCTTGCTAGTCAGTTTTCGGTGCTTCAGCACCTTGAACAGTAGCTTGCCAGATACTTTCCCTGAGTGATCTCCATCAAGTGCAATAAGCTCAAGGGGAGATTCCATGAGCTCCCACTCGTCATTGATCCAGGAGACTATGGAACCAAGAAAAGCATAAACTGAGTTTTTGCTGGTCCATATATCACTTGAGAAGGCAAGCTGTGATGTGTTCGACTACAAAATTTGTTAATTTATACTGATGTCTGTCTGAGCACGATAAATCTCACCTGAAGGACTGCATTGATTTTTTTATTCATGCCCTCATAGAGCCTATCAATATCATGACAAACAGTTTGACGTGAAGGTAATGAATAACCTGTTGGAAGAATCAGCATGAATGTTCACTTCATGCCTCGTTTTTCAACGAGCAAGTACAGAAGGTCATCTTCAACAATACCCTTCACCAGAGTTTCACGCCAAGTCCTTCTCATAAGCTGCTTAGCAGGATGCTTGATTCCTCACTGCACGAAATTTCGCATGATCTGCCTTTGAGGACCAGGACCAGGAGTTTCTGTGGTGACTTGCACTCCGTTTGATTTCTGTGCACACCATGAGTTGAAGGAATGTTCTGTTGGCAACCTAGGACATTTTGGCAGGTGCGAGATAAAATTACTTGAAGGGGGTGCCTTAATAGTTTCAGCATCATAGGATGTGCATCGTGGTGTGCGAGCTGATGTCCGAAATGTGCTGGATAGGATATGAGTTCGTAGTAATGTGCCTGCAGTGATGTAATTGACAACTTACTCGCACCAGTTACACTTCCATTTCCACACAGGGTCTCCTTTTTTATTCGTAGCAACTGATGGAGCAAACTGTAGCATTGCCCATTGTCCTTTCAAAGGATTCCATCCAGCATGGACCTCAACCTCCTCTACATCAATCTCACTTTCGGACTTCTCACTTCGTATGGGAGCCTCGATGACTGAGTTAGCATGGCGAGACAAGAAATTTGTAAGAGTGAAGTCACCCAAGTCTTCTGCTTCTTCTTCTTAGGCTTGTCACTCCCCTGCATAAGAGTCAGTGTCAACATATCAATCCAAGTTACCATCATGCCTCTGCTGGAACCACCTCAGTGTCACTCATACTGTTGTCATCGGAAACAGGGTCTCTGCACGGTGGAACATAGTTGCGATCATCCAGATCACTCTCAGCATCTTTAAATTATGTTAGTGACATATACGAGTATAACAGAACCTTCACCTTTAGCCAATGTTCGTTTGATGCGGAGGACAAGGCCACTGGAAGCCTTTTTTGAAGAACTCATAGGAGCACTGACATTATAATATTAAATAGCATTGCGCAGAGGATACAGGAAATTACATACATGTCGTGAAGCAGTTTGATAAGTGCTTTGATGCGCTCGTTCATCAAGATGAGTCCATTGTGTTGCTCGATGTTCGGTAGTGCAGCAAAGTGCACAGCAAAATTGTGTGCGAGAATGACACCGTGTCTTCCTTGCATGACCAGTTTTTGCCGTTCATTCTCGGAGTGCTGAAACACTTGTTCCCAGGCACAGTTGAATGAGTAAAACGGACCTTCATCTTCATCAATGCTGAAATCACGTAAGTGATGGCCAATCGGACCATCCTCGGCTGCTTCTGGCAATGAACCAGGGAGTTTGGCTATAACAGAATGAAGATCAGCAAGTGATTGGGCAAGCTGTTTTTGCTGCTCGCCCAATTGCGCCATGAAGTTGTGCTGCCCTGATAACAAGAAGCGCAAAGATATTAAATTCTGCGCTGAGCGCTGACCACAGTGGAGCGTGGGAACTACTACTGCTCCAGCTGTACAGTTTTCACCTTATCCACGTCAATCTGATTGCTCCATTCAAAGTTTAAAGATTATGATTAAATACACAGGTCATACTATAATGTAATGTACTGGATTGTACGGTGTATGCAGAGCCCCTCCGCGAGCCCGTATTATAATCAAGATAATGATTAATAATAATATTATATTAAAATATAACCTGTAATGTGGACAGCACTAATCAGTGCTTATTCAAGAAGACGCTAACGTAAATAACATGTATATATTTTTTGGCGCTCAGCAGGCGCCTTATTTTACTTTTGCAAATAAATCTACCTTTGATGCCTTAACCGCCTTGTAACGACTTCGCTCCTTAGAATAAATTTCGCTAAGTAATTCATTAGTTCCTTATTCTCCTTACCCGCCTTAAGACTATTTTTAAGTAACTTTAAGTACGCTAAGGACCGAAAAGGAACTCGACGTTTTCCTGATGCTGTCGGGGACAGCGGGTCCGACAAGAAGGTGCATTACTAATTTACGGGGATGTCGGAGGCGTAGAGGCGAACAGCCTTGAGTGTCCTGGGCGTCTATTGAAATAAGGTACTTAGGTCAATGCGAAACACCATAAAACGCATGATATACGCACCTCTGCAGCTTAGAGAAAGATACAATCCCTCTAAAGTCCACCTTGACCTTGCTCAACACCATCAAAATCCAGTAAAATGTTGAATCTAATTCCAATTACCGTGCCCCTGCGAAGGTTCAAAGGCCATGAAAAGTGCGTAAAGGCAGTCGCAGTTTTCCCCGATAAACGACGGATGGTTACGGGCTCGCATGATGAGATACTGTGTATATGGGACATGAAGACGGGTGTTGTGTTGAAGAAGATGGAAGGGCATAACGATGGGGTGGAGACATTGACAGTATCACGAGATGGGCAATTGATAGCAAGCGGTGATAAAGGCGGAGTGATCATTATCTGGCACGGAGAAACTGGCAAATTGCTCACCAAAATCCAAGCCCATTCCACTCTGACCAAATCACTGGATTTTTCTCCCTATGGGACAGTGCTAGCCACTGGTTCACATGATGGAACGACGAAGTTATGGAACACCGATACCTGGGAGCAGCAGGGAAATCCAACACAGTGTGGTGGTAAAGTCAACTGCGTACGGTATTCACCCTCTGGAGAACTTCTTGCCATTGCAACAGACAACGATATCAAAATTTATAATCCAGGCAGGGACAGGGTGTGGTTCGCATCCTTCAAGGCTCATGCCTTACGGAACTTGTCGCTCGCATGGACGCCCGACGGTACATGCCTTCTTACAGCTGGCAATAAATACGATCCTACCATACGCAAATGGAACACAGCAACCTGGAAGCAGGTCGGTGATCCCTGGACGGGCCATTCTTCATTTATCGATGCCATTGCCATTCATCCTGCTGGCACATTCGTCGCCTCCGCATCTGGTGACAACCATGTCCGTCTCTGGTGGCTCTCGGATCAACGAACTATCGCCATCTTCAAGCACCCATCCAAGTTGAAATGTATCACTTTCTCCGTGGACGGTAACCACATCCTAAGCGGAGGTGAAGATAATATCATCTCGGAGTGGGCAATACCTAATTCAAAGGTATGTTTTTGTCCCTGAATCATATACAACAATTCGAGCATGTGTGGTGCAGATCCTAGCCATCACGACAGCCCGCAATGCATGCATATATGGTGACTTATCTACCGCTGGGGAACTACTCACCCAAGATGTCAACACCGATCCGAACAATTATACTTCCTACGCCCATCGTTCTTTCGTTATGGCGCGAAAATGCCATTGGGATCACGCTCTTCAGGATGCAATCAAGGTGCGTCATATGCACTGATCACGACCCCCTTACAAAAGGTTGACTCGACGGCGACGTAGTCTATCAGCGTCCAGCCCTCTTTGACAGGATATATCTCCAAGGGTATTGCTCTCTGTGGAACAGGCCATGTCCAGAACGCGAGAGCAGCATTCGATGTTGCATCAATGTACACGAATCAAGATTCACAAATCCACCATTTCCTACTCTTGATCAAGGTATGTTACATTGGCTTCTGATACTCTCTGTTTCATTGCCTACCTCAGGCCATCGCCCTCTTCAATGCTGATCAACATGATGAGGCAAACCTGCTCCTCAAAGAGCTCACTATCGGTTGTCCCAACGCCGACACTCGCGCATGTCATATTGTGGAAGTAAGTATCATGCAGATACACTGGGTCACTGCTAATCTTTGCAACTCGCCATCAGGCATATCTACGGGTTCAACTCGGACTCAAAGCCTTGGATGGCGCACGTCACGACGAAGCCGCTGAACATTTCACTGCCGCTCTTGACTCCAGCAATCTATCATCGAAATCAGATATCCATGAAATTTACGAGGATTTGGTGGTGGTACGTTAGTACACATCCGATACACTTTTCATAACCGAGTCCCTTGTCCAGCTCTTCGGCTGGGATCTCAAATCGTTGTGGCTCACTGCACACCAGAATCGTTGTGATTCACTCCTTCGGGCAGGCAAACTTCAAGATGCCGTGAAATCATACCGATTCATGATGGACGATATGGACGAAAAAACCAAGGCCAGCTGCCTTGATCGGTGTAAAGGCAAGTCTGGAATTCGTGATGTCGCGCAGGCTACAATCCTCACCTCCATTCCACTCAGATTTTACGGAAAAATGCAGCGCGCTCCTTCTTACCGGCGGAGATGCTGCCCTCGCTGTAAACCATTTTGACAGGGCCATTGACTTATACTCGGCAGCGATCGACCTGGATTCTGCATCCTATGTCGTCTTCGCCAATCGTAGTCAGGCAATGTTGGGGAAAAGGCTGTGGACAGAAGCACTTCTTGATGCGCAGAAGGTGCGATGGTATTTATCCTTTTTTAACCTATACTTATTGTAGTGACGCATAGGTTATCGAACTCGACTCTTTATCTTATCTCGGATACCGTTTGAAGCACGCAGCGCTTCATGGTGCACAACGCTATGATGAGGCAATAGATGCCTTCAGAATCATGCTCTCAAAGCTAGATAATGCCTCTGACACTGAGACACGAAGTAAGCCACAGAGTTCATGCTTTGACATGCTTTGACATGCTTTGACTTGTCTGCAGAGTTGCGCCAGTGGTATCTTAGACCATCTGAAGTGGACCGTGCTATTCAAAAGGCTATTGATGCTCAACTTGATGATGCTCCGCTGCGTGTACTCGACACCAGCACTGGGCTCTTATGCGATCGAGAGGCACAGATATGCACCTTCAAAGCGAGTATAGAATACAAGAAGCTCGTATCAACCACAATCACGCACCCAGGCTTCACAACGACGCAAATCAAAGAAGTGGTAATGTCGTACTTCCGATATGCCATGCTATCGCACAGGTGGGAAGGGAAGGAGCCGCTGCTACAGGACATCCAGGGCAAGGTCATCTATGGGTTAGATCCAGTTGGCGGTATCGTGAAATTGCAATCCTTCTGCAAAACTGCTCGTGATTTGGGTTATCGCTGGGCATGGAGCGATACATGCTGTATTGACAAGAGCAACAACGTTGAATTCCAAGAATCGGTCAACTCCATGTTCGTCTGGTATCACCACTCCGCTCTCACAATTGTATACCTCTTGGATGTTCCACCTTCATCAAAGCCTGGCGCATTGGCAAAGAGCGCTTGGAACACACGCGGATGGACGGTTCAAGAATTCCTCGCTCCCAACGTCATTCTATTTTACCAGAAGGATTGGACTCTTTATCTCGGCGATTGCACTCCCAACCACAAGGATTCCGCTGCAATCATGGAGGAACTGGAATACGCGACGGGCATAGATCGACGAGCCATCGTGGTCTTCCGTCCAGCCATAAGAGGCGCCCGCGAGAAACTTCAGTGGGCATCGACACGTATTACCACATTGCAAGAAGACATTGCATATTCGTTATTTGGCATCTTTGGCGTCCGCCTGCGTGTTGATTATGGCGAGAAGAAGCAGAACGCACTCGGGCGGCTCCTACAGGAAATCGTAGCTCAGTCAGGCGATATTACTGCGCTGGACTGGGTTGGAGAATCATCGGAGTTCAATAGCTGTCTACCAGCTGACATCACTTCATATGAAGCTCCACCATGTAAATTGTACATTTCTATCCGAAGCTGAGATTCAGTCTTTGGTCTCCTCGCTGCGAGGTGTTGTGGCTCCACAGTCAGCCTCGAAATTATATCAGGCACTTGACTACCTGAGCGCTCCCCGTTTCTCGCACCGCCGGTTGCATCTGCCTTGCATTGTATTTCCGGTCACAGAAGCCAGGCGGAGGCCAGGTCACGACCAGGATACATATATGTATGAACTTGAGTCAGAGGGGCTTCGCAACCTGCAGATCACCACAGAAGACATGTTCACCCCGTTCTCGCCGGCAAGGCCGCCGCCCTCCTGGCAGACGATCTTGCTTGTTCGTCCATGGAGTCGTGATCTCCTTGAGCTGCATGACCCTACAGACGATGCGCAGAGTTTGGACAATGGGTCCGTGTCCGAATCTTCGTCACACCATTCACTCCCTGCACGAACTGGGCCAAGTTATTCCGATTCTCACTCGCAGGCATTGCGATTGATTGTTCGCCTTGGACAGCCTTTTGGTGCGTTCTTGTTCGCGCGGCAACGCAACGGAGAATTCAAGAGGATCGCATCAGATCATGATATCATTGCGCAGGTTAAAGACATGACTTCTATCAGCTACTTGATGGACATCAGGACACTGGAAGTACTTTAATTGTATGCATGGATCCTTTCAACAATAACACACCAGTTTCGGGAGAGCGTTTATTATTATGCTTCTTTCCAAGGGATTGACAGCTCGAGTGAATTAGTTTTCTAGATCCACTCTGTAAGATGTCCCTAAAAGAATAACGAATAGTATATTAGTATAGTAACTGTCTAGAAGAATGAATACTCAAAGCTATTAGTCAGTCTATGGATTGAGATGCTCGTTTATCGCTATCTATCCAGGGACGCTCAAAGTTGGGCCACGACTAAGGCTAATCCTACCTAAAAACGTAGTTTGCACATTACCTAATATTGAACTTGAGGAAAAATGAACATGAAATACTTTACACTTGTTGTCGTCGTCATCGGTTGCTTACCCGAGTTCCCTGGCGTACCGTTCGTGTGCAGAAGAAAACGACTTGATTCAAACTAAATGCTGAACGATTGTGCCACGTTTGTGTAATGTCGTTTGGAGGGTGAAAGGTTTTTGCGCCCGCCGGCCTCGAAGAGGCTTTAGCCTAAAGGAAAGAGGTGAGCTGCAAGGGTCGCTGTTTCCTGGCTAAGTTTGACCCTTCAGGGCCTCGGCGAGAATGGTTTAGGATCATTGTTCCGAGGGTTAGCAAGGTGGCTGATCGCGTTGCTGCGCGATTGAACCTGAGGAGAGGAGGGTGGGGAACAGAAAAGCTAAGTCGACGAAATATACGAGGTCAATGGTCGACGTAGAGGAGCAAGAAGAGTGCGAACGTCATGCTTATCGTTCGCTTAATGACTTAACTGAGGCGTAATAGAGTGGTAATCTGCGTGAGCTTTGATTATCACCATGCCTTTTATCGGGACCTTTAAGGGACAACAGTCTAACCACTTACAATTGTCGCGGAGTCGCGACTTCCGAAATTGAATGGACAGCTGATGTGATCTGGCAACTGCTGACCCCGATAGAATTGTCGGAAAACAGTGCTGCTGGGGAAGCGCAAGAAGCGCAAGGTAATCCCAAGCAGCACGACTCTGTTTTCCGACAAGTTCAAATGGCTCAAGGGTACGAGACTGATGATGACTTGCAGAGAACATCGGGCAACAGCAGAGTCAAGTGACCGTTTACCAGTGCGTGGTATTAATGAATCAGTGCATCATGTGCATGATTCATGATACATGATGCGTCTGTATTACTAAGATTTTTACATCGCTTATAACAATCTACCATAGCTGCGCACATGTCCAGTGCAGCACAATACCCTTCCCATCATGCTCTTTATTCTAGGAATATCGTGCATTATTGCCCTGGTTGTCGCTTCGGGTCTGACTCGCAGACGTGTCTACCCTATGCCTCTCCCACCTGGCCCTCATCCCTTACCATTTTGGGGTAACGCGCTGCAATTAGACGCTAAACGTCCTTGGCTCACCTATACTGCGTGGGGAAAGACATATGGTTGGTAGCACCCAAATGACCTCCCGAGGTTCTTTTCAAGCTCCTGCATTCAATGACATATCTCATCACAGGAAAAATCATACGCTCCCGCTTATTTGGGATTGACTTCATCATCATAAACTCCGAAACCATCGCGCAGGAGTTGCTGGAAAAGCGTTCTGCGAATTACTCTACTCGCCCCATTCTTCGCACCAACGAATTGTATAGTATTACCGTTTTTCATCTGATTTCTTGTTTATCCACTGACGAGACAGGGCTGGACTGGCTTACAATACTGTAATGCTTCCGTATGGGGAGACTTTACGACAACATCGCAAGATTTTTCACCAAGTCCTCAGAGCCGAGCTGTCGGCCTCATACCACGAAATATACTCTCGCCATGCAAATGGACTAGTCATCAATCTCTTAAGTGCCACTAGTGACTTACTGCAGAAACACACTGAAGCGTTCGTACTTAATTCAACGGTGTCGTTGTGACATCTGACGATCAATCCTCGTGACAGATACTCAGGATCCCTAATCATGGCCGTGACATACGGACATCTTGCTCAAGGACAGATCTCATTTCTTACCCGCGCGTACGAACTCCTCAATATTGGCAAACGGGTCATTACTCCCGAGAATGCTGCTATGTTCACAGCCTTTCCTTTCCGTGAGTGTTTCTGTCGACGAAATTATTTTGAACATTCAGTAATGAGGTTGCAGTCGAAAAACTACCGTTTTGGTGCCTCGGTGGAGCATTTGCCCTGATGGGACGCAGTAGAGAACTATGTCAACAGCTTTTGAATGAGCCCTTCGATGAAGTGAAGGCACAGATAGTAAGTTCGCACAGAGTTGTGAATGGAAATCTCCCCTGATTTGTTTGCGTGAAGGCTGATGGTACTGCTTCACATTCATTGGTCACTGACTTTCTCAGTCAACCTCATGACGACGCTGACGAAGACAAGATGAAGGCTGTTGTGTTGACGGGATACGTAGGCAAGAGTTTGGTTTTACAAGGACAGAATTCATTCATTGATGGGAATACGGTATCTTACTAGCTGGCATGGAAACTGTGAGTTGCTACCTAAGCACGTAAAGCAGTTCTGATCAATACTTTGATGTCCCGCAGCTTGCGTCCACAGTACAGATATTTCTGCTAGCTATGGTGCTCTATCCTGACGTCCAAGCCCGTGCTCGTGCGGAAATAGACCAAGCTGTAGGGCATGATAGAATGCCGTGCCTTGATGATAGGGCGTCACTGCCCTACCTCGATGCCATTCTTTACGAAGTCCTGAGATGGTATCCTCCCGTCCCCCTAGGTTGGTCGGTAGTAATATAGCAATGTGTTGGCATGGCTAATTCCTTGCACAGGAATTTCACATGCGACATTAGATGATGATGTTTATGACGGGCACTTTATACCCAAAGGTTCGAAGTCGTATGCGTCGAGTTTGCCGTTGACTCATGTGTAGCTCGATCAGGTGCGACAGTAATGGTTAATCAGTGGTGTGTCAGGGTGGAGTGCATTTAATGGTTTGAGCTGAAATATTGCTCAGGGCATTGTCTCGGGATGAAGACGTATTTCCCGATGCATCACGCTTTGATCCTAACCGCCATCTAACCATTGACGGGAAGCTGAAGAATCCTTTCGTCAACCATTTTGCCTTTGGTCATGGCAGGTGAATATGTCCACATTTGCTATCATTTTCAATCGTTCACCGACCCTTGCAGGCGTATTTGTCCTGGTAAGCTTATTCACGGTTGATTTGGCAGTGTCGAGGATGAAAAATGCTCCTGGCAGGTCGTTGGTTTGCGGATAATAGTCTGTGGACTGCAGCAGTTACTATACTCGCCGTCTTGCGCATAGATCATGCCAAAGACTCAAACGGAGATAGGATTGAGGTGAAACCGGAATTCACCCCCGGCTTGACGATGTGAGTGACCTAGTATGTACAATAACCTGCAGCTGACTCTGCCGGAGTTACCCTGAACCGTTTCAGTGCTCGTTTGAAAGCGTGAACACAGCGAGAGAAAGACACATCCGAGCGATGATGAATTCGGAGTAGACTTGAGATATGATAGCACACGATTGTACAGATCTCGCAGAGATGGCAGGTTTCTCGGTCTCTCTCTCTGATGAACAAGAGAAATCGCTTTCGAATACGTCGACTTCAGAAACTGGATCCATTTTGTAATGTCGGTCTTATTATCAGTCGCACTCGTACTATGGCATCCACAAGGACGTTGGGTTTTGCAACTGCAGCACGATCTATAAAACCTGCTTTAAAGTGTTATAGTCATACGGACTGACGCTTGAACACCCGTGTACTATGCTTGCGGGAGAGAAATCGATGTCCTGCGGTTGCGCATACTTATTCGGCAGCAGAAAAACGTTGTAAGACGCGCCATACATGAGCTTGGAAAAAACTTGAAGGCGACGAGAGATAAGAAGATTCAGCCGTAGCATAGTGATATCATCCTATACTTCCCACGACCACAAAATCGAGGACTCATCAATTCACTGATGGAGTCCATCCGGCAGCCCCGACCTCAGCGACTGGTGGTTCGTGTTGGAATTTGGACCTACGGAAGGGAAAGCCCTGACGCGGAAAATCCGTGATTCTGTTCGAGAGCCGGGGCTCATTAATCATTTCTGACTGGATATATAAACTCAGTCATGCATTGAGAGTTTGCTAAAACTAAAAACAGTGATCAAACTCAAATTGAACTCGGCCTGCGGCGAGGAAAAGGTCACTGAAACCAACCCTCCGGCCAAAACCTGTCCGGCGCAAAGTACGGCGCTACGGCGGATATATCCGCAGTCCGGCGGCAAAAAACGGCCAGGTAGCGGACTTTCAAAACACCTAGGTAAGTCTAATACTACGTGTTAATCTTATCACTCCTTATTATTTTCGTATGGACCCCGTATCTCAGCTACCGCCCTCCAATAATCAATGTCCAGAGCCCCAGTGGGTGTGGGCTACCTCTACCAGTAAAGTTCAAGCAGAAAAGGAGAGGGTGAGTTGCTAGAATCACTCATGGCTAGCTACGAGGGCTTTGGATATGGTGGGCCGTGTGACCGAAGAAACATGGTATTATCATGTAAATAGTTGATAAATGTAAATGTGGAATAGATTGTTAGTTAGGAAGCATCGAAGTAAGCTGGAGGTATCGGGCATTGGTGCTGTAGTTGAACGTCGAGCCTCCAAGTGTGTTTTCAATGTCCGACGTGCCGTCTGTTAGCTACCAGTCTTTGAGGTTCATGTTTCGTGTCGTTCGAGCGGGAGGGAGTACAAGACAAACTTGAGTGGAATTGCAATCGCTATATTAAGTTTGTACAAGGGTGAGATTATGGTAGGATGTAGGGAAGGTTTCGGGCGAAGGCGCGTAGCGCCTCCCGGCCGCGAAGAGACTCTGCCTAAGGAAAGAAAGTGAGCTGCGCGGGCGGGTGGGTCGCCTCGCTAATCCTGGCTAGTATGCCTCTCCAAGGCCCATGATGTTGAAAGAGTTGTAAGACTGAGTAATTTGAGTTAGCGAGGCGCTGAATCGTGTGACTACACGGTGATTGAGGGAGTGGAGGGTGGGGAAAAGAAAATGCTGTATCGACGAATTGCCAAGGGCGTTGGACGTCGTCGCAGCAGAGAAGGAAGAGGTGTGAACGTCACGTTTACCATTCGCTCATAGACTTAGCTCTATTTCCTCCGCTTGTACCTCGCTACGTAATAGAGAAACAACTTTCGCCGCGCCCGAGGCAATTACATAATGGGGAATTTAAGAAACAGTCGAGTATAAACACGTCCCTGTAGATGAATGCGCAGATACCTCATAGCCTGGTTTGAAGCAGACGTTCATTAAGAGCTACCTTCTCCGTCCTACAAGCACTGTCATCGCGCACCCAATTACTTTGCAGAATCCCAACCACTTTCTAAAGTTGAATTCATTCATTTCCAGGTGACACGCTCGTTGTTCGTGCCAGAGCATGCGGCCCCGCTTAAAGTGTACGGAATAAGAAAGGATACCATCGATGAGAGTCGTAGGCTACGGTCATGGGGTTTACGCTGGTGCTGATCACTTACCAAAGGACTTGAATGGAAATTGGGCGGCCATGGAGGGAAAACGGAAGGCATCCCACCTCAACCAGCACTTGTCGAGGTCATTCAAGTCCAGAAGCATCATTTCTCTTCAATTTTTACATAATTTCAGCAGAGATGCACTGACAGGCTCACCCAATATTTTACTTTTGAAGGTCCTCTGTATCTCCTCGGTCTCTACTATCTGGAAGACGCTACAGAGTTCGCACGAGATGGACTCTGCAATTGTGTCTAACACGTCATGGGCGTTAGTTCGTACCTTCAGTAGCTTGTCTACAGTAGCACATGGTAAGTTACTGGTCCTACTATTTTGTCCTCATCGTCAAAAACGAGCTCACTGAGACTCTCATAGAGTCGGGTCACGTATCACAGTCCATAGTAACTTGTTGTAAGCTCACCGCTTACCTGAGTTCCAACTGCAATCAGCATAAATACTGTTTGCGATAATCAAACACCGAGCTTTTATTCTCACTGTGTTTTGACCTAATGACGGTTAGTCGAGGTATGACAGTCTCAACTACTTACATTTGTCATTGTGCTTCCACCAATTGGGTGAGTTCCCTACTGAAGTCGTAAGTGTTCGTAACGCGCTTGGTAACTGTCAAGCGTTCATTTCTTTGATTTGCAGAAGGGCCTCAAGCCTCACAGGTTCATTGGTTCGGACTCAAAACATCCGGTCCTATACTGTACCGTACATCGTGTTGCTATGGCCTGATAGCCGCTCTTCGCCTTGGCACAAGCACCCTATATAAGGCGAACAAACGTGTTTTGAGCTCGATTGTAATCCCTCCCCATGCTCTTCACTTATATTCTTACTTCAGGGATATCGTGCATTGTTGCCCTGGTTATTGTTTCGGGTCTGACTCGCAGGCGTGTCTACCCTTTGCCTCTGCCGCCTGGCCCTTGTCCGTTGCCATTTTTTGGTAATGTGCTGCAATTGGATACTAAACGACCTTGGCTCACATATACTGCATGGGGAAAAACATTTGGTTGGTAGCAGACCGATAGCCTCTTTGCTAAACTCTTATATTCTATTTCATCCCCAACCAGGAAAAATCATTCACTCTCGCATATTTGGGATCGACTTTGTCATCATAAACTCCGAAAGCATCGCGCGGGAGTTGCTGGACAGGCGTTCTGCGAATTATTCTACTCGTCCCGTTATTCGCACCAACGAATTGTACGTACTATTAATTTTATTTTTCATCCACTGACGATGCAGAGCTGGACTGACTTTCAATACTGTGCTCCTTCCATATGGAGAGACTTTACGCCAGCACCGCAAGATCTTTCATCAGGTCCTCAGGGCTGATGTAGCAGTTTCATACCACGAGATGTACTCTCGCCTCGCAAGCGAACTAGTTATCAATCTCTTGGATGCTACTAGTAACCCGCAAAAACACACTGAAACGTTCGTACCTAATTCAGTAGTGCTGTTATGATGAATGATCCAGTTGACTACCAATCTTTCTGACAGATACGCAGCGTCCCTAATCATGGGTGTGACGTACGGATACCTTGCTCGCGGACACGAAGACCTATTCGTTTCCCGCGCACGCGAACTCTTTGATATTAGCATACATATTTTTTCTCCCGAGAGGGCTGCTATATTCACAGCCTTTCCTTTTCGTAAGTGCCTCTGTTGACGGCATAGCGCTAAACATTTAGCATTAGGCTGCAGTCGAAAAGTTGCCGTTTTGGTGTTTCGGTGGATCACTTGCCCTGATGGGACGCTGTAGAGAATTATCTCGACAGCTTCTGAACGAACCCTTTAACGAAGTGAGGGCACAGATAGTACGTCCACGCAGAGTTGTGGATGGAAATTTTGCCTGATCTGTTTGCACGAAGGCAAATGGCACTGCTGTACACTCATTGGTCGCTGATTTTCTCAGTCAAGCTCATGACAACACTGACGAAGACACGATGAAGGCTATTGCGTTGACGGGATACGTAGGTAGGAGTTTTTTTTTCCAGGACAGAATTTATCCAATGACGGTATCTTAGTTGGCATAGACACCGCGAGTCGCTCCTTAAGCAGTACTTATTCTTGCTCTGATGTCTCGCAGACTGCATCCACATTGAAGATGTTTTTACTGGCCATGGTGCTTTATCCTGATGTCCAAGCCCGGGCTCGTGCAGAAATTGATCAAGTTGTGAGGCATGATGAAATGCCGTGCCTTGATGACAGGGCGTCACTGCCCTACCTCGATGCCATTATCTGCGAGGTCATGAGATGGTGTCCTGTCGCCCCCCTAGGTGAGTCCGCAGTAATATAACTCTGTTTGAATAGTCGACCCTCAGTACAGGAATGCCACATGCAACATTAAATGACGATGTGTACGACGGGTACTTTATACCAAAAGGTTTGAAGTCGTATGCATCGAGGTTGCCGTTGACTCATTTGTGGCTCGCTCAGGTGCGATAGTCATGGTTAATCAGTGGTATGTCACTGTGGAGTGCATGTAAGGGCGGCTTGAGCTGAGCTTCGTTCAGGGCGCTGTCTCGGGATGAAGACATCTTTCCCGATGCATCGCGCTTCGATCCTAGCCGCCATCTAACCGTTGAGGGGAAGCTGAAGAATCCTTTCGTCAACCATTTTGCCTTTGGTCATGGCAGGTGAACATCCCACACTCGCTTTCATTTTCAACCATTCACTGACCCTTGCTGAAAGGCGTACTTGTCCCGGTAGGGTGATTCATGGTTGACCTGGCAGTGTTGATGATGATAAATTCCCTTGGCAGGTCGTTGGTTCGCAGAGAACAGTCTGTGGACTGCAGTTGCTGCCATTTTGCCGTCTTGCGCATTGATCATGCCAAAGACTCAAACGGAGACAGGATTGAGGTGAAACCGGAGTTTACCACCGGCTTGGCGATGTAAGTGTGGCCTAGTATATGTTCAAACCTGTGGCTGACTGTGCGGAAGTCACCCTGAAGCATTCCACTACTCGTTTGAAAGCGTGAACACAGCGAGAGAAAGACACCTCCGAGAGATGAATTAGGCTTCGTTTGTACTTGAGGTGGTTGGTTGTATGATAGCACACGATTGGACAACAGCGCAAGTGCGATGGATGGACTAGCAAATCGACGATACAGCACAATCGCGTACACGGTTTTGACTAATCTCTTCTGTACTGAGAGGTTCCGTTGAATGGCACAAATACAGTTCTGTTTAAGATCTAAGCAATGAGCACGCCACCGTCATATGATTCACCTAGCCGCTCTCTTGTAAAACAGGTGGATGATCTAGAATTGCGAGCATGGCAGCTACCTGTTTTGTCTTGGGCAGCATTTTTGCTATCGCGACAGCGCGGCGGAGAATATAAGAGAGTCGCGTCAGACTTACGTCAGACTGTGATATCATTACGCAGGTCAAAGTTGTGGCCTCTGTGGACATCAGACAATAAAAATACTGTAAATCCATGTTATTGTTTTCCTGCGAAGATCAGGGATCTGAGCGGTATTCATCGGCCTTTCACATATATCATACATGGCATGTGTATCGGACTATGGTTAACTTTCAGAACAGACCGCGGGGACTTGGTCATCAAATACAAAGCCGCCTCTTCAGGCCGGGGATATACAGAAGAGCAATGATATCACCTGATTGTAACAGTGACCGCCAGTAAATCATAAGGCTTGCTCTGCACCATGATCCACGAGGTCTCGCATCAACGCCCGACGGATTTCCGATCTCCAAAAGTACATGGGATGTAAGTATGATTATGACGTCTGGACACTGCCCTTGGCTGCGGACGTGCGGGGTACGATAAATCCGGACGATCTTTTTGGGCTTCCTGCCCTGCCAAGCACTCCGATTTTCCGACTAATGACCGAGATTTGAGCGATTGTCCTCATCGGAATCCCGAGTCCGTCGGGCCCGGGCCTCCCAATCCAGGATCTCGACTTAACTTGGGAGCTCATGGGTCATCGATGACCATAGCCATATGTATATTATTAGCTGCCACTAGTTGTTGTTCCACGGTGAACCCTGTGGAAAATAGGTTTCAGCGTGCCATGTTCAAGTTTAGACGAAACCCACTTGGAAGGTCTGACCTGGACACGAATAAATCATTACCGATACTATTTCTATCAAGTCACCAACATCAATCAGTTGCCATTAAGCGGACACTAAGTTACTCAGCTGGTAATGAGATGAGAGTCCGTGACAAATTTCGCTCAAGATACGTATCGTATCCGTCCACGAGGTTTTTCTGGCCGTGTCTCAGGTGTAATAATAATCGCTTTCACCTTCTTTCGCAATGTTCCCAATCTAGAGTATCCGAAGCCGATGGGGGATGTATATCGGATGTAAGTATGGCGTTCAGATTCTGCTCTTCGACTGCATGTAGATGTGTGGGGTGCGATAGATCCAGAAGTTCGCCTTCTAGCCTTAATCAACGACCGAGTTTCGAGTACCAAGTGGTTATATCGCGTTCCCGTGGGCGTTGAAATTGGGGTTCGAGCTTCACTCCGACCCGGTGGTTAATGTGCGTGTGATCTTGTTATAGTCGGGGATCGATGACCGTCGTATTATTAGCGCCATTCTCGTTGTTGTCATCGCTGGATAACGGGCCCTCCATAAATAGGACAAATCCCAGCCGCAATCATACTCAGAAAAGATCAGCGACACGATCAACTTCTGACCTAGATATGAAATCATTTGGGTCGAAGCTGCTTGATATAACCACCCACTAGCGCGGAATTACTCAGCTGTTTATAGGCGCTATTGCAAGTACCGGTGATAGCAAGGTGATAGACATGCGTTGTCGTACCGTGTTCGGGTTTCAATACTAATCTTAGTTCTGCATTCTCATCTTCGAATCCATTCATATCGGTATTATGTCAGGATCCGAGGGTTCGGCCGTTGAAACGATGTGGTTCCGTCGCATTGCATAACAATGGCATCAGGGAACGTTCTGGTGAAGGATGACGAATGGTGGGGGAGGACAAGAGTAAGCTACTTACGGATAGTATGCTAGTGAGAGAAGTGCAGAATGCTGAACTGGTAGAAGTATGAGACGCCACCGTTGTAGAAGAGTAGAACGTAATTGTGGTAGAAGTAGAACCCCGGTAGATGCTATGACGTGCGGAGTGTGGCATTTCCACTGGCCTTGTCTGGGAAGTCGGATTGAATCGTCCGAGGATAGGTGCCCGAACCAAGAGTGAACTAGCAGCGCGTACCGCCCCAACTTTGCTGATAAAGCGGTACCGAAAAGTAACATACGATGACAACGGTCCAGGTAGTTCGGATGTCGAAACTAAGTTCTGTTTCTATTTTTTACATGAATAAAGTTGAGCAATGAAACTTTGAATGAGAAGGTTTTGTTCAGGAGATATGGTGGGCATTAGTATGAGGTGTGGATGACTCGTTGTGGTACATGCGGTGATCTTGAAATAGGAACCAATGGCAAAAGAATGGAGGTGGAGTACCTGACGAGCAGTACATGCAGTGGGTAAGGAGTGTCAAGAATGATGCTTGCAATGTCAAAATGAAGGCTTAGACTCAGGGTTCTGGTGGTCTGGAGTCGTCAGCTGGGTCTGGCCAAGTGTGGCTTGGCCACCAGGCCCTGCAGGCTGCCACGGATCAAATCACGGGATCATCCGTTTCCGTGCATGCCCGATGGCTTGAAAGAAGAAAAGTCAGTTTGTGGGATGTTCAAATACTAAATTACAATGAACGAGGTTGACGACAGCTGCGACGATCCCTCAACTTGTAGACCTTCTCTACCTCGCATGAAATCTTGTTTAAAGTCACCTTCTCACTCTGGCTCTGCCACCCCCGTAGAATCTGACACCGACGATGGAACCTGCAAGAAACATGTGGCATTTGGAACTGAACAAGTCTTTGAAGCTGATGAATGGGATAGAACTCCCACTGAAATCGCACAACGCCTCTCATACGAGTTAGTCACACGAGTTTTAAAATTTCATATACTGACCTTTGGGGGTTTTGTACTAGGGATGTACTTGAGCTCAAGATGATTCAGCGTTCTCTGCCTCGTGCTCAGCAGAGTCATGACCCGCTTTCATCTAGGCCTTACTCTGGCGTATTTCTTCGAAACGTACCAATTCCACTTCTCCCACTAAATCCAACAACAGTATCAGCCTCGCCTTCTTCACCACCAGTCTCACCACCACCAAGAACAGGTTATCCAGCGCTCGACCTTCACCCAAATTCAATCTTATTCGAATCCACCTCAAAGCAACGCTGTAAACCAATCCAATCAGCAGAGCTTAGACCACATAACATACCAGTCCCACCACCTCCCCTCCCTCCACCACGCTCAGCAACCTATCCTCTCCCCCTAATAAAGAGTAACCTCCCTCCACCAAAACGCTTTGCTTTCATCCCTCTTTTGGACAACACAACCGTTTGTTCAAACCAGGACTCCTTCTCAGAACCAGAATCAAACTATAACTCAGACACAGACTGCTCTCTCTTCGCATCAGATACCGAACTCTCCACTCCCTCTCTCACAACTGCCTCTCTCGCCTCAAGTAGTCCACCAGAGTCTCCTGCCATCAGCAATACTACCAGTCCAACCCTGGAATGCGACCATTCAGAAGAAGCTTTCATTCTGAACTTGGACGTCGATCCGGACGTGGATGATTCTCCTGCTGAACATTCTCATTTCATTCGTATGCACGACTCTATACACAAACCTACCCGCGATTCAATGTCGATGCTTACCTCTGACGGTCCAATATCAAATCTCTACCCACGCCGCACATCACCAATACCATCTCCGCTAGAGCTAGGAACGATGCAGATCAAGCCGTTGGACGCACCGATGAAGCCCGTGGGTCCACCAAGAAAGAGATTCACGATTCCTATCGTAGCGCTCGCCGAGTCTCCGTCTTCATCTTTAGGAATGGGCGGATGCGAGTACCCCCACTTGCGGGCTGGAATTGATGGACAAGAAAATGGACAGAGACAAAAGAGCCCTTCTCGCTGCGAGTGAGTCGAGTTATCAAGGACCTTGGTTCTCTCTTATCTCCCTGCAGCTAGGAGGTAAAGCGGAGCGCGCTCGGATCTCGTTGATCGTTCTCAGGGCTGTGGTGCCTCTCATAACTTGGAATAGGACTGTCTACCGCTTTTCCTTTTTTTTTCTTTCTCCCTATACTGGATATTGGATTCCTGCGCTTTGATATCTCATTCGAATACGACGACACTCCTTTGATCGTTTATTCTTTCTATATACAGCGGACATTCATTCCCGTAGCCGCCTACCCACCGCCTCATTCCTTCCCCGTCATATATTTATAGCCCGGACCCCAAGCTCCAACTCATCCTCAGCATATCACGCTCACGCTCCGTCGACGCATGTATCATATCATACCTCACTTCAACTGATGTTACGGTTGACTATATATACATACACACATCGTATTTGCTTAGACTTTTATTGCCTTTTTTCTTATTTAATTTATCTGACTGGAATACTGGTTTTGCTGCAAGGTATCGTGATGAGCTATATTCAAAGGCTAGACTGGGTGATACAAAACTTGCGACGCAGCAAGTACTACAACTCCACGCCACCCGAGCAAACCCAACACGCCGTCTCACAACTAAACCAAACCGCCGTGTGAATCGGACAAAACGACGCGAGTCGAAATTCGCACGTTTGGTTTCTCCTCCACCGTACCTACTGGAGTTCTGACAAGCACCACGTAAGGATGGTCCTAGGTACATTTTAGATGGCTTACCTGTGGTTTGTACTCTGAGGCATGATGAATGTCGGAATCACTGCATAGCTTGATGCTATCGTCCTGTGCAAAAGCGTGAGCAAGTATGTGTGGGAAGATAGGGGAGGAGTCGTACATGACGCAAATTGCTGCAGTTCCCCGTCAGTGAGCACCAAAGAAAATATTGAATCTCGACATGGACGTACCAGGCCAAACAAAAAACACATTCATGAGATCTTATATCACCCCGTCAATCAATCAACATCACCTCGAGACACGTGGTTGCCACTCACAATTAAGGTTCAGCAACGAAAAGATCTAGACATATTTCAGCACGAGCACGAGCACGACACGACAAAGAAAGAACTCACAACCGGAACGATGCTAGCGAACAATACGATGAAATAGAGGAAGGTGCCTTGAGTACTGATGATCGTGAAGAGAGACGACGACGACGAGCGCCAATGACCAAAGATCGTTAATTTTAAAAGTATAAAGTCTAATATCATAGCTGTAATGATCCTCAAGTACCGCACTTTGATATGGGACGATACGGGACTCACTATACAAGGACGTAGCAGCTGAATATGTAGGGTTCACGATCATGAACCCGCAGAATTCGGAAGTTGGAGGTGATGATGAGATTTGTGCTTCTTTTGAGTCTGTGTTTGTGGAGGCAAGAAGGTCAGGTCAGGTCAGGTCACTGGCGCGTATACGTCAGTGGAGTGTGTACCGAAGATAATCATGAACCAGTGTCCCAGAGTTATGAGCCCCATAAACAGGCGGACAAAACGGTTTGTCTTCCAAACGGTCCATCTTGAGCGTGGTATGAGACCAAGTAACCACCAAGAACAGGAGGGAGACTCACGTCCGGATAACGAGGTTCGTGGATGTACAAGCCACGACGATATTACCCGAGAACTGAGACGAGTATCAAAAGAAAGTCGTACGACAGGCGAACGCCTTACCGCCAGGAATCTTAACACGCCTGCAATGTTTGACATATGTAAGGGAAACGAACTCAGCGGTTTCTCTGATGCTTACGATAACAGTCGATATGTGACGGGATGGCGACGCTCGTCACGGAGCTGAAACTGGGTGAGTACGACCACTGAGTATTGTAGACGTACTGACGACAGTACAAGAGTCACGAGAAAAAATATCCGGCCGATCAAATAAGGAACCTGAAGATGAGCGTCAAACTCGATCATAGATAACACCAGCCATATGCTCACCATTCGCCATTGAAATGGAACCCGATGACGAAGTAAAGCACTTTCGACCTGGCAGGAATTTATGTAACTCCATCTTTTGATGTGTCGCTTTGTGAGCCTTTCAGTGAAGGCACATGGGAGAAGCGCACCCATATAGTCCTAGCATGAAAAAGGTGATATTGACGAGAACTGCGCCCCAGTTTTCGATCACTTGTGGATCTTGCCAATTGACCATATCGGTAGGCGTAGTGAACGGGAGAGATCACTTAGGGCTGCGGACAAACTTGTCAGATGCCGCAGTAGGAAGGTAAGGAGGGTTGAAGGAGGGTGGCGTGAGATGAGAATAATTGGACAACTTGACGTCTTGATATACGACCCGGCATCACCCATTGAAACAGCGTTTCAGTCGCAAGGGTCCATGGGAAGGAACGACAAATAGTGGGCCAAGTTCCTTGAAAAGATACCGGTTTGGATGGACGGTCGCACAGTACGTTTAGGGTGAACTTTTCTGTCCCTGTCAAACGTATTATCAGTGCCACGTTAGTCATAAACTGACGATGTAGAGCTCAAATATTACGGTCATCATGATGTCGTCGATTTTTCCAGTCAAAGGATTCGAGAGACTCAACGCTAGAATACTTGTTTTTAGTAAGTTGGTGATTTGTCTCTGATGACTCATGCTCATCAGGCATTAGGCCTTCAGGGACAAATCAATAACTTCAAAGTATGGGCAATGGCCCTGCGAGAAGACACGAGCCCTGGTGGAACAGACTGGGAGTCTGGGATGCGGAAGACCGTGCGATCTTGGTACGATATTATGTAATGCTAAGTCGACATGCGGTTGTCGACGTTCACTGGCACTGGCATGTTCCATCACATAGTACATCCAGTAGGGTACGGGTGAAAACTCTTCGAGCAGTTAATGACATGGTCACGGTTATCGCTCGCAGGGAATTAATAACAAGCAAGTTATTAACAATCACCTGACCCAAAGTTCTGCAAGTTGCATCCTTTTGTCGCAGTGCAGTCTGTGCAGACTCTGCCGGCATCGGTCTAATGTGGTGCGCCCGACTTCAATAACCGCATGCCGCATGCGATTGATGCTCACGACTCGTAGCCTACCTTGTTAAAGGGCCACCATGATCTCGACACTCATCTCATGGATGTCAAATTAGGCTACTCTATCAGTCTGCCGTTTAAGGCTGAATAAGTTCATATCAACTTGGGAACGGTTAGGCTCCGAATAATATTGAACCGAGGACAGCTTTACACCGCATGGCAGGGCCCTGTGTATTACTCGGTTGCTGATATGCAAAATTGCGAGCTAACACGTCTGGTAGTTCCTAATCTCTCTTATCCACAGGAATGTCGGATCTTCCCTTGCTTGGTGCAGTCGCCTGCGGTTCCCGCTACGACGCCATATCTAACGGAGGCAGTGATGATGTTATAACGCTTCCTCTAGTCGACATCGACAGACAACTCGTGGAGAAGAGGCTTCTGCGTAAGTTGGACCTTCGAGTAGCCTTCCTGGTTCTGGTTTACATTATGAATATCGTGAGTTGTCAGCAGACCTAATTTCTGTGACTGCCTAAAACCCCTGCGTAGATGGACCGTACTAATGTAGCGTAAGCGGTCCTTCGAAAATGTCCAGAGTAAAATGGTTCAACCACCTACAAGTGCAGCGAGGTTGCGTGGCTTCGAGGAGGACCTTGGCATGACGGGGAATCAATTCAATACACTTACAAGCATCCTTTTTGTAGGTTATTTGTTGACACAAACTCCCTCGTATGTACCAAGACCTTATCATTTTGCGGCATTCCTGACAATTTAAAAGCAACATGATCTTACACCACATGAAAAGGCCATCATTATACCTCTCGAGCTGTATGGCAGTATGGGCTGCTATCACCATATGCATGAGTACGTCACAACTTTCACTATATGTACATTGGCTAATGAAGGGGATCATGAAAGGCGCGGTACAAACGTTGGTATCTAGATTTTCCAATACTCTCCACTGTTAACGTTACTTCTAGATATCATGCCGCTCTTATCTTGCGCTTCTTTATTGGATTTGTGGAGGCGGCATTCTTTCCTGGAGCTGTATTCCTTCTTTCACGTTGGTATGATTCCCTAATACATTTCTAACAACATATACTTAAATCTCTCTAGGTACAAGCGCAATGAACTAGGATTACGCACAACATTTCTTTTTTGCGGCACCTCCGTCAGTTATGCTTTTAGTGCTCTTATTGCGTCGGGAATCTTAGGAAGCTTAGATGGTGTACTAGGTTTTACGGCTTGGAGGTCTGAAGCAAAATTTGCCTGCTTTCACAAAGTCAATTTGTTCTGATTTTTCTGATGCAGGTGGCTCTTTTTCGTGGAGGGTGCTTTGACCATCGCCATTGCAGTATCTGCAATCTGGATTTTACCCGATTTCCCTTCAACGCCGAGCATCTGGCTTTTGCCCGAGGAACAGTTACTGGCCCAGCAACGGATGGAAGAAGAACTTGTGACTAGAATTGAGTACGAAGGCAAGTCCAAAGAGAACTTCTCTGGTCTTATCGAGGCTCTTATGGATTGGAGAGTATGGTGGCTTGGTATCATCCTTAATTTGATCATTTCCGCCACGTCATTCACCAATTTCTTCCCGACATTATCCGCTACGATGGGTTACAGTGCGACCACTAGCCTCTTTCTCTGCGTACCTCCATGGATTTTGGGAACTGCGACCTCATTTATCGTGGCCAGGTGAGTATCTACTTCTCAGATCCGATAGATGAATTAACAATACTGAATCAAGACACTCCGATGTAACTGATGATCGCTTCTGGCATATTGTTGGCCCTCTACTTGTCGGCGTCGCTGGATTTATACTCGCAATCTCTACTATGAATACGACTGCGCGATATGTATCCTTGTACGAACCTCCCATCATTGTTCTGCGACTCTAGGAACTTACGTGCACTGTTGAGATTCTTGATGACTCAGAGCCCAGTCGCTTATGCTGTCTCTTTAACCTGGGCCATGAACACGTTTTCCCAATCACAATCTAAACGCGCTGCAGCTATCGCGCTAATAAATTCCATAGCATCAGCTGGCTCCATTACTTCATCGTCAGTTTACAGCGACTTCGTGCTCTAGTTGCTGCTACTGACACCTGTCACAGATACTTTTGGCCGTTCAGTTGGGGACCTTCATATGTGAATTCGTATCTCATGTGCATATCGGCAAGCGTCATGTGCATTGCGATGTGCTGGGTGTTTAGGGAGCACCTCTCCCGGTGTAATGAAGCTGCTGAAGCTGAAGAGAAAGGTCTAGGGCTACCTGAGGGTTTCAGATATATCCTCTAGTGCGTGGTTGGTGAATGATAGGATCTCGTCGGCGCGAATGAATACAAGTAAGATATCTATCTCATTTGGCGAGTCATCGATTGACGACGGAGAGTTTCAAGGTACTTGATTTAACTTTCATCATGGGATCGATGTGATAATTGTGCAGAAGACTTACTGTCAACCTGCTGACCTGTGACGGTATTCTTGTCACACAGAAAGAAAACACCAAGCTTCAGACGCAAATCAGCAACTTGAACTTCGTGTCAGTGTTGACAATTCGAGTATCATGGGTGACACAGTAATCCGCTTGAGTACTGAGAGGCAACTTTGGATGCACACACTTTGATTTACATCCGAGTGGGACGAGCACCTCGACTTCCACCTCTTAAGGTCATGACAAAAGCTAGAAGAATAAATTTGAACTCTGTAAGTAAAAATATATGTACTGTAGTAAGCAGCAGGCTAATTGGTCGATATGATTGGCACGCGCGCGATTATCGCAGACTTGAGTCTCTTATCTACTACTATATTGAATATATCTTGAAATCCTTAGTTTTACTTGTTATCCTTAGTCCGATTCGTTTGGTGTTTCCCGCCGCTAGGTAGGCTTCCGTTATATTACTCGATTACTGACCGTAAACTTTAAAACTGCAAGCTAACACGTCTAGGAACTCCGATTCTCTCTTATTAACAGGAATGTCGAATGTTCCCTTGCTTGGTTCAGTCGACTGTAGTTCCCGCTACGATGCCACCTCAAGTGGCAGAAGCGATGGTCACGGTCCAACTCTTCCTCTAGCTGACGTTGACAGACCGATCGTGGAGAAGAGGCTTCTTCGTAAGTTGGACCTTCGAGTAGCCTTTCTGGTTCTGGTTTACATCATGAATATCGTGAGTCGTCAGTCCATTTAATTTTTCCGTAACTACCTAAAACCCTTGCGCAGATGGACCGCACTAATATAGCGTAAGTAGCCGATCGAAAACATTCAGAGTAAAATGGCTTTGACACCTAGTGATCTACAAGTGCAGCGAGGCTGCGTGGCTTCGAAGAGGACCTTGGCATGACGGGGAATCAATTCAATACACTTACAAGCATCCTTTTTTTAGGTTATTTGTTGACACAAGCTCCTTCGTATGTTTTAACACCTTATCGTCACGGTTCTGCGGCAAATCTGATAATTTGAAAGCAACATGATCCTACACCGCATGAAATGGCCATCATTATACCTCTCGAGCTGTATGGCAGTATGGGCTGCTATGACCATGTGCATGAGTACGTTACATAGCTTCGATTGATCGGCATCGGCTAACGAGGGGTCATGAAAGGCGCGGTACAAACGTTGGCATCTAGATCTTTTAATACTCTCCACTGTTAACCCTGCTCTAGATATTATGACGCTCTTATCTTGCGCTTCTTTATTGGATTTGTGGAGGCGACATTTTTTCCTGGAGCTGTATTCCTTCTTTCACGTTGGTATGATTTCCCAATACATTCTAATAGCACATACTGAAGTCCCTCTACTAGGTACAAGGGCAATGAGTTAGGGTTGCGCATAACATTTCTTTTTTGCGGCAACTCCATCAGCTATGCTTTTAGTGCTCTTACTGCGCTGGGAATTTTAGGAAGCTTAGATGGTGCTCTAGGTTTTACGGCTTGGAGGTCTGAAGCGAAATTCGTATGCTTTAACGAAGTCCAATTGTTCTGATTTATCTGCTGCAGGTGGCTCTTCTTCGTGGAGGGTGCTTTAACCTTCACCATTGCGGTGACTGCAATCTGGATTTTACCCGATTTCCCTTCAACATCGAACGTCTGGCTTCTGCCCGCTGAACAGGTGCTGGCCAATCAACGAATGGAGGAAGAAGTCGTGACTAGAATTGAGCGCGAAGGCAAGCCCGAGGATAATTTCTCTGGTCTTACTGAGGCTCTTTTGGATTGGAGGGTATGGTGGCTTGGTGTTACTCTTAATTTGTTGATTTCCTCGACGTCATTCGCCAATTTCTTCCCAACGCTATCTGCAACGATGGGTTTCAGCGTGACTACTAGCCTCTTTCTCTGCGCACCCCCTTGGATTCTGGGCACTGCAACCTCATTTATCGTGGCCAGGTCAGTATCTACTTCTCAGATCCGATGGATGAATTAACAATACTGAATCAAGGCACTCCGACGTAACTGGTGATCGCTTCTGGCATATTGTCGGTCCTCTACTTGTCGGCGTCGCTGGATACATACTCGCAATTTCTACTATGAATACGACTGTGCGATATTTATCCCTGTATGAACTCTCCCATCCTTGCTCTGCGATTCCAGGGACTTACGTGCACTGTTAAGATTCTTGATGACTCAGAGCCCAGTCGCCTATGCTGTCACTTTGACCTGGGTCACGAATACGTTCTCTCAATCACAGTCTAAACGCGCTGCAGCTATCGCACTAATAAGCTCCATGGGATCAGCTGGTTTCATTAGTTCATCGTCAGTTCCAGTTCACAGCGACCTCCTGTTCTAGCTCTTACACCATCGCAGATACTTTTGGCCGTCCAGATGGGGACCTTCATACGTGAACTCGTATCTCTTGTGCATCTCGACAAGCGTCGTGTGCATTGCGATGTGCTGGATATTTAGGGAGCACCTCTCCCGGTGTAATAAAGCTGCTGAAGCGGAAGAAAAAGTTCTAGGGCTACCTGAGGGTTTCAGATATATCCTCTAGTGCGTGGTGGTAGTAAATGATAGGATCTCGTCGGTGTGAAGACAGATAAGATATCTCTCTTATTTGGCGAGTCGTCAATTAACGACGGAGAGCTTCAAGGCACTTGTTGTGACTTTTATCATGGGGTCAATGTGATAATTGTGCAGAAGACTTGCTGTGAACCTGCTGACCTATGGCGGCATTCTTGTCGCACAGAAAGAAAACACCAACCTCCAGACACAAACGGCATTCAGCCCTCATTTATAGGCTATATCTCCAAGGGCATCGCCCTATGCGGAACAGGCCACATACGTGGCGCGAGGGCAGCATTTGATGTTGCATCCGTGTACACGGACCTAGATCCAGAAACAATTCATTTCCTGCTCTCGATTAAGGTATGTTACAGTTGCCTCACACATTCTCCGCTTAATTCTGTGTTTCAGGTCATTGCGCTCTTCCATGCAGATCAACATGACGAAACAAACCTGCTCCTCAAAGAACTCACTAACGGTTGTCCGAATGCCGATATTCGGGCATGTCATGTCGTTCGTTGAAGTATCATGGAGCCACGCTGTGCCATTAAGACTAATCTTTGCAATCGAAAACCATGAGGCATATTGAAGGGGGTACATTGTGAAAGTATTACACGTGGGTGGGTTGAGACTTGGTTGAGATGTGTCAATATCTGAGACTTGAGACTCACGACTACATGACGCGATGCGACAATATCACGTGCTTTACTTTTTTTTTTGAAAGTCTTCGTTGATTTAGCTGATAACTTTTTTTGACATGCGCTTTCAATTGAACAAACTATCTAAACATGTTCTTGTGTAGTACAAACACCCCCTTCCAGTATACAACGAACGACTATACGTAGATTTGAAGTCGGTATCCCGAAGCTTCAGGTGGCTGTGATTTAAGGTTGTTCGCTTATGTAAAGTCGAGCCCTATTTCGGGATTTTGCGAACGCACGCACCTTGATGTATTAGTAAGCAGTATGCTTGCCCACAAGTCTAATTGGTCGATACGATTGACGTGGGCGACGCCGTAAATATTATCGCAGACTCGCGGGTCTCTTATCTATTACTACATTCAAGTTACTCATTTATAACATATCCTTAAGTCCACAGTTTTGACTTGTTACCCTTTAATGTTTCCCGCCGACAACACGGCAGGTTTCATTATATTACTTGGTCACTGACCGTAAACTTGAATCTGCAAGCCAACACGTCTAGGAGCTCCCATCATTCTCTCCCATTAACAGGAATGTCAGATCTTTCCCTGCTTGATTCAGTCAACTGTAGTTCTCGCTACAATGCCACCTCTAGCGGAAGAAGTGATAATGGTTCAACCCTTGCTCTAGCTGACGTTGACAGACCGATCGTGGAGAAGAGGCTTCTCTGTAAGTTGGACCTTCGAGTAGCCTTCCTGGTTCTGGTTTTCATCATGAACATTGTGAGTCGTCAGTCCATCTAATTTTTCCGTGACTACCTAAAACCCTTGCGCAGATGGACCGCACTAATATAGCGTAAGTAGCCGATCGAAAACATTCAGAGTAAAATGGCTTTGACACCTAGTGATCTACAAGTGCAGCGAGGCTGCATGGTTTCGAGGAGGACCTTGGTATGACGGGGAACCAGTTTAATACAACTACCAGCATCCTTTATGTAGGTTATTTGTTGACGCAAGTTCCTTCGTATGTTCTGACACCTTATCATTCTGCGGCATATCTGATAATTTGAAAGCAACATGATCCTACACCGCATGAAATGGCCATCATTATACCTCTCGAGCTGTATGGCAGTATGGGCTGCTATGACCATGTGCATGAGTACGTTACATAGCTTCGATTGATCGGCATCGGCTAACGAGGGGTCATGAAAGGCGCGGTACAAACGTTGGCATCTAGATCTTTTAATACTCTCCACTGTTAACCCTGCTCTAGATATTATGACGCTCTTATCTTGCGCTTCTTTAGTGGATGTGTGGAGGCAACATTCTTTCCCGGAGCTGTATTCCTTCTTTCACGATGGTATGATTTCCCAATACATTCTAAAGCATATACTGAAATATTCCTAGGTACAAGCGCAATGAACTAGGGTTACGCATAACAATTCTTTTTTGCGGCACCTCCGTCAGTTATGCTTTTAGTGCTCTTATTGCGTCGGGAATTTCAGCAAGCCTAGACGGTGCACTAGGTATTACGGCTTGGAGGTCTGAAGCAAAATTCACGTGCTTCAAAAGTCAAATTGTTCTGATTTTGCTGCTGCAGGTGGCTCTTCTTTGTGGAGGGTGCCCTAACCTTCGCCGTGGCAGTGTCTGCAATCTGGATTTTACCCAATTTTCCTTCAACGCCGAGCGTCTGGCTTCTGCCTGCTGAATAGGTGCTGGCCAAGCAACGAATGGAGGAAGAAGTTGTGGCTAGAATTGAGCACGAAGACAAACCCGAAGAGAATTTCTCTGGTCTTACTGAGGCTCTTATGGATTAGAGGGTATGGTGGCTTGGTGTTGCTCTTAATTTGTTGGTTTCCACGACCTCATTCGCCACTTTCTTTCCAACGCTATCCGCTACAATGGGTTACAGCGCGACTACTAGCCTCTTTCTCTGCGCACCTCCGTGGATTTTGGGCACTGCAACCTCGTTTGTTGTGGCCAGGTCAATATATACTTCACACAGGTCTTATAGGTGAATTAACAATACTGAATTAAGGCACTCCGACGTAACTGGTGATCGCCTCTGGCATATTATTGGTCCTCTACTTGTCGGCATCGCTGGGTTTATACTCGCAATTTCTACTATGAATACGACTGTGCGATATATATCCCTGTACGAACTCTCCCATCCTTGCTCTGCGATTCCAGAGACTTACATGCACTATTAAGATTCTTAATGACTCAGAGCCCAGTTGCTCTTGCTGTCTCTTTGACCTGGGTCATGAATACGTTTTCCCAATCACAATCTAAACGCGCTGCTGCTATCGCACTAACGAACTCCATGGCATCAGCTGGTTTTGTTAGTTCATCGTCAGTTCACAGCGATCTCATACTCTGGCTGCTACTGACACCGTCGCAGATACTTTTGGCCGTCCAGTTGGGGACCTTCATACGTGAACTCGTATCTCTTGTGCATCTTGACAAGCGTCGCGTGCATTGCGATGTGCTGGGTATTTAGGGAGCACCTCTCCCGGTGCAATGAGGCTGCTGAAGCTGAAGAGCGCATTATAGGGTTACCCAAGGGTTTTAGGTTCATCCTCTAGCGCGTGGTTGGTGGCTGATAGGATCTTCTTGGTGAGAATATATATGAATGAATATCAGGGCACACGTTGGATATCTTATTTAGCGAGTCATAAATTGACTATGGGGAGCTCCATGATGATGGTACTTGTTTTAGGCCGTCGTCAGATCGATGTATAATTGCGCCGAAGAATTGCTACTTGCTGATCTGTCCATAATAGCAGTATTCCTGTTGCGAAGGAAGACACCAGCCTCCAGACACGAATAAGCGGCCTCATCTATGTTGATAATGCATCACAATGAATCAAGAATGACACAGTAATCCGCTCTAGTACGAGAGAAAAGGTGTATAAGAAACGAGAATAAACCAAGGATGCGGCGGCGGAATGACTCGGACTCGGGCCATGGACGAAGTGCCGTCAGACTTTGCCTACTTGAATGAGACTCGCAATCAACATGCAATAATAGATTCAGGCAGAGTAAAACGATGGCAGAGGTGGTGGTAACCGTCACGGTACAACCATGCAGCCTGGGCCTGTTATGTAATCAGGCCGTGATCAAACTTTGACTACGGAGTCTACTCGCCTAACGCGGATAGTACGGTAATTAATTCATCATTAAGGCGGCTCGCTTGGGGGCAGCTCAGTGACCTACAATTGCCGTAAAGCAGGGATGTGGTAAAGTTGGTTTTTTTTCCTCCAACTTGAAAAGAATCTCCGACTCGATATTATCATGATCGACCCCGAAAAATTCTACGCATACATCGGTGCTTGGTTGCCGAAATGGAAGCCACTGAATCTTTCATCCTCGGGAATGTCATACCGTCCCCTGCTTACCGCAGTCGACTACGATTCCCAATACGATGTTTCTGGCAGAAACGCTGATGACGATCCAATGCTTGTTTTGGATTACATCGACAGGTCAACTGTGGAGAAGAGGCTTCTTCGTAAATTGGACCTTCGGGTAGCCTTCCTAGTTCTGGTTTACATTATGAACTATGTGAGTTGGTACACGTGTTCCCTTATCTATCTAATATCTGTTCACAGATGGACCGAACTAATGCAGCGTACGTGGCCTTTCAAAATTACTTGGAGTAGAGTAGCTTAACCGTCCACTTGGAAGTGCAGCGAGGCTGCGTGGTTACGAGGAAGACCTTGGCATGGTTGGGAACCAATTTAACACACTTACCAGCATCCTTTATGTGGGGTATTTGTTGACGCAAGCTCCTTCGTATGTTTCAACACCCTATCATTCTGCAGTATGCCTAACAATTACAAAGCAACATGCTCTTACACCGCATGAAAAGGCCATCACTATACCTCTCGAGCTGCATGGCAATATGGGGTGTTTTCACTATGCTCATGGGTACGTACAACGTTTACTTTATTGACATTGACTAACGAGAGGCTATGAAAGGTGCGGTACAGACGTTGGTATCTAGCTCTTTTCATGTTGTCCGCTCTTAACGCTGCTCTAGATATTATGCTGCTCTTATTTTACGCTTCTTTATTGGATTTGTGGAGGCGGCATTCTTTCCCGGAGCTGTATTTCTTCTTTCACAATGGTATAATTGTCTAATGACTTCGAACAACATATACTCATTTTTTCCCTCTAGGTACAAGAAAAATGAACTAGGGTTGCGCACAGCACTCCTTGCTTGCGGCGCCTCGGTTAGTAATGCTTTTGGTGCGCTTTTCGCATCAGGAATCTTGGGGTGCCTAGATGGTGTACTAGGTTTTACGGCTTGGAGGTCTGAGCCGAAATGCGCGTGCTTTCACAAAGTCAAACTGTTCTGACTGCTACTGCAGGTGGCTCTTTTTTGTGGAAGGCGCACTGACCGTCGTGGTCGCGGTGTCTGCGGGCTGGATTTTACCCGATTTTCCTTCAACGCCGAGCGTCTGGCTGCTGCCTGACGAACAGATGCTGGCTAAGCAACGGATGGAGGAGGAAGTCGCGGGCGGAAATGAGCCTAAAAGTAAACCCAAAGAGGATTTTTCTGGTCTTACTGATGCTCTTATGGATTGGAGGGTATGGTGGGTTGGCGCTGCCCTTAACCTGATGGCTTCCTCGATGTCGTTCGGTATCTTTTTCCCGACGCTATCTGCTACAATGGGTTACGACGCTACTACGAGCCTCATACTCTGTGCACCTCCGTGGATTTTAGGAACCGCTACCTCATTTGTTGTGGCCAGGTCAGTATTTACTTCTCAGGTCCGATGGATGAATTAACAATTCTGAACAAGGCACTCCGATGCAACTGGTGATCGCTTCTGGCATATTGTTGGTGCTCAACTTGTAGGCATCGCTGGATTTATCCTCGCAATTTCTACAATGAATACGACTGCACGATATGTATCACTGTGCGAACTCTCCTATCATCGTTCTGCGATTCCATGAACTTACATGTACCATTAAGATTCCTGATGACCCAGAGCCCAGTCTCCTATGTTGTTGCTTTGACCTGGGCCATGAATACGTTTTCTCAATCACAATCGAAACGTGCTGCAGCTATCGCACTCATAAACTCCATGGCATCAGCTGGCGCGATCGTTTCATCGTCAGTTGACAGTCATCTTGTGCTTTCCGCTAGTATTGACGCTTTCACAGGTACTTCTGGCCATCCAGTTGGGGACCTTCATACGTGAACTCATACCTCATTTGCATCTCGGCAAGTATCACGTCTATTGCGATGTTATGGGTATTTAGGTTGCATCTTTCCCGGTGTAATGAAGCTGCTGAAGCCGAGGAGCAATCTCTTGGGCTGCCCAAGGGTCTGAGATATCTCCTCTAGCGCTTCGAGTCGCTGCTCAGGTGTCTAGAGGTATTAGGTTGTTCGGTAGCGGTTATGCTTTGTTGGGAGTGGGTCTGATTATTAACATATTGTACACAGTTGACCAAAATATATTAATGTACTGTTCGAGTTGCGCTCCTCCTAGATCATCCACTACGTTGCGTGTAGCTGGTCGCCAGTCTAGCTTGTACTGTACTGTAATAAATGCATGGCATCTACCATGGCATGACTCCCATATCACCCATCATTATACGAGTGGCGGTATTGTGTAGGGTAAGAAGACTTCTTTACCCTTGTTTTGTTCATACCATACTATATCATGTGCTACCAGAACCTGCACCCTGGATATCTCCAACAACGACCTCATTCTGCGAATGTTCTCATCCGCGACTGCCTTGTACTGGTGGGCACATGTCACCACGCCCGTTGTCGCGTCGACACTGCACGCGACTTGCATCTTCCCAGTGATCAGATCAGGGTGATGAGCTGAATCTGCGCCTAGCAAGATCCAAGCACCATCTTGGGAAGTGCGTGCAAGGATGTTGATATGCCTGTCAGCATGCCCTGTATTACACAAGCTTGAGTGACTTTTTCCAGTCTTATACATACAGTAGAGAAGTACCAGATGCATCAACGATATGCTGCCATCACCGAAAATATCCATTGCGTGAGAGTAGGGACCGATTGCCACGTGTAGGTCAGAAGCTGTAAAGAAGCGTAGACGGTCTTCCGGTGGACGAATGGACGAAAAGGATATGGGACTGTGGCAGGAACTGGGATCCAAAAAAGCTTGCTTTGATCCTTCCCCGAGGACAAACTCGGCAGTCGTAAATGGGGAGGGATCTCCGACGCTGATGAGAGGCGGGTTAGGTAGATCATACCACATCGGACGCTAAACACCGGCAGCTCACTGATCCCAATGGAGGTGACTCAGGACTACCAGTCAACTGATGAAGGGGAAACTCCACGGTCTGTTTCACATCAGGCAGCACTGAACCGCCAAGCCTGCAGCGTGCCACGAGGCCCCACAGCAACAAAGCAATTTTGTCCGCACTGTTACAGTGGCTCATACTCACCGCTCCGCAAGAAGAATACCATACATAATAATTGACGCCTAATCTATAACACACCTCCTTACAGGTTGACATTCTCAAGAAAATCGTCGATGCCACCTGCAGTTCTGCTGAAATTTGTGCCATATAACAGCAATAACAATTCTGCCAGATCGAGAGTCAGAATCGCGCTCTTGAACATATACATATAAAAGCTGACCGTCGTGCTACAGTGTTCCACCATCCTCAGAGACATCATTTTGAGATCCTCCTTATAATAGTCCATATCAACCTCCCACAGAAAATGCGTTTCCCCCTTTTCGCCGTTGTTGTTGCTTTGACGGCAGCTATGTTTGTCGGTGCAGCGTCAAGCTGTATAAAGGAGTACCAAACTTGCAATCCACGTGCGTCCGATTGCTGCAGGGGTTACAGATGTGGAAATGTTGGCGTGAGTATGAGCAGTCAGCTGTGCAACCAAGATTCAACCACATCACTCACCTGCGTGCCTTAGTATGGAAATTGGGTCTGCGAGACTTAGTATGGGAATTGGCTCTGCTACCAGTTGAAAATGGAAGCGCCAGCTGGAGGGGCACGTCGCGACAGTGAGTCATATTTCTCCTTTTGCTTTAGAGCCATATTTAATAGTGTAATACCTAGTTCGCTGTTCGGAGGCAATTAATACAGTTGCTTTTGAACAGATTTTCGTACTGCTCGAGCAATGAGGATGTTTGAATTTATCTAAAAAAAATGATTGAACGTGCCCAGTCTTGCTGGTGGACCATTAAGCTCAAGTTCGTGTAGCGTAGGGAGCTCGGGACTCCGGGGAGTGAATCTCTTCATCAAGCGAGTGTTGAATGAGGCGCAAGACATAAATGATTATCCTGTGTACTCAGAATTGCTCTGATACACCGCTCCGGCGGGTTTCTCCATGTCAGGTGATGAGTGCTCTCACGCACCCAATCGAGCAGTCCTAGTCAGTACGCGGCCAAGTACTATCTATCCTGCAGTGTCTTTTTTTCTGCGTCGAGTAGTTACTCAAGCACATCATCATATCACTCCTTCAAAAATATGCATATAGCTTGTTGCAATATAACCCATGTATCCCACTGACTCTCAAGGCCTGTTTGTGCACCGGATGCAAGCGAAGTCTCATACTCGTCACCAATTTTATCACACAAGGGCTTTTCTTCTACCGCGGCTCATTCTAGCAAGATTTCGATGAGCTTGCAGCTCGATCTTTGGGGTGTTCGGTATGGAGGTGCTGTAGAATCGCTTCAAGCTCACTCGTATGATTGTGATCCCGCTAGGTTTTGACGAGGAAATAAGCGCATTACTGGTAATATTCTTACACTAAATCAAATTCTGCATGGCTTAAACATCTGAAGGGTGCATCTTCCCCCAGATACCAAGATGATGGAGAACATGGCTTTACCTTGTTTGTCGACTCACCATCACCATTCAGCATCAAGTGCAATTTACCGTCAGCAGCTGGACGAATAACTCGGAGGTATGGGTACAGGTGCCTGAATTGCCCTGGCGCAAACACCGTAAATGCCCCACCGGAAAATGGACTATCTCTCCAGTCATACGCATGATGTGTGATGTACTGCGCTGCCAGAAAGTCGTAGGTAATCCCAGATCTGGCGTGCAAACGTGCAAGGTCTCGCAATACGAGTTCCTTAAGCTGTGATTCCCCAGAAGGCGAGTCCCGATTGATCAGGGTCCCTATACGTTGGGCATCCTGACCCACTGTATATGAGGCGATGAGCACGGCTGGCTCCTTTGGGTCATCGTGGATGCTGTGGGACGGATAACAACACGTGCGGATAGGGACACACTAAACGATGTACCACCCTTCGTTATGCCGCACCGTGTGATCCGCCATGGGGTCTTAAACCTTATCGCGACCTTGCAGGATGTATCGTATCGCAAACAACGCAAGGCATCTATTTGCGCAGGATACAGCTCGGCATCGACGAGATCCATATTTCGTGAGCAACCCAAGGGAGTGGTGTTGAAAACCGAGTCATACCGACGAATGGACGATTGACCCGATGGAGTGACAAGCCTGACTTCCACTTTCTCATGAATACGATTCAAAGCGATGCGAGTAGCCGTAGTGCAATACTCGGGTTTATGGGGAGCAATCCTGTTTAGCATAGCAGAAATTGCAACGGACGCGCCGCCGTCTATGCACTTCCATCCGTATTCTTCCAGATCGTGGAAGTCCGAGCTCAGGATAACATACTCGGTAAAAGCTTGATCAAAGAAGTCGCTGGGGCTGATATGAACGTCAGTGCGAATCGCGGTGGAGTCAAGGCACCCCGTACGCAATATTTGTCTCTAGCCATCGACATGTATGATAATCAAGTTGCCTAATGATCATCTAACACAGACAATGGAACATTATGAAACACCGACTCACATGTACACGCGCAAGTATTCCCTCATAGAGTATTTGTCTACCTCCGTGAGGTTTTTAAAACCTTGTTCGAAGTCTTCTCTCAAAAGCTGCAAGTAGGGTGCTGACGCCTCCTGAAGGATTTTCTGTACCCCAATAGCCACATACCTCACCTCAAATATTAGCGCTCCACTCAAGAGATAAGACGGCTTCGTACTCATCACGCTGAACTTGTATGGGTCGAACTCCGCAAGGTCCATAGGCGGGCCCAAAATGTTGTTGAAGACTATGGGAGTATTCTGACCATTCATGTAGTAAAAAATCAACGGAACATTCGAATCTTCGAATAGAGCAAGTGCTCTGATGTCCATGTTAAAATTGTGTTCAGAACCAGAATGCCCTGCTTACTTCTTCATTACGGGAGATTCAAACCAACGCATAGCCCCTACGTCATAGCAGTCATGAAGAGCCTCGCTGAATTTATAGGTATACAGACGTCCCCCAGCGCGGTCTGAGGCTTCAACGAGATCGAAATGTAGTTCTTTCAGAATCATGGCGATATATAGCCCAGCTACTCCAGCACCAATAATACAGAATTTGACATTCAGAGGAATACTGTCATCTAGATGAGCTTCTTCAACACAAGGGCGATTGACGTCGAACAACGTATTGTTCGAGCAGGCACCGCCTAAGCCTGAGGGATGAATGGGTAGCTCTGTATTGTGGGACTCACGGAGAGCACAAAGTTGGGGAGAAATGCTCTCGCGAATGAGCTGACGAGCGTACCGCGCTGTAATAAATGCATGGCATCTACCATGGCATGACTCCCATATCACACATCAATATACGAGTGGCGGTATTGTGTAGGGTAAGAAGACTTCTTTACCCTTGTTTTGTTCATACCATACTATATCATGTGCTACCAGAACCTGCACCCTGGGTATCTCCAACAACGACCTCATTCTGCGAATGTTTTCATCCGCGACTACCTTGTACTGGTGGGCACATGTCACCACGCCCGTTGTCGCGTCGACACTGCACGCAACTCGCATCTTCCCAGTGATCAGATCAGGGTGATGAGCTGAATCTGCGCCTAGCAAGATCCAAGCACCATCTTGGGAAGTGCGTGCAAGGATGTTGATATGCCCGTCAGCATGCCCTGTATTACACAAGCTTGAGTGACTTTTTCCAGTCTTATGCATACAGTAGAGAAGTACCAGATGCATCAACGATATACAAGCTGCCATCACCGAAAATGTCCATTGCGTGCGGGTAGGGACCGATTGCCACGTTTAGGTCAGAAGCTGTAAGGAAGCGTAGACGGTCTTCCGGTGGACGAATGGACGAAAAGGATATGGGACTGTGGCAGGAACTGGGATCCAAAAAAGCTTGCTTTGATCCTTCCCCGAGGATAAATTCGGCAGTCGTAAACGGGGAGGGGTCTCCGACGCTGATGAGAAACGGGTTAGGCGATTCATACCACCTCGGCCGCTGAACACCGGCAGCTCACTGATCCCAATGGAGGTGACTCAGGACTACCAGGTCAACTGATGAAGGAGGAACTCCACCGGCATCCAAAGACTCTGCTGCAGTCTGTTTCACATCAGGCACCACTGGTATTGCAGCAGGTGCAAACTCTTTGATGTTTCTGTGTATTCCTAGGTCAAAAACAACCCGTTTATTGCTTTTCGAATGACGGAGGAAGAATGCGAGGGAGGGAAAACTTATGGGATCGTCCGATTGATTGACTGCCATTAGGCTCAAAGGAACATTGAGGTGTCCAGCTTCGAGGGCGGATACGTACATGTACGCCTGCTCATTAGACGGAGGAGGGAGCGAATGCGTCTCTGTGGACATTGGTATCAAGTTGAAGAGTTGATTAGATTCAAGATTCAAAACTTTGATAGACGGCAATGCGGTGTTGAAAGAACCAAAACACGCCATCTTCAAATCAGCCATCAATTACATATACGGAGCGTGACATCGGATCCGTCCGTCCCTCTAGGCCTTTCATTATACACCAACCAAAATTAGAGAATTTTGACAAGGAGTTGTTGGGGACTCACTTTGGATGTACGATAAAGGGCACCTATAGTACTCTGAGGTGCACATCTTGCGCCCGCCCACGCATCTGACATACTTAATAGGGATGTTCACAGTAACATTTTCGAGTCGTTTTCGTCATGGTTTTCATTTCTGTTTTCAACTTTGATCTTCCTGAGTGAGCGCACCATCCCTGGTTAAATCGCTTCTCTCAAAATACACACGTTTCTCACTTGCCCTTGGTATATACAAATCAGTCTTAAAACACCTAACAAAGGGTTGGGTCTGCTGAGAGTTATAAATGACGAGGTTTAGGATGTGGTCCAAGACTGCTTGTAAATAATTTACTACATGAAGTGTTGGCGCTGCGCGAGCTGGGTTGAATTCAAGTGAACGCGAACTGAATGAAATTGAGCAGCCCTTGGGGTCAGCGCAAAGCCTGCAGCGTGCCGCAAGGCACCACGACAACAAAGCGATTTTGTCCGCACTGTTACAGTGGCTCATACTTACCGCTCCGCATGAACAATAATTGACGCCTAATCTATAACCCACCACCTTACAGGTTGACATGCACCAATCTCAAGAAAATCGTCGATGCCTGTTGGCCGATTAAATACGCACCTGCAGTTCTGCCGAAATTCGTGCCATATAACAGCAATAACAATTCTGCCAGATCGATCAGAATTACGCTCCTGAGCATATACATATAAAAGCTGGCCGTCGTCCTATAGTGTTCCCCCATCATTTTGAGATCCCCCTTAGAATAGTCCATATCAACCTCGCACAGAAAATGCGTTTCTCCCTCCTCGCCGTTGTTGTTGCTTTGACGGCAGCTATGTTTGTCAGTGCAGACTGTGGGACCGAGTACCAAACTTGCCATCCGGCACTTAACGATTGCTGCAAGGGTTATACTTGTGTAGATATTGGCGTGAGTATGAGCAGTCAGCTGTGCAACCAAGATTCAACCACATCACTCACCTGCGTGCCTTAGCAATATTGGGTCTGCGACCGCGACCACAAAGGTTGAAAATGGAAGCGGCAGCTGGAGGGGCACGTCGCGACAGTGAGTCATATTTCACCTTTTGCTTTAGTATCATATTTAATAGTGTAATACCTAGTTCGCCGTTCAGAGGCAATCAATACAGTTGCTTTTGAACAGATTTTCGTACTGCTCGAGCAATAAGGATGTTTGAATTTATCTGAAAAAATGATTGAACGTGCCCAGTCTTGCTGGTGGACCACTAAGCTCGAGTTCGTGTAGCGTAGGGAGCTCGGGACTCCGGGGAGTGAATCTCTTCATCAAGCGAGTGTTGGATGAGGCGCAAGACATAAATGATTATCCTGTATACTAGATGCACTCTAGAACAAGAGGTGTGCGAAATTGCAATTCCGCATACGGACCTGGCGTAAATTGGGACCCCCTACCGTGACAGCGTTATGGTCACGTTAATTAAACCATATATGGTAGCTTAGTCAGATCACTTCGAAGACAAAAGTTAATGACATTGATTGCAGAACATACGAAACAGCAGCGTGTAAATTGAATGAGGACGTACAAAGCATCACAAGTACGTAGGATAGCGAGTAAAGCAAGTTGTAGACTCCATGAAAACAATTGTAAAGCATGAAGTTAAGTTTGAGTATGAAAAAAATGAGAAGCTGTGTGAAATCATCAAATCAACCAAGGGGGTAGCACATCAGGAAATCAACCTGGAATTGATATGACCAGGTAGAGCTGACAAATGAAACCCATTATGATACATCTAGCTTTAGAATTATACATTATTATCTTTGCTCAACATGTGTATGAAAAAATATATGATTATGCCAAGGATATATAATCTTGATACATCTCTTGCAAGTATGCAACAAATATATGAGAGAATGTATAGCTATGACAGGGGCATCTCATTTTGATGTGCCTTTTACAAGTATCAAGCAAGTATATGAAATAATACATGACTGTGTTGGGGTCACGTAATCTTGATAGGCGTCTTGCAAGTATGCAGCAAATATGTGAGAGGTTGTATAGCTATGACAGGGGCATCTCATTTTGATGTACCTTTTACAAGTATCAAGCAAGTATACGAAAAAATATATGACTGTGTCGGGGTCACGTAATCTTGATATGCATTTTGCAAGTATGCAACAAATATACTAGAGAATGTATAGCTATGACAGGGGTATCTCATTTTGACTTGCCTTTTAATATACAAAAATTGTCTCAAATTGTTAAAATACTCTAAAATACTCCAAGTCCCTTTGCGGATGGGCGAGAATTTGTCAAAGTCTACAAAAATTCAAAAAATGCAGGAAATCTGATTATATTGTTCAAAGCGGTGCACATAGGATAGAACAAATCACAGGACAACAAAATGGCAATGATACAAAGTACCTCTGCTATCGGTATGTATTAATATCCACCTAGGTAAACCCTGGGGTGTCGGAAACCTCGCCTGCACCCACACCCGCATGAAGGGTATGGGTTTTTTTAGGGTACAACGAGCTCGCACCCTTACCCGCACCCATGCAGGGTTTCCCCACAGGTAATAGTACATATAAATATTAAACTAGCAATTCTAAAAATATGAAAAAACAATCCTACACTCACCAACTGCAAACAGTGGGCAACGATCAGCATGGCTCGAACTCGAAGGAGGATCGACACAACTCACAGGCTATGAACAGTGGGCGACAACTTCGATCAGCACGGCTCAAGCTCAAAAGAGGACCAATACACTCACAGACTGGGATGACAAGTCACAAGGTGCTCTAATCCTTCTCCTTCTCTCTCCCTTCTGCTCTTTCCATCCTCCTTGTCCTCCTAACTTCTCTCCAGTCCTCTCACTGTCCCACAATTCATGGAGTCCGCGCGATCACATCACTTCGTCATTGGCACTTGCCAGTGTATTGTTGGGTTGAATGCTCGGAGATGGCATGTGCTGGAGATGGACGGGGGGTGCGAGTGGTATGGGTGTTGCTGGTGGCATGCAAACACGGGCTGATGGTGTGGGGCACGTTGAGATGGACACGGTTGCTGTAGCGGTTGCAAATGGTGAAGTGAGGGCTGCGGTTGATGGTGGCAGCATGGGCTGCATAGTCCAAGCTATGTGAGGTGCGAGTGATGGCGATGGTGGTGCGAATGATGGGTGTGCAAGAATAAGCACCGGTGAAGTGGTGTGCAGTGAATGACGCAAATGATGGGTGTGCAAGAATAAGCACTGGTGAAGTGGTGTGCAGTGAATGGTGCGCCCGTGGTACTGGGTACTTCCTGCTGGTTGGAACGTGTGCAAAGAGTCGCGCTGGGTTTGCTGTCACTGGTAGGTGCATGCTGGCGCGTGTCTGTGGGCTCACTGTGTCCTGCAGACTGTTTCCTGCTTCCAACCTCCCCATTTCTTCCTGCCTTCTGTCCATTCGTCCACATCCTCTTCCCAACTGCTCCATTCTCCTTCCCCTTGCTCCCATTCGTCGTCCGCGTGCATCTGAGTCACATCAGCACTTGTTGGCGTGTACCGGGCGTGTGCGCTTGGCACTGGGGCTTGCTGGAAGTGGGTGGGCATGGTGGGTGCTGATCTTGGTGGTGGTTGTGGCTGAGGTGTGCGCGCGAGAGGTACACCATCTGCTGTGGCTGATGCGGGAGGTGCAGCGATTACTGCCGGATGTGAAGGTGCTGGTGCTGGTGTGATGTGAGCGGGAATGCGAGTGTGAAATGGAACATTGTAAAATGAATACTTGTCAAGGCTGAAATTTTCAAAACGGAGAGAACTCAGAATGCGAGTGCAGCAAAAGGCAATCAAACCAAACAAAGCGACTTCCTTGGTAGAATGTGTGCACAAACGAGCCGAATTGTATTAAAGTCGAGAGGCAAAATGATTAACACTGATACTGTAGACATAAGGGACGAGAGACTGAGTCAAAATCCGAGAGAACAAGAGAACACGAGAAAAAACCAAGCAGACAAGCAGAGTAGGCGAGTCGCGAGCTCTCATTCTAGTCACAAGGTGGAGAGAGGGCCACACTGGTAGTAATCAAATAAAAATCATTGAAAAAATAAAACTGGGGGAACTGACGTGTTAATGGGTCCAAAATGACCTTTTACCCTGCCAAATTCCTCATCAAAGACCTTGTGCCAAAACCGAGTTGTTGCTGAAGGTGCCGCGTGGAACTTGTGTGAAGACGAGTGTTTCGGGGAATGAATATATACTATTTAAGAATATCAGCTCTTTCCTTCATACTTTAACTTATACCAAAATCAATAACATACCTGAGAGCTATGGGTCAGCTGAACACTGTAAGTGACTTAGTGTTTTGTGTTGGTGTTACTCACTGTTTCATCTTAGCGTCTTTCTCGAATCCCAAACTTGAAGCAGAGGGGCAAGCAAGTACAAACATATCAGCAGGTGGTGTTTAGTTTTCAATATGTACGGTGCGTACTACTAATAGTCCATAGTTTAATTTTTATTAACTCGATGTGCGCGATCTAGTGTGAGGATGAGGGAGGGGGAAGATGTGGAAGGCGAGGGGGTAATAGGTGAGGAGGCAATAGGCAAGGAGACAATAGGCAAGGAGACAATAGGCAAGGAGACGATGGGAGAGGATGATAAATAACAAAGTATTGCGAGGATCGTGCATGGCAGGAGGTAGAAGCATGGAATCGAGACATCTAGGAATAATTTTGAGTTCGTTAGTAACACGTCCAGCTTGTAAGAGCACATGACTAATGTGGCTTCATCAAGCACAACAACTCTGTAGTCTTTCACCAACGCATGGGCCAGACTGAGCAGGGATCTTGCCCCAATGCTGAAATTCGCTCCCTCGCTCTCAATAGTACTGTCAAGGTCGTAGTGATTGGTGGGAGCTTGCTTGCTCCCGACACCATCAATGACTGTTTCGAAGTGGTGCTGAAATGAGGTGGCACCAAGCAGCTTGGTTATATATATCAGAAATGTGCATTCTCTTGAGCCTGCAAAGAACGACATCAGCTTCAAGATTGCTACAAGAAATAAGCACGGCATAGCAGGTGCAGGCCTTACCAACATGAAAAGAAATCAACGACAGATTTGGCCATTTAAACCTGTCTACTCGACTCTAGTATATCTTTCAATGAGATGTTGCTCCTCTCGCACATTTGGCGGAAAAGTGTTACAAGAACATCTAGACGCTTGGGCCCCTACCATTTTTCTCCTAATCCTCCTCGTATCTGCCCTCGCCTCATACCCTTACCCCGACCTTACCCTTGTCATCCTCGCCATCCTCACATTCCCCTTCGCTCTCTACCTGTCGCTTCAGCAGAGCCAGTACATCTGGTCGGATCCTTTTGCTGACGAAGCATACCCATGCTCTGTTCCACCACCTGACTGATCCCGTGGACAGTCCTCTTGCCCTTACCGTCAGGACGGTAACCTATGATACGATGCACGACGCATCCCCTTTGCCCCGTTCCCTTTCTTGATCTCTGACTCAGTGCGCAGTCGCACATGCGACTTATACTTAGCTCCGCAGTTGCACGATCGTGCCCCTGCGCGTTTCACTTCTCATTTTGATCTTTGACTCACTTTCTTATCTGCACGTTCAGGATTCACCCGTGTCTCACCTCGAACGTGCCTTCCTTTTATGGTCATACCCTTTACCGATTGCTTCTCTTGGTAGTACGAGTTATCACCCACTAATACGCTTCCTATCCTCTATATAAACTCGCTACCATGTAACATATTCCCTAACTTGAATCTACTTGGTTCTTGACCTCCTACTCTCACCAGAGTGATCCTTTCTGCCTCGCCAGCAGTCTATATTATATCTTCTTATCTGCTCCTCGCGGATAAGCCTATAGTCTTGATCTTTACTCATCGACTTCGTCGACGAGCAAAGCCCCTGTTAACTAGTTGGACTTCTGTCCTTCTAATTAACGACGATCTTACAATTAACCTTCGGGTGTCGTAAGCCTAGGCCGATATAGCTTATCGTCTCGCACCCGCGTGACATAAGCTACCCGATTTGGACATAGGCGTCAAATCTTACTTGCCGAAGCCTCGCCAAGTAAGACCCCTAACCTTGGGCTAGCCCAAGGATGTCCTCGACCATTGACGACACACGCTCTGTTTGAGCGTCGCCAACAGATACCATCCAAGTCGTAACAGAAAAGTTCACCCTCTGTTTTGAAAAGACTGGATGGAGTATCAAATTCCTTTGATAGAGTGTGAGTTTCAACCAATGAAAGGTGTTCAAATCATCGTACAGCAACAAGGCCAGCGTCAAGGACCAGAATCTGGTCATATGAAATGATAGTACAAAGTTGGTCTGAAGTATCATTGTGTCTCAGCATTGCACCAAGAGGACAACAGATAAAACGCACGGGCAATACAAAGTAGCGTCCGATCCTGGAATTCCGTTTGGATAGTGTGCTGGATTTTACTGTCAGTATTGAGATCGACAGAGGCTCTGGAAAAAATTCAACATTAGGCATCCAGGAGAAGAGCACATGACTAACGTGGCCTCATCAAGCACAATGACTTTGCAGTCTTTCACAAGCGCACGAGCTAGACTGAGCAGAGATCTCTCCCCAACACTGAGGTTTGCTCCCTCACTCTCAATGGTACTGTCAAGGTGGTGGCGGCTGGTGGGAGCTTGCTCACTTCTGATGCCATCACTGGAAAATGACTGTTTCGAAGTGGTGCTGAAATCAAGTAGACAAGATTGACGCAGTGCATCCCATAGCTCCATGTCACTGTGTTGTGAGAATGGATCTAGCTTGGAGCATATGGTCCCTGGTAATCATTTAGTGCTTCACACGAGAGCATGTAGAACGATACTGACCGCTAAATAGAATGGGCTATCGGGTTCATATGTCAGTCCTGCATGAGGTTGTATAAGAAAACTGTACAGACATCTTGTGGGATGATAGAAATCTTGGAGCAGAGATCTTGAAGACCAATTGTAGATATATCGATACTAGAAGGGGTGAACCAACCAATATTAGTCATGAGCGATGATCCACACACCCATCAATAGTGATTGAACCACCAGACATCTCAACAATCCGAAACAATGCAAGCATCAATGAAGATTTGCCAGCACCAGTCCTGACAAGACACTGCATTAGCATATGTTTGTAGATCCAACAAAGCAGCTGACCTTCCAACAATGCCTATCTTTTTGCCTCCCCTAATCTTGATGGAGATACCTCTCAATATGTTGGGAAGGCCCGGCCTATATGCCATTTTAATGTGGCTGAATTCGATGGCGCCATGTTCAGGCCATTGCACCAGGGGCTTTTGTTCTTCGAGTTCATACGGAGCCTCTTGAGGTATCATGTCGCCTGCGACGTACTGTGCCACTGCAAGATGTAAGCAAGAGTTAAGGTAAGATAGATTTGGTAGCTTACCTCGCTCCACTGCATTCATGTGATTCTGAGACAGACAAACAACTCAATAGCCTGTAATGTGGGATAGTAAGGAGAGCCTTACCTCGACGTCTGCTGTTTGTCTGGTCAACAGACCACACATTTGTGACAGCGAGGCTGTGACACAGAAGTTAATTGTATGTACTTTGGTAGCAGCATTGGGAAACCCACTAGTATATGACAGTACCAACCCTATCTGAGCAGTGTTTATCCCGGAGACGTCGATCACTACGAGAAGAGTGACTTATTGAGATCATAGCATCGCATAAGTATGAGGTGTCAGTCGTTAAGTAGACGCCTACAATGAAGACTAATATGGCTCCCATGAAGTCCAACCTTATTGCAAGCCACCTGAGGGGAGGTGATAAACCAATAACTGCCAAGACATGTATAAGGTTACTTGCCTCTGGTTCGTAACCACGAGGAATAGTGCTCTATCTTCCAAATCAATGTAGTATCTATTGGCAGCAATAAATCACTTCATTTATCTGTAGCTTTGAATTGTGGGAAGTCCTGTCAAGGTCTCTGAAAAGTGGGCATACAAAAGAGAGCGAAGCATTGAGTCTGATGACCAATTTCAACAGAGGCTTTCTAGATCAAAAATACAAGAACAAACCCAGATGTTTGACTTTGCGAGCACCAGCTCGATAAAAGGCAGTAAAGTAGCTGTAACTGAGAATGATGAAAAACATAGCAATAACTAGACAAGCATGAGTCATATGATTCAGACGGTAGATGATAACTATATACTGACCAAAGTACAGTTCAAGGACAGAAATGATGATGATAGAACCCATCACGCTGGACAGCATAATGATAACTGGATTTCCAGTCAGTTTCCATAAAACGAAACATGCAGCTAACATACCCAATGTCAATGATTCTTGATGATGGATCAGCAACGTTTCACTATGCAGTGATAAATGACTCACGTAGCAGTTGATTGTCAATACCTGAGTGAAAGGTTTCAGCAGGCATAGCATAGTGTACATCATTGAGATACTGACTGTTGATATCTTTTCCAAAAATACTCAGGATTCGGCCCATAGGCTATAGGTACACAATAAGTATCGATTTTGATGCTTTCATACACGATCACTTACTGTAGTGTCGAAAAAGGACATGGATGCATGAACAACGTTGCGTACAGACTTGTGGTGCAGGCTTTGAGACACATAATAGGACATGAAATCCATTCTAGCACCACTGTAGCAAGTGATGTTGAGTGAGCATGCCATCATCTGCGGTAGGAACTGACTTACAGCAAGAATGTGAAGATTGCTTGACCAGCCCCTAGGCAGCCGTACAGCGTCTGATAGAACAAGTTTGGTCGGTTGAATTTGCTGCACCAGGATTTAGAAGAGAAATAAAAAAGTCAATAAAAAGATACTGACTTGGTCTCCCACCAAACTAGTGTGTACGAGTTCAAGATCAGGCACCTCTGCATCGCAAGCATGATGAGAAGAAGAAGAAGTAAGGGACCTGTTATTGAACCGTGGCCTGCAACAAGGTAGGTCCAGTACACTTCAAAACTGTTTCAATCAAGGGAAACATATCAGACAAACTTGATCACACCTTTCCATGCGGAGCCTGTCGACCGCTTCTCTTTGACGATCAAGCGACCTTCAAGTTTACCATTGCCAGTAGCCTGCTTCTTGGCTCTTTTTGACTTCAACTTCACATCCTCGATGGTAATGCGTGTCTGCGGAATGATATCCTCTTCCTGGGTTTCATCTTCCCCCTCCAAGGCATGGCCACCGAACTCTAGGTCAAAACGTGCAAAATCACCACCACGAGAGACAAGATCCTCATAAGTCCCACTCTCCGTGATAATGCCATTGTTCAGGGTATAGATGTAATCTACTTGAGAGAAGAAATGGATCACATGCGTGACCAGAATGACGGTAACACCACGATTTCGCAGGGCACCCACGATAGCATCTTGGAATAAGGACTTTCCAACATTAGCATCAACTGAAGGCATTCTTCAATATGATAGACATGAAATAAATGACATAGCTCACTTGCCGAGAGCGGGTCATCAAATATAACAATTTCAGGTTCAAAATATAAAGCACGAGCAATGTTGACCTGGGTGGAAGATAAAGATCAATTCTTAACGAATACAAGCCACAAACTCACTCTCTGCTTTTGGCCTCCGCTGAGGTTGATTCCCTTTTCTCCAATCTGAAATATAATATAAGCGGCGATATCAATCTGGACTCACCCACGTACCTCAGTAAAATCCCCATCTGGGAGCAGTTGGAGGTTTGGAAGTAGACAAGCAGTTTCAATAATGCACCAATATCTATCCTTCTTGAATGGTTGGCCAAAATTGATATTATCACACTAGGGTAAGATGTTAGATGTACTTGCCCTTGAAGTTAGGGCAGAAACCATGCTGACCAACGCGACCGCCAAATGAGACATGCCCGGAGGACCTTCCTCATCTAATGTCATTCGACAAAATTACCTGAAAAATAGGTGTATCCTTTCCAGGAGCAGGCTTTTCCTTTTCCTTTGCCATGTCCTCCTTCACACCTCTGTCCTTGCCCCTCGGTGGACCACCGCCGCATGCACCCTTCGAGCTGAAAGCCTCACCAGAATCTTTTGCATACAACTCCCACTCAAATGTCACATCCTTGGTCAGAAGCACGGGTTCTTGGTCCTTGTCAATCACGAGTGTATCTTCGGAAATAAGTTCCATGCGGAACACGTGTGTGAGCCGCTGAATCGCATTGGATGCATCGGGTATAGCTGATAGAGCGCAGGGATAAATGTCATTGGTTGCTGGAGAAGCTATTTATCTCTCGGGTAAGTGCGTGTCTATGTCCACCGCAACAAACAATTTCACCTGGAATAAACTGAACAAACAGAATATGACAGCAATGTTGAGGTTGTGTGCTGTCAGGGTGTATGTGACAAAAGCTAGTGTGGCAGCGAGGACTGGCATCAAGGCTGCGAGGGCCAAGCTGTGTGAATTGAATTAGGAGGTGTTGCTATGCTATATCCATTTAGACTTACTTCCCTGAAGTTACATGAAGAATCCTTTGAATACCATGCAGTTCCTTTTTTTCGAAGGTAGAAGATTCCTAAGCAACTTTCGTGAATATGTTGTTGATATTCCTTGACATCGTGCTTGCTTGGAAGGAAAGGAACTTTGTATGTGAAGTATTTGACAATCCATATAGCTCCTGTGTACTCTTTAGCATCATTGCATGTCCTAGCAGCTCCAAGGTTACATACCGAGTACCTCTAGCAGAACTTTGACTCGTTGATCAGTCTATTTCATTGATACTGAGCGAATACAGTGCTGCAGTGTTGTTGAATTGGAATCGTGAGGGTAATTAGTGAGAAACCAGCGAGTGCAGAGGGCCCGGGCTAGTTTCCAAGTTAGAATAAATCGAACTCTTTACAGTGTACAACAAACCTCAGTCAAAAGATAGAAATGTGATTAACGAGCATGGTGTTGTTGATTTTAACGTGCACTTTGCCCGTCAGGTTCACTCCACACCCGTAAATACATGTTATCAGCGCGGCTCTGGCCAGGACCCCTGTTGCCATCGAACATCAAAAGAACTTAGCAACATTAGGTGAGCCGAGTGTAATTTATAAAGTTTTACAAACCTGGTGGGTGCAGATGCTGGTCATCACAGTGAGCCCAAAGAGCCCAAAGGCCATGACAATCCCACGACCGACATTAGGGCCAGGTGTTCCTCCAACTGATTGCAGCGGAACGCTCCTGCGCAGAGAATGATTTGCTGCTGGGGGAGGACAGGCATCAGAGGCTACCACAACCAAACACAGAGGTTGCTATTTACCCAAGGATGATAGGACCCATGAGTTGTGCAGTATCACCAAAGACCTGACAAGTGGTGTTGTACATTGATTATTGATTATGACAGCAATAAATGAGAGGAACACTTATACCTGGAATATACCTCCAATCTAGTACATCCCATGAAAGACATCATTCAAAGTCCAAGTTCGGTCTTCCGCGCCCTTATTTGATGGGTGGTGCTGATGGCAGGGTCTACGCCATGCGTCCTGGATAAAGGATGTAATTGAGACGCTCAGAGGTATACCCCGAACTTGAACTTGCTGGAAGGTTTTGTCTGAGTGGTTCGCCTTGGGTTAGGTTTGGTGTAAAACATCTACCTACACACACCTTAGCTTAACTGCCTGGAATACGGACACTAAGCAGATAAAAATTGGTAACCAAAGTGATAATGATAGGGACAACACAACATAAATAAAGATTAAGTCAAATATGCAAATGGCATAATATGGAATATCATTACAACAGCTATGCATGTCCTTCAAGGAAGGATACAGCTACAACAATGGTGTCACGTGAGCACGGAAGCATTGGAAGATATAGAGCCATTGAACCAATTGTCAAACCAATCATCAGACTGATTATCAGAAAAGTTGCTAGGTAGGCATGATTCATAAGTCGTGGCACTTCCAGAAGATGTGCATGTGCCTACAGTCACTGTCAGTGAGATAACAAAAGCAAAGACTGCAAACCCACCATCATTGATACACCCAATACCAGCAGTGTGTGCAATGGCTTCAGAGGACATGTCTACTTCGGACTGTGCTCGTTGTTTCATCAGCTGCAGAATGTGAAAATCTGACTTGAGCACATCCAGCAGTTTGTCCTCCTTTGTTTTGAAGCCATTGGGGTTGTTGAGGCAGATGGGCTTCGTGACTGCACAAGATGCGCTGATATAGTCACCATATGTGACACTACTAACCCAATATTTTATCAAGCAAGGCAAGGGAAGAAATGAATTGTTGGGCTGCACATTGTAAGAACACCAAGTCCACCACAGCAAAGTAATACTGACCTTTGATACGTGTTGGTGAAACTGAGGAATTTCTTGAGTTCGCGGGAAATCCGTTTGAAACTGCCATGATGTGGAAAGCCACACCTCGCATTTCTCTCAAGTAGCTTTTGATGGTTGAGAGGGAACAAAATTGACCGAGAAGTCATCACCATGGACCGAGAGAGGTGTTCGTACATGCACGACAAGGTTCTCTCTCAGCATTGTCCTTTGCCATGTAGCTAGGGGAAAAATTGGTGTTAACAATCATCTTATGAGAGCATGCCTTACGTGGGTGATATTGGGTGTTCAGCTCTTCATACACATTCTCAATAGCTTTACTGAATAACAAAAGCTCCATTTGAGATCGATACCTCCTCTCCTCCATCAAGCAACGCCCTCCTTGCACAAGGAATGTGATGCCAGTGTACTCTTCTTGCTGGAGCTGTCTCTCCACTGTGGCCACTCTGAGGCTTATATGAAGGACAGTGATAAGATCAAGGGGGTCGACCCATTCAAACAATACAGATGCTGTGATCAGGAGGGATTCTGGAAGCTGGACTTTATGTTATGATAAAATAATTATGAAAACATGGGAGTGCACTCCCCTGTTTCTGGAGCCAAGATTTCAGGGCATTCTCGGTGTGCTCACCAAGCAAGTTTCTTGTTGAAGGAGTGTTAGGTGTAGGAAGCAAAGCTGAACATATATTTAACATATCGAAGTAGGAGGGGGGTAAGAAGAGGCTCACATGTAATCATTGAGGGCTTACAAGCGAGTATAGAGGCTGTGGCTGTATGACAGCGGTCTATAAAAAAACACAGTATATGACTAAGTGATTAAGAGAATCTACTCACCTTGAATTTAGGTGATGAAGTTTATTGGACAATGCGCAAGTCGTTGTTAGAAAATCATCAGAGTCCGCAGTCGGTAGGCTTGAGTATCGTTATTTACTGAAGGGTTGTAGATGTACTTGGCCGTTCACATGAACCATACCTGCAGATCGCAGCTGCCAAAATCAAACTTGGGGTGCTTTGCTTACTACGCCAGCATCTTAACCCTCAAATATCGCAAGAATATTTGTAACACAATGCAGCGCCAGATACATTCAAACCCGACCAATGTAAACAATATATAGAAAGTGACTTCTACTTCAGATCGGCTTATTTACGGCGGGCAATCTTGATGACATCAGTTTTCCTGGATGTTGCATTCCCGTTTATCAGCAGCACAGAAATGAACTGCATGTTAACTCACTTCAAGTTGCAAAACCCTGCAAGGTAAATGTGGAGAATCGGGAGTTCTGGGTCACCTTGCTGTGTGAACAGGTCCATTGCCGTCCTGAGAAGTTTGTCATATACCTCGCTAACAGAAGGAAATTGTGATAGGTTAGTGCTGACTCCCCCTGTCTTGACCATATCTATTAGATAGGAGAGGAGAGTGCTGTAACACTAACAAAATGGAACACTTAAAAAAATAAGCACATAATGTAAAAGCAACTTACGCAGGCCCCTACAAATGCTAATGTCGCCGGGGGTAGATGTGAGGCGTGCCTGAAGATAGGGCGGTTGATATTAGCCATAATTCTGCTCACATTGGCTGATTTAGTGGGCCTGTATACCAGATAGTGAATGAGTGATTTTTCAATGCCCATGCGAAGGAACCGCACAAAATCATTAGTCTGCGTGGCAAATAAGACATTAACATTCAAAGTTAACGAAGAAAACTAACAGCAATCGGGAAATGGGTCGAGTAGGGAGACATAAACATGTTCATCAGTTGTACACACATGGAACACATGTCACTCTGCAGAGTGAAGGGGCACGGGTTTTGAAGGATAAAATTGTTCATCAGTCTGCTGTCTGCGATTGCGATGGTAGCTGCCCGTTTCATGAGGGACAGAAGCGCAGACAACCATTTACCGACCTATTCTAGGCGAGACAAGTAGATGGAATCAATGAAGAAAACATACCATCCCCAATATAGCATCTTTTGTGATATGGGTATGCCCATCGGATGATATAACTAAAAAGAGTCAGGATGTCCGGAGAATATTATATGAATGAGCTCCTGACTGTGATCCAGAGATGCATAATCTATCCCAACCGCAGTGAGGCTCCGTTGGAAGAGCTTGCTGACAAACTCTTTCCTTTCCTTGGAGTAATTGGCTTGTGTGAGTAAGAACAGATTAATGGGTATTTCGAGAGCAACATCAGATCTCATCTCAAGCCGCAAGTGAATGAGGACCGCTTTCCACTGGGGATACCGGTCTTGAATGGTGCTTAGAGTATCTGTACCGTCTGCTTGTGCTTCAGGCTGCATGACATCATCATCAAGATTCGTCGTGCAGCCAGTCATGTTCACGGAAGGAACACCGGAATCCACCAGTACCTCAGCGACATTCAGAGTTTGACCCAAGGGTAGTTCGTCAAACATGGGAGGCTCTGGCTCCGACACGACGGGATGTGACTCAAATGTGGCTCATAGTCATTGAACTCCGGGGCAACTATAGAGGTTTGAAAGGGCTGAAAGAGCTGGGATAAAGTGACAACAATGTCAATAGGGCCACATCCCTGAGGATACTCGGCAAGAAGGGCCGTTGTTTTTTGAATGCCCGGAGTGGGCTAGGATTTTGTCATGCAAGATAACTTCAAGATTGTAAGACAGGCTTACCCAGTGATATTTGATATAAAGAAGGTGGTCAGTTATCGTGTAGGCCTGGGGAGCCAAATCCAACTTCCCAGATGGCTCAGCATGCTACAAGACTGGTCAGTGGGAAAGCAAGTGCAGTCCAAGTGCAACATGGTACCTGGGTGTATATGGGCACAGACCCAGGTTCATACATGGAATGGTGCACAATTTCCATCCCATTGTGCATGATCAGTGTTGCAATATAGCCAATCAAGGAGATCTGGTGTCTAAGCTATAGAGACAGTCAGTGTATGACACCTGAAGAATGAGCCACCTATGGCGCCAAGGGAAATGGATAAACACTGGTGTATAGTGAGACATTCCTGCAACTCTCAGAAGAAGAAAAAACTTACATATAGAGGGAACAACATTGTTTTTTGTTTGCCGATGGAAACATAACCGACGAAATCGAACCCTGCATCTAGGCTGACGAGGCCCTGGAGGAGTGAGATAGTGACGTTGAAATAGCAAGGTAAAAAAAAACGCACAGAGATAAGCATCATGCTAGGTGAAAGGTCACTGAAGAGTTAGCATTCATGAGGTTGAGATTCCATGATATCTGCAGATGAAGACATTGAGAATGGACGAAAAAATACTCATTTGAATACAGTTACATACTTTGACCGCGGCTGACCGCATTTGGCTGCATCCATGCGCCATCACCATGTAGTTGACATATTACATGAAAACTACTCAGTTATGGCTTGAATAGTTGACCGCGAAAGTGGTCCCAATAGATTTAATGGTTTTGACTGGTCGCAGAATATTTGAGCTACATTTGCAGTAAAAAATTAAGGTATGATCTAGTTTTTGTAGTCTAGATCTACTTCGCCATCATACATCTCATCAAATTGATCTGGTAATAATTTGTCAGAACGGAATGGCTGCTCAATGTCCAACCCATCGTCAGTATCATCACTTTCATCGTCACCTTCATCTTCATCTACTTCTACGTCGTCTGTGAGGTCTTCCACATCACGGTTAAATGATGCCTGTAAGCTAATGTCTTCTCGTTGAAGCTCAACCTGCATGGTGCAATAGTGAGAATATACATGTCCGATGCCAAGCCTGAAGTGAAAGCGCATAAGCATATTGCGGTCAACAAACCTAATATGACAAACTCTAAATCAATATTGCTGATCCATGTTGCATTACGACCAACTTACCAATTGACATAGTATTCACACCAGTCATCTTTGTCCTCCGCACATGCTGACACACCTGATCCATCAGCATGTCTCTTGCCTCTGGCGAAATGAGGAATGACGTAACAACCCCGAAGGACATCTGCAGGATCAAGAAAGCCGAACGAGTGCTTGTGGTTCAGGGGCAGGAAGTTCACTCGATCCAGGGTTGAAGTCGCCCAGGTGGAGACTTCATCCATGGGCTCGTACCAGCGAATCCACAGGAACTCCATTCGTATTGGAGTGTAGTCAACCATACCATGTCCAATGAATATGACATTGACATGGTATACGCCAAGTACCTTACCGTAGTTGTACCTGTGACCATGGCACCCCATATCATTGTCGGTGTGGAGCACCATAATGTTGCAATGCGAAGTTCTTGGATTGATAACATCCTGGGCTCTTCGGACATCGTAGGTCGTATAGTTGAACCTAGCCATGTTATGCTGATATATGCGATCATCCTTGAGAATAATTGTATTGATATCCTGTTCGTCTCCTACTCCTGAGGGGGTAATGATTCGACGTAAGAGGTGTTCCTTCAGTTTTGGAAGGAATTTCTGCAAGAGCATGTTAGAGGGCTTTCAATAAAGCAGTATATGACCAACTTTTATGGCTGGATCACCCGGGTGGCTGATCAAGTATGATCCTATATGTATAGGATACTTTTGTGTCAGGCCAATATGATGATGAGCCTGAGGGCTTCTTGCTACCTCAGAAATTTCAACATGGGGGCGATTAAAATTAGTGTCACCAATTCGACGAATGCGAGCCTGACAGTGCTCGATCTGAGTCAGCTGTTGAACAAAAGATTTACGATCAGTGCGACAATATCTGGCTTTTGGGGAATGGTGTTCAAGTTCACCCTGGAAAACTCAAGTCAGGGCAGTTCATAGCGGAAGATTATATAGGACGGACCAGGTTCAGTGCTGTACAAATCAGATGTGCCATACCGACGAATGGTAGACACATAGTCTCCCAACACGTGAAATTTGTACAGTTTGAATATTGAACACTTTGCTGCGCTTCAAATTCTCTGAGGCGTCCACCTCCGCTTGCTCTATGACACAAGTAGATTGTGTACATTTATGCCCTGCCTTCTGGTTCACTGCCTTCTTTGCACGGCATCGGGCACGAGCCCTGACCTCCTTGCCAAGTTTGTGGGTCCCGTAAGCATTGCAAACTGTTGCCTTGAATTGATGAAAGTGTTGACCTGAGTGCTGACATCACATTGTCCATGATTTCGAGCATCAAATCAGAATGCATTCGAAGCTTGGCTATCCCATGCCAATGAGCCATGGTGAAGAGCAACTCAAGAACAGTCTGATTATGTGGCTCAGGAAGAAGGCTGTCAAAGACAGGGATAGAGCACTGTGCATTGTGTCAGCCTATCTAAGTTGAATGGCGGCAAGATCATACCTGGAGGAGATCTTCGAAGTTTTGAGCCGCCAAATGTTTCATCTCAGAAGAATTGGCCAAAAACTTTCGAATGGTGGCTGGTCCAAATGTCGGAGTTTGCCTGTATCTGATGACAGAGGAGTCAGCTGGATCAGACAAGTAACACATTATCAAACATCATACCTCTGGTCCAATTGATGAATGAGACCCGGGTCCTGCGCCATAATAATCTGTAACAAGTGAATAAACAACATCTTCCACACGCCGATCTCAAATTCATGTAACAAATCCACCACAAGAGCACAAAATATACTGAAATCCATATGCCCCAGGTGGTCTGAGAATGCATTCTAAGACATAGTAAGCTATGGTTGGCAAACAAACTGGAAGTCTTACTGAGGTAGGTACCCACGACTGTGGCTTCAAAATGTGTTCCACCGCTGTGCTGCCAACCACGAAGTTTTGCTCATAAATCAGCGAGCGAGCATCATTCACCATCATTCTCCTTCTCTCATCACTGCGCAAGAGGGTTTGGCATTGTTTTCTATCTAGAGGCATGCCCATATTATGAATATGATTCTTCGGTATAAGGCAGTGGGGACATGGACACCCTCCTAAGTTTCAAACCGTAGCTATGAGTACTCTAGTAAAATTAGAGTCAATACTATTCAAGGTACAAATTGAGTATACAGACTTTTCTGGATAGTCTGCAGAGTAAGTGAAAATCCTCGGATAAAATCTGTGTTTGATGCCGTCACAGCAACACACTACAATGCCGTGTTTGTAAGCTTCGAGGAACTCATTGTCCAGCAGAATCCTCCATTGCTCATGAAAGAACTCCCTGTGGCAATGTGTTGTGCACTCACTGTTCAAGCCTTTCCCATCTGTAAAAGCTTTGAGTGAATCATGGAGCTGACAATACGACATTTAAGTATGCACCATATCGAACAATGTAGGAAGGCGTACCGTTTCAAAGTAAGCGACATGGTTGCTCAAGTTGAGCGATGGTTTGCAACGGCGATACTTAGACTCGTTGCCGAAGTACATGTAGGTAGGCCACAACTTGGCATTGCCAAATGAAGTGAGTTGCATGGCATCAGACCAAAACATGAGGGCAGCCACCACTCGAGGTAAATCACAACCAGGCTCGCCTGGTGATTCTTGTAGGTTGCTGTGAGCTTTGTGAAAAGCGGCGGATGTGTACAAGTCCCCATAGATGGAGACTTTGGCATCCAAATGAGGAGAATTCCAATGCAGCTGGTATGGCTCATAATGGAATAGCTTATCATCTCGGGCATTAGCCAGCTTCTCTCGCAAAACACCCACGAGAGAACAATGATATAATTCAGCAGCGTGATAACACCGTGAACCTGGTACTTCAGCGGTCCGTGCAAATGGCACCTCAATAGACACCGGTGATATTTTCCATCTGGTGTCTTCATCCTCCCATTCCTCTCCACCTCCCTTGTCGTAGTCGTTGGCACCAAGCTGAGAGTTGATTTTTTTCCAATGGGTAGAGCATACATCAGTAGCCTTGAAGGTACTGGCACCCATGATCTTCATCAGTTTCATATAGTCTTCTTGTGATTTCTGCACTCCTTGATTCCAATACCAATTGCCGAGTTCGAACGAAGAACAGTTAGGATATGGATGATACTGAGACTTGCTGCTCGCAGAGAGAGGCACATGTTCGTCATTGTTGACTTGAGGGCTACCCTGTATTAATGACAAGTCCACAATAGTAACATACTGTTCTGGATCATGGGATGGCACTTCAGATGAGAAGTATTGACGCACGAGCCCAAAGACATTTTGGGGGGTGCATAATACTGTGCGTACTGGTAAAGCTGATGGATTATTTGAAATGACAACAGATACCACGGGCACAAGATGACGGTCACGAGCTTCCAACAGTATAACAGGCAGAGGCTGTGGAAGCACGTCTCTGAATCTTAATGGCATCTGGCGGTTCTGATGCCTCGTTTGGCGCTGTGCCAGGGACATGTCCTCTATGTCATTTTGAGGACCTTCACCTTCAGGAGGGCCACCCACACCCTCAGTAGCAATGGAAGGATCAGGTAGAGATACTACTGTCACTTCAAGATGTGATGATGTTGAGGGAACGACATGCCCGGAGGCCAGGTGGTCAGAGGATGGTATATGAAGTGATCCCGTAACCGGCCCAACCTCGATGCGCGGCTTCTTCCTGCCAGTTAATAATTCCTTGAAAGACGATATGGCTGACGAAAGATGCTTTTTCGTTTGAGAGCATGACCGTCGATGGTAATTGAAGTAGTTTTGCACTGTGAAGGTGCGCTTACAGGCGCAAGTGTAACCAGCAGTTGACATGAAGAAAGTTCTGGAATATGGACAGATCGCACCACCCAAGACATCGTGCAACAATCGAAGCCAAATGGACTAAACAGGGATCGCGCTACCAAAGTGGCAGAAATTTGTGATCGCAGAGTACCTGAAAATGGAGACCGCAATCGACAGGCACCTGAAAAGTGGAAACCGCACAAGGTTGAGTGGCTGAAAATGGTGATTGTGCAGTGGTAGCATGTCTTGCAGAGATGCATAAATGCTCCCAATGAGCTCAAGGCATCTTCCATGCTCCAGGAATGTCTCGACTCTCTTCTCCATATTCTGAAATGCTGGAATGTCCTCGATTTAAACCAACCCCAAGATCGTTAGAATGCTGGTGGATATTTTGATTTGCCGCCATGGGATACTTCACTATCATGGCCCAACGGGCAAGCTAGCCACATATCAATGGTAAATCAGTTGATTTTATGGAACACTTACTCCACTCACCCGAATGACAGGCCAACCAACGGATATGGGCACAAAATTCATCTGTCGCAGTTTCTGAGGTATCGTGAGATGCATGCATTCTGTTACCCATCTTGCCTTTCTCCAAAGTTGATAAATATGTCGAGGCTTCAGTTTTTGAACGAACTGCAGGGATATGTAGAGGAGAATATGTCGCTGAATGTGCGACCAGCACTTGCAGCTACATGCGTGAGTTGGGTTCCTCAACATCAAGGTGTGCAGATCACTAACTCTTAACTTAGTAAATGTAGAAAAATTCTTCGACAAAGCCTACATACCAGCTATGCATTATCCATGCAAAGGTATACTTGTATCTTACACATGTCCTCACATGTTCATACTCTCAAAGATCATCGACCAATCTGCACATCCATTAACGGACGGAAATGGCGACGTTCTTGGACAAGGTCTGCAATGGTGTCTCCCACATCAACATCGTAGTACAAATTAATTGTCGTAGACATATCTATAACTGAAATATCAGTGTCTTATTTTAAGTTTCGAAGTTTAGTACTAACAAGTGATTTATCATGTGATGTACCCAAGATCAGCAATGATATTATGAGCCTGATGGGGTCCATCAGCACATCCATCAATTCTAGATAGATACATTAAAGACGTCCATCACAGTGAGTGATGGGTATCTCATCACCTTGTAGCGTGTGCAAGGCCCTAGCGTGTTAAGGCATAGCTTGCATTGGACGGTCAATCTGACCCTCAACATGCAAAATTTATATTTAATTATGACATGTATGGCACCAAATGTCACAACAGCTACAAGTATCGTAATAGTACCTAGTAATATGGTTGTAAAGTGAAAACAAATCAAGAAGGCAAGGAGCAGGTTTATATATGGCTTTACTCAGAAATCAAACTCCGATGGCACCACCCAAAATACGGGCCACCTGTTGTCATGATCCTAGTAGTAGCTTGAAGTTAGTGAGTCCCTGAACATAGTACATCGTCAATGCCATGTGCGTGCCCCACTTCTATTATTTGAGCGTTGTAGTGGCGGTGGCTCCTCAGTTCCCGACTCTGCCTCTAACATATCACGTGACCTTCCAATGTCCGAAGGGCAAGCATATTGCTTGTACTAACATAGTACTAGTACTAATCATAGCTAGGTAGGCACTTGAACTACACTAAGTACTCAAAAAATCATCAACATGGCCCCAAAATCGTTGATTTCAGATCCTGGAAAACGAACATCGTTTTCTGCTGATCTACCAAGCCGAAGCCAATACCGAAACCTGTGAAGGAGGCTGAAGTTATTTCAGAAAAAAGTGAAGACTCGGATGCTGAGGACGATGAATATCTTTATGGTTTCTCAATAGACAAGGATGATTCATCCAAGGTTAATATCAGGCGACTAGTACCTACTGTCACCAGGGATGATGCAACAGTAAAGAGGAAACTTGAGAAAGTGTTCCTGAAGCGACATCCTAGGCATATACCACTGTGCGTGGGACACCATGAAAATAGTTTCTTGTGAACTTAGCCACAGACTACTACACTCACCATCTATGAATACTTCCTGTCTCCTCAGTTTGTATCAGTGCACGCTGCTCGTCTCAGTAGCCAATAAACAATTATAATGACAAGGAAAACAATAACCATATAATGTTAGTCTAAACTCGCCCTGTTGGTGACCAAACACGTTAATGAAACTGCAAGCTTCACGGAAAGGTACAGTGTTGATGATGACATTGTCTCCAGAGCTTTCTGGAGAAGTGATCGCAAATGTGCTATGCAAACTGCCATGTCCAGAAGCACCCTCAGGTCTCGATACCGATGCACTCAGGGGGCTAGCATGGGAGAGCAAACAGCTGTTAGCCTGGAGGAGAACGCACATCACTTCACAGGGCTATCCATACTGTCTGAGCATGCCGCTGGGAACTAATTGACAATCGAGAGGGTTTCAAGCACAAGTCAAATCTCTAGGGTAGCCAAGCACTGCAAGAGCTATAAGATATAATACTACAGGATATTTCTTCACTAGATAAAACACTGAGATACATGTCAATTTAGATTATCATGCCACTAATTTCAGCTGTATGACACAAGGGAGTAAGCCATGGCTATTTGCATGCTGAGAAAAGGCCTACATAGCTGATGGTGTCGGGACTTCAGCATCACACAACAGGTGAGGGTATTTGATGCACTTATGGGAGTTTACTTTGATTGGCATGGGGGTCTGAATGACGGTGGGGTCAATAACCAATAGAAAGAACAACAGATCAAGTAGCAAAATGTGTCGGTAGTTCAAAAAAGAAATAATGGTCACTATGCGATAGGTAATGTACAGGTGTGTTTAAAGTACTCAACTGGATCTAGCTTTGTCCTGAATAATTAGGCTGATGAGTATGAAGAGTTCATGACATCACGACACGTTCTACAAGACATATCTGGTCAAAACGCAAGGTAATACCAGGAACATTTGGGTCCTCAGTTACAAGCCCGGCAGTATTGAGCTTGACATTGCACTTCGAGACAGTTCGTATCTGGCTGTGAAGATCACCATCCAAAATGAGGCACAGTTAATTCTTTCTTCGCAGAGGTGCTGGAGACAGATCACCAGCAGGGATGTAGTAGTGTTCAAGTGTAGTGCCTTTATTACTTGATGGGCAGAACACTGCGACAAACCCCTCAGGTGCGGGTCCGTTTGCACCACAGAATGGGTCAGGACATGCAGTTGATACAAATTGTCTGTGAAGCTTGCCTCCACCTCCATTGAACTTCAATGAGACTTTCAACAGTGCGTGATGTGCGAGGAGCTGCGAAGCAAATTCCTTTGACATTAGCCAATGTAGTGGGCCTATAATCAAATCAGTAACATATTGCGATGTCTCCATTGTGGACCCACCATTGTTTTGAACTTTTTCAGCTGCAGCGTCGAGGTTATCCTGAATGTCCTGTTCATTCACAGTCCAGGGGTCAAATGTTGACGAACTGGGACCAACAATTGATGAAGGATTCTCTGCAGCATTTATATCCTCAGGGTTGATGCTCCAGGACGTCCACGGCACGCTTGAATCTGTGTGGGTAGAAGTAGATGAGGCGGAGGGAACTCGGTCTGGAGGGGGAGTGGTGCATCTTTGCGGTGGCAATGTTAAGTATGACCTTCTTTGCAAATCACTTAACAACATCAAATCTGATGTTCCAAGTATCACACCATTTAACCTCATTCCATATCTTAGTGACAGTTGTGAATAATGTAATCACCAAAAAGATGTAAGCGCTGCTCACCTTGTGGCAATGTCCTGGCACTTGACTGTGATACGCGCCTGCCCATGCACTGCAACAACACAAGTCTCCATCCCAATGCTGTATAATGTAGCTCGGAAGCCCTTTTGGTTGCCTCCAATCAGAAACACTTTGTTGTTGATGATATTTCAAAATGAATCCAAAGGCGCATTGCATATTTTGGCCACAAATCTGATCGGAACATCGATCTGCAACAGGTCAGATATGATCTGAGTCATGTTGAAAGGTACTTACGAGCGACTGATCACTCTCAGATAGTAGTGTCAAACATGCCTTGGGGAAGTCGACACTCTGCACGACGCCCTTGATCTGATAGTCCGGTCCATGAGCGACACTGACAACATCTCCAGGCCTTACATTGTAACCCCTTTCTTTTGTATACGTGATTGTTTGTGAGAGGTGTGTCTGTCGGACGAATGCAGGGGCAACTTGCATAATTGGAGGTCCCAAACTGTGCTCAATTTCGTCCTCATTGAAGATTGGGGACAAATCGTGGAACCACAGCTGCATCGCTCCTACAGGAAACCATGATACGATTCCGCATTTCCCCATATGTTCTCCCACAAGTACTTCTATACGGTCTCCGACTTGGATGGATTCGTCGTCGTGAGGAGGCTCGTAATGTTGCAGCATTGATAGTTGTGGTTGAAACGTGTGATTTATAGGACGACAATCTAAGTAGTGTCTTGACACTTGCACCTATGTATCAAATGTTAGACAGTGATGCGAAGTATGCTAGAAATGTACCTCTTCCTTAGAGATATCTTGACAAATGTGGGATATATCCTCCAATATTCGAATGAGATGTCCTTCCAAGTCCAAGTACGCACCCGCTACAACTCGTACTGTGTCCCCAATACAGAATACACGCTCCAGATAATGCAGTTGAACTTCTGTTTCAACTTGATCCCCATCAAAGGGGAGCTCTAAGCATGCGGAATCAAGTGCATGGTCTATCGACAGGATCGTACCGATCTCTGAGCATACTTTTCCTGTAACGATCCTGACCGCATCACCTACACGCAGGAACTGCATCGAAAATATCACAATTGTTTTTTGCACAAAGGATGTGTCCCACCCGGACTGCACATGCAGTCAAATATCGTCGACGTGAGGAGAGGCCATGTTACAATAACATTTACTCCTATTCTATTTTTCTTTTTCTTGTAACCATGACGCCGACTCTAGACTCATCTATACTCGGCTATTCTCTTATCAAGCGGGCTGTCCGCACTTCTCTTCTTTCTGATTGTAACATAGATACTATCTTGCGCCGCATGGCGGTTTCACCTATCTTTGCTATCTTGATAGGTCGTACTCTTTTTCCTATCTCTGTTACCTTTCTTGTCGCAGCTATGCCGCTCTCTTTTACCTATATAAACCCCATGTACCATAGCTGTATTCCTTAACTTAATCTACTGGGTTTTCCCCTTGAATCCTGATCTACAAGGTCTCCACCCTTGTAGCCTGAAACCTGATTCTAAGACAGTCACTCACTGTCTTAGCCTGAAACCCTTGATTGCGGTAGAAGTGCTAAAACCACTCACCGCCTAGGCAGAAGTGCTAAAACCACTCGCCGCTGATCCTGCACAGAAGCCACAGCTCGTGCAGTAGGAACCACCAGAAACCTTCCTTGTACTAGGAAGGCCGACGAACTGTTCGCCCAACAGGTCTATCTTGACCGGCAACAGCAGAACTATCCCAGTCGTAACAGGCCACAAATTCTAGGAGATACTGATGGCAGTTCTTCTGTAGAAGTCCCTTGTAGTACCTTTCTCCTTTGTATAAGGATCCTACAACTTCCTTGTTGTGAAGGATGTTGGTCACTGTGTTATCTTTGGGAAGGCGAGAAGGGTCGAGTAGTGCAACAGATCCCTTAGGCATGGGACAAGGGAAGTCTCGTGGAGGCACCAGAACCTTAACAAAAAGATCGGATTGCTCGGAATCGAACACATAGGCTATGGTGTCCTTGTACTTGCCATGTTTGATCCTAACCCACAATGGGTTGGGAAGCTTGATATGTGCGTGTTCTACTGCTTCGTGTTCCTCCTCTGAGATGCGCAGGTATTCTCTCACCGAAAGGCTATGTGAGGGCAGAAGCGAGGCTGAAATTGTCTTGGGGCTATCCAAGATCACATAGAGTTGGCCTGGTACCCAGGCCAACACGGTAGCAGTAAATCCTTTACTTTGAAGATGTTTGGCGATATACTGAGTAGCAGTTCCTGGAACACAATTAGTGACATGCTAGAGGATCAAAAATAGGCATACTATGAACTAGAAGAAGATACATCCTGTTCTCGATTGTGCTGGGGAACCAGGCAACTTTGTAAGGAAGGCGTCCCCTTGAAAAATCGCTCGGTTTCTTTTGGTACCTGCCCATGATATCATCAATCACAGTGGCCAACCTATTCTTGGCAGATGAGCCTGGCAAGGACGCAACATCAGACGTTTTCACAGAGGGGCCATTTCTATCCTCCGCCTCATCGTCCTCATCGTTGGATTCCCTTGCTTGGTCGTCAATGAAGCGCTAAGGTTGTTAAGTATAGAGTCACCAGTGATAAACATTTCACATACATTAGATAGCCTACGTTCCCCCTCCTCCCCCTCCTCCTCCTTGAGGAGGTCGTCATTGTCGTCAACTTCTGCTGTATCATTGATATAGGGCTACACTTGTTGCTTAGAATAACCATCATCATAAATCATAATCACACTTACATTAAATGGCCTATGCAATCAATGTTTCTTCTTCAGTGCGGATGTAGCTACGGGTGTGCATTTGGTTGCATTTGTCATATTTGAGGACATAGTGGAGGCCTGGGGTACGTAAATGGCCTTCAGGGCATGAAGATTTGCTAGCGCGATCGTGTCATTGCCGTCACCAGAGAACAACATGGCTAGGGTGTCCTTCCAGTCCTCCGCTGAGTACCGATCACCCAAGTAGGATTTGAATGCCTCTTCTGTCTGAGGATATGTGGCATCAGTGAGAAGGAAATTTTCCAGAATGCGCCAGGCGCCTTCATCTGCCTTGGGTGATGGTGTCACCAGATAAGTTCCTGTGTCATAGGGACAGGCTCATGAGTGACGAAGTCATGAATCATTCACGGTATTGAATACTCACCTTTGGTCATTCTAGACCGCTTCGGGGCGCATTGATCATCATTGGATGCAGCGCACTTAGCCATAGTAAGTTGGTCTGTATTGTACATCAATATTATTTCTGTGATGAAGTCCAAGCTTTACATACTTCAAGACAACTTGTATTTTCTATCCTAAGTATGTAGCACTAAGTGTATCGTATTGAGGTAGGGATTGAGGTAGAGATAGTGGAAAGAAAACCTGGCAAAGTGCAGGGTCAGAATTTATACGGCTCTGCAATATTGTGGCGCTTACTCATGATTACGGTGGAAGTGTGGATCTGTGGACATTGAAAAATGAAGATTTACCAGTGGCCCGATACTAGATAGACAGCCGCCTTCTGATTAACACTATTGTTCATACCCATTGTGGGCCAACCCGCTCCAGTAATATTATTGTTGCAGCTCCTGCCCCGCCCACTACAGAATGACATGTTGTAATAGACTTCAACTACACTGACATGAGCGCCGCTGCGCCACACCACTACGCATACTTGGGTATAATAGTAAACTACATACAAATTGGGAAAGAGAAGTGTAACACGTGAATTTGCAAGTTGATATACGGCTTTACATTTTCATTCAAACTCAGCCAGGATTCAGCGAGCCAGTCTCGCTGAATTCTGGCTGAGTTTGAATGAAAATGTAAAGCCATATATCAACTTGCAAATTCACGTGTTACGCTTCTCTTTCTTCTACACTTTGATTATTATATCCAAGCCAAAGCTTACCTACGTCGCTTTAGTTGTAGATCTCCTTACTTACTTTAATACTACTTGACTGGTGTATCTTTGTTACTTTACTTATGTATTTCTATATGTTGCTTTACTTGAGCATTTCCTAAGTCACTCATTGCTTGTGTCAGTCTATTGGACTAATTAACTACTCGTCAGAATTAACATGAATTGATTTAGGAATGGCGGGATGCTCTCCCTCACTACGTTCTGCCTGTTCTGAGCCCACATCTGCTTCATCCCACTTCAAAATATCTGAAGAGATGCTGGGAGAGGGAGCACCATATGTAACCTGAGTAAGGTCAGGCATGCAGATGTCAAGAGGCATATGGTGATCCAGGTTCTCGGCACGGTAGTATTCCTCGAGCCATCTATACCTGTATGTCAACACCCTATCCAAAAGGTATGCAATATTATTTTCGGTGTCTCTCAGTTGCTCCTTGACTTGGTGCAGTTCAAATTCCACTTCGATCATTGATTGTCCGTCCTTGACTAGGTAAATATTTCCTCAGACTTGTCGTGCAGTCTCCAGTATATAAATACTAACTCTCACCAGTAGTCTGTGTTCCTCTATGAAGTAATTGAATGTTTTGATGGAATTGCCTGTACCATAAGTAAGGTCTAAGTTGCTCTAGAGTCGTACACACTACTCATGTACAATCAGCGCCCATCTCTGAATTTTCTACATCAGAGTCCTCCAGCCTACATGCTGAGAAAAGTTGGAAACTCAGGTACAAATATTATTTATTGACCGCATGCTTTATATTCAACAATGCTTACTTTAGCGTGTCATTGCTTCCAACATGAATGCATTGTCGCAAACATTTCTGAGAGGGTGGGCCAGGCGTCCTAGGTTCAGTCCCTGCCTTGCTGTGCATAATGTAACTGATAGTTGTTACCACAGTGCCAAGTACTTATGTATTATTGTCCAACGATGCCCATTGTGACCATGCTGTCAGCTGAGGTAATGGTACTCTATCAAATATCAATGGCACCATGATAGCGGTTTTTTTTTTTGCAGACGCGCGACGCATGTTGCCTTTACAACATCAATAGTGGTTAGAGAGGCAAGGTCATGGGACTAGGTATATAAAGTGTCTCCTTTGCTACTGGTATTCCATTCATCTAATTCCTCTCAACATAGTATGAGTGATGATGAAAATCATCCACCTTTTTCTGGTGATCCTTCACGCAAGTGTAGCAGTTCGGCGCTCCATTCGGGCCCGCGTAAAAAGTGTAGGTCGTCTTCAACATGGTGTAGCCTTGGCTGTCTGACTTGTCAAACAGGGCTTCATCAAATACCCTGGTTCTTCATGGTCGACATTTTGGTTGCACAGTCTTTGCACTGTGTAACTATCCTGCTCTTCTGACTTTGGGCATACTGCGCCTGGAAGAATTACAGGACACTCTCATTGAGGATTATCCTGCAGAGTGAGTGCCGCTGTGACATTAAAATTCACACAATGCCTTCTAACATTTTCATTGTCAGCATTCGACGGGAACACAGGGTGTTCATGGAGCTCATTGATTTGTACCCTGGTCTTCTAGATCATCTAACAAATAGCGAGGAGGAGGATGTCATTCACGTGGGGGAATTGGTAAGTTCATTATATTGTAATACTATCATAGTCACTGTGTTACCAGATGGGTAAAGGAGCCTCTGGTGCACGAGGCGATGACACGAAGACCCTCAAATCTGTGGTTCTTGAGTGGCTTGTGCTGAGAGGACAAGTAGTCATACCGCCCCTCTCCAGAAACATCAAGTCTGACCGTGGATTCAATCACGAGGTCACTGGTGCATTGCTCTGTCCCGCAGGTCTTGACTCGTCGAATGCAGAGTAAGTCTTTCAACCTCCTGATAACCTAATAGCCTAACCGTAATAACTATCTAGAACCAAACAGAGTCTCAAAAGCAGTGAAACTGCAGTCCGTGGTGACCAATGGCCCATGTTCTTGTATGCTGGGTATGTCTATGATTCTGACGATCCGTGGAAGGGTTTACTGAGGAGCGAGATCGTATCAGCACAAACAGTGCGCTGGCAAAAATTCGGGAGAAACGTGCTGCTCTTCGAGAATTAGGCCCCTCTAGCACTACTTAATTAGTTTATATGAGCCATGACCCCTAATGTAATTGATGAATATTCCATCCCTATCATTGAAAGTGCACTATGTAAGCTAACAATATGCCAGTAACTTGATATGGTGAGATAACTCTGGGATACACTGAATAATTATGTAAGGTTAGGTATGTTTGAGAGAACATCAACAGCATGCTATTCTAAGACAACTTAGTAACACATTGTTGTTGTTGGTGGATTCTGCCATTGGAACCTGCCTGTGTAAAGCTAGCCACCATTTTTCATCCATTGTTGTATCAGGCAACTCTGTCGGTGATGGCCAATCCTGTCATCAGAACCTGCCTGTGTAAAGCCAGCCACCATTTTTCATTCATTACCACACCAGGCAACTCCATCGGTGATGGCCAATCTTGCCATTGGAACCTGCCTGTGTAAAGCCAGCCACTATTGTTTGAATATCATCAATTTGCTAGTAGATCACAATTTACTACCATACATCTGTCAATATTCTAGCTTGGGTAGATTCCATCAGCATAACCTGACTATCTATTGCTTTATCATGTGGTCTACAATTGTGATAGCAATTTTAATTATTATGCATTAGACAAAGCTAGCCAAATCTTTGCCATACTGCAGTCAAATGCCTGATGCAGGATAAGGAATTTGAACACCAACCTACCTAGTTGCACTTGTTTGTTTGCTTTCGGGGTCTCAGATTTGACTTTTTGTCTATCTTTTTGTTCTTTGTATGTTTGAACATGATGTATTAAGAGGATATCTTTCTATAGTATAAAATTTTAGTGTTGTGGAAGTCCGGTTTGGTCCGGTTGAGCAACAAATTTTGTGAACGCTGAACCGGACCTCACGTCCGGTTCAATCATTTTGCTGAACACTGAACCAGACGCCATGAACACGTTCATGGCGTCTGGTTCACGTCCGGTTCAGCGTTCAAACATCGAACACATTGTAAATATACTTGATTGTACTATAGCTAGTAGTAAGGAGTACTGGTACACTACTGTGAAGCAAGGCCAAGTGAAATTAATGCAAGGCAAGACTCATCCGTAGTTACCCCATTATCATGGTCTCCTTCACTTTCCTCCTCAGAGCCCTCACTCATGACCACTGACCTGCTAGCCTTGCATTTGCACAAGACAGCGTTGTTGGGGTCAACAAGCTTGGGTGCAGGGCGTGGGATACAAGTCGAGCGATGTGCCTGAGTGGGAAGCACAGGCAGTGGAGTATTGTCGTCGGGATCGTTGTACCATCGGATTTGACTACTCTGAATGTTGAACTGGACCGTGGTCCAGTCCACGAAAGGTCCAGTTCAGAACTGAACCTCCGCATCACTAGTATAAATGAACATATTTTGATGAGCATGAGGAATACTTGCCTGTGAAGAAGTGGCTGCAGGAGGCGATGCAATTTTTACACCAAAGATCTAGGGGGAGAATTACTGCATTTGGTCACCTGGGGTCTGGCAAACAATGCATCTGTCACATCCGTCAGACGTATCATCCTGGACCTATGTCTGACGCTGCATGGCCCTCCAGTCCCTCTTTTCACTACAATACATTGCATAATAAGGTGTTACACAGCACCTGCCAGTGGCCACTGGATGGCTTCTCTAATTCTGACTTTGAGCTTAGCTCTGATTCCAAGCCTACCCCTGAGGATGGAACCACTCTTGCATGTTACAATCCAGAGCCTGCACCTGCTGAAATTCTTTATGTCCTGGATTATAACTCGGAGGTGGATATGACAATAGAGGATGACTGCCAATTTTTCTTTGGCTGTGCTCTCGCTAATGTGATAGTAAATCAGGTCTCTATGATTGACCCATGTGGATTTTGTGGACAGTCAGGCCATCCGGTGAAACTCGTCAAGCAAAAAAGAACATTTCAGCCACAATCTTCATGTCCCCAGGCAATATCGTTCAGTCTTGGGGTAGCCGCAAACAGCTCAAAGGCATCTCCATCCACAAATGCACCAATTCACTGTCAACTATGCCCAGTGTCATCAGGTGATTGCGCCATCTTCTGGAAATACAATGTTCACCAACATGTCACCAGTTCTCATGACACTTCATATGAATCCCTTCTGGCTGGCTTTGCGAAGGAAATTAAAATCTCACAGCTTGAAAAGGAACACTTCAGGATACCACTGGATTTGATTGACAACAGTGTTCAGGATGACTCAAATGCAACTGCTGTGGCTAGTACTAGTCAAAACTTGTTAATGAAGCGTAGGCATCAAACACTTCAAGGCAACACTGGTTCCAAGCGCTCAAAGAAGGTTTAAATTTTAAATTTGATTCACGCACATACAGTACATCGAAGCTACTCCTACTATTACCTTAGTACTAGACCTATCATAATAGTTATATGTAACTGTGCAATGCACAATTTAATGTCACAAGCTGCTTTACCATCAAGCTGTGTTCTGAAGCTATTACTTACTTAAAATTCAATATGTAGTGCATGGACTTAGTGAAATTTTTGCTGGTCGAGTATGGTACAGTATGGTATAGTATTTGACTCATTTTCAGAGTCCTGGTCACTCAACTTTTGTGAGTCCGTGTTCAAAACTTTATGTTTGCTACCCCCTTGAAATCAACGGATCAGAAACTAATGACAGAAAGTGTGAAATAAATGGAGCAATCAAACAATCAATGTACAGGCAGTGTGAAGTGGATGAGTAGCTACATGAGCTCGTTTGGAAGGCATAGACACAGCAGGACCTACTGCAGGACATTTGAACCAACGCGAACCAGAGGACTGGACCTTCTCCTTCTTCACATCTTGATAGGACAGCTTCCAATGATGACTTGGTATGTGTATGGCCTTCTGCTCAAGCTCCATCAACTCCATTGCCCTCAGCATGTTTGCAGGCAATGCAACCCCAATTTCCCTGTGTCCAGGCATTAAATATTCCTTGTGCTCCCTTAAGATGTGCTCCAGCAGGTTGTAATACCAGATAGCATTGATGGAGACTGCAGCATTCTTCCGAGATGCCCTGCCAGGTTCTGGATGAAGTATCAGGTGACATAATTTGCATTTCAGGGGGATGTTGTGACACAGTGTGGTCTTCGATTCAGCATCTGCAGACCCATATCTGAATGCATGCTTGAAGCTGTCATCCAGGTAGGCACTGCACTGTTTGGCACAGTAATTGTGATGGTGCACTCAGGCACTCTGGAACACCCACAAAAGCCATAAGGATATGTCTCACCAACCTTGTTCGAATATATTAATGTAAGTACTGTAGTTTAGCAAATAAAAAATGTACTAATTCTTTTAAAGGTGGTTCCTTGGGTATATTGCTTAATAACCATAAGATATGTAGGCCCACATGGTTGCGCATGTTGGATATGTTTGCTTCACATAGCGAACACACAATGATTCGGCCACCTTGAGATAGTGTAAGTTGAGCACTGGCCTCGAGCGAAACAATAGCAGGAGTATCTAAAAATCATTATCAAAAATGCATGTACATAAATATGTGAAGCCTTACTGTCAGACAAGTGATATGGAAAGGTTTTTGAATCTGATGGAGTCACAGTGTTGATGGACTTGACCGATATCTTCAATTCCACTGCTTTTGCCCATAGTATGTCACATGCAACTTGCATGACATCCTGTGAGACCTGCCAAGTACTTTGGCCACCATTTACCTGAGTGAATTTGTCACTGTTGATATTGTCGCATAAGTGTATGAAGGTGGCCTCAGAATTAATGAGCTCGACAAGAGAACCAGGCATGGTGACAATGATGACACATTCTGTGGACTCTGATGTCCCCTAGATTACTGAATGAGCTTCAATGTATCCTCCATCCAATAGAAACAACTGAGAGACATCAGGTAATGGGTGAGTTAGGATCAGGGATAGAAGTTGTCTGGTAATTTTGCAAGTAGTTTGCACCACCTTCATGACTCCAATGTTGATGGATGCATGAGTAACACTACTAAGGCTTGCAGTAGTAGACTGAAAAACACCGATAGAGAGTGTGTGATCAGATCAAATGAGAGAAGGATATCCCCAACCAGAAACAAGTTGTGATCTGTGATATGACCTCCAGATATGTCAATGCATTTGTTTACCTTGGTATAACCTGCACGGACACACTCGAGTCGATTGAGGGATTTTGAGATGAAGTCCTTGTTGATGACAAGTCGGAAAATAGTTTGCTTATGGATCCAGTGTCCACTGTACAGTAGGTAATCTTCTGGATGTATGCCAGGGCCCTGTGGTAATACAAGCACCAAAGGGTTTGTGGGGAGAAGCTGGCTAGAAGATGGAGTGGGAGGGCAATCAACGATGAATTCATCAATCAATGCCTCTTGGAACGTCAACATGAGTTCCTCATCATTGCCTTCCAATAAACTCTCATGTCCTACCAGCACATGATCTTCATCTGCCGATAACACTGTTTCTAGGTGCTGCAAGGCTGAAGTGGGTGGAATGAGAGGAGAGAGCTTTGGTATGCGACTGACGTCCTCAAGTCTTTTTTCACTGGTAATCCTGAGATATTTATTCTGTTCGAATGGACACAGCACATTGATGGCAGGGTCCTTAAAAAGCTCTGTGAATGAATAATGAACAAGATTAAGCTCAGACATGGTAAGGACTAAAAGAGAAGCTTTGCACCCCTCACGCCATGCCAATGATAGGTCACATTGACCCAAAATAATGTCGCCACTCCAGATCTCCTGATTGATATGGTCAACTCCCTTGTGTCATGTGAGCTTTGGTCAGCAATGACCTGGATCAAGATCAGAATGACAATGCCTGAAGGCGCACAAATGAGTGTACAAATACCTAGGTTGACATCAATTTCAGTCATTCATTAGATTAAAAAAAGACTTACATTTGAGTATATGCTTATAATCGAAATCCAGTGTTACCTCACCATCACCAGTGAACAAGTTCAGACCTGGCATGTTGACAAGTGTGCCATAGAGAGGTGACTCCTGATTCAACATGTTCTTGATGAAAGGCTTGTGTCCAGCAGCATGTCTAGTCGCATCTCCATCTGTTGCAAATGACCAGATTGGTCCAACTGATGTATCTGCACCTACAGTACTCCAGCAGTTGATTGATTGGGCGAGGAGCTGCTCCATGTCACTAGTGTCCTCTGCCTTGCAAGTAGGAGCAGCCAAGAGTGGGTAAATTCCATCTTCACCAAAAAAGGAGGCACCTATGACTGTAAGTTTCTTGCCTAGATGGACCTCCCCACTGTGGATCTTCTGCACAATACTTGCAGCTGATTTGTATGTATGGAGGATGGGATCTACGAGATGAGAGTGCTTCCAACAGAGCCCACTGACTTTATTGTATTTGCTGAAATGAACAGCCATCTCTTTGAGTGTGATTTCATCTATCATGAGACTTACACCACACTTTGGTGAGGAATTGTTGTGAGGACTGAGAAATGATGGTACAAATATTTTCGATGATGTGCTCGTTGCAAATGGGACTGATAGTTGGTGTGATAGTGGTGAAAATGGAACAAGTGCACAGAGTCCAAAGGGAGGGCAGGCTAAGTTTTTGGTTGACTGCAAATAGAAGCTGCCATCCACTGAGCCTGTAAATGAGAGTAGCAATATCTAAGTCATCAGCACCATAGCTGCATGGACGGTGTAGAAAGCTGATTGCTGCTGGACTCAGTGTTACAAGAACATCTAGACGCTTGGGCCCCTACCATTTTTCTCCTTATCCTCCTTGTCTCCGCCCTCGCATCATACCCTTACCCCGACCTTGCTCTTGTTATCCTCGTCATCCTCGCATTCCCCTTCGCCCTCTACCTGTTGCTCTAGCAGAGCCAGTACATTTGGCCAGACCCTTTCTCTGACAATGCATACCCATGCTCCGTTCCACCCACTGACTGATCCTGTGGACAGCCCCTTTACCCTTACCATCCGGACGGTAACCTATGATACGATGCACGCTGCATCCCCTTTACCCTGTTTCCTTTCCTGATCTATGACTCGATGTGCAGTCCCACATTTTACTTATACTTAGTTCCGCAGTTGCACGATCATGTCACTGCTTGTTTCACTTCCTGTTTCTGTTCCTTGACTCATTTCTTATCTGCACGTTCCGGTTTGCCTATGACTCACCTCGAACGTGCCTTCCTTTTCTAGTATCACCCTTTGACCAGTTCTCCTTTCGGTAGTACGAGTTATCACCCACTAATATGTGTCCTCTCCTCTATATAAACTCGCTACCATGTATCTAGTTCCTTAACTTGAATCTACTTGGTTCTTGACCTCCTACTCCTAACAAGAGTGATCCTTTCTGCCTAGCCAGCAGTCTATATTCTATCTTCTTATCTGCTCATTGCAGATAAGTCTTTAGTCTCAATCTTTACTCATTGACTTTGTTGATGAGCAAAGCCCCTGTTAACTAGTTGGACTTCTGTCCTTCTATTAACGCAGATCTTACAATTAACCTTCGGGTGTTGTAAGCCTTGGCAGATACACTTATTGTCAAGCCCTGCTTGACATAAGCTACCCGATTTGGACATGAGCATTAAACCTTGCTTGCCAAAGCTTCACCAAGCGAGACTCCTAACTTTGGGCTAGCTCAGAGACGTCCTCGACTGTTGACGACACATGCTCTGTTTGAGCGTCGCCAACAGACACTATCCAAGTCCGTAACACTCAGCAGAAATTGTACTACCTAGACAACAAATATTTAGGTAGATCTTAGCATGATCTAGTCTGCTATACTTGCAGAGCAAGTGCATTCAATCCTATAGGGGTAGCTGTTTGGTATTAGTTTAGATCGTTAGTTATCAATAAGAGGAAGATAATCCAAAGCTATGAACTACTCATCTGAAGGGAAACTGTTGGGTCTGAAAATATCGGAGTCGTGTCAGGCATCGGACTATGTGTCGGACTGTCAGGAATGCATCAGATGTTAAAGGAATGTGTTGGAAGTGTGTCGGATTGTCAGTCAAATGAGTGTTGGGTGTGTCAGAATGTTTCAGAGAAAAGAGCGGATAGATATTTCGCAATACAATAAAGTACTACTAATATCCAATGACTTCCATCCTACTACTGAGTAGGGAAAAGTAAGTAATGCAATAGGTAGGAAGTACTAGATATTAAATAGTGACTATGTAGAAATTCGGAGTGCTATAGGCGAGAGTAGTAGTGATATTTTGGGTCCGAAATCCTATGTAATAGGACATGTGGTACTGTGGACTATGAGAAAACATGTAATAACGCTGTATACAATGTTTAGCAAGTCACGAGGAGTAAATGTGCACCTAGTGGGAATAGATGCAACTGGACAGGACATAGGGAGGACTGGTCTGATGTGCAGGAATGTCAGATTGGGCATCAGGTTGAGATTGGCAGTGCTGTGAGGACACATGCAATAATTAAACTCACAACTCACTTGCAGCTTGAGTTCATTCAGTTGATTGGCATAGATCCTGGCAATGTCTTGCATGTGTGCAAGACCAAAAAATATATAGTTGGTATGTGATTTGGGGTCCCTTGTGACTTCAGTGATGCATGCAATGTGCATGGAGACATTAGCACACTCTTCGCATGGAATATCCTATGTAGCCGAGCATCCCAGACAAAGTTTTGATCGAGCACAAGGTGTTGCAAAGTTACTGATGTCAACGGTGAAAGGGAGCAAGTCAGGGCCACTATGGTAGTGCTCCCAAGGAAAGAGTATCAGAAAAGGTCTGAGGTCCTGTGGCCGGAGAACAGGAACTCCAATGCAGGTCTCAGGATGGACAGAAACAAGACATGGCCTGGTCATTTATGTAATAAGTCTCATGAAATGAAGCCAAAATGAATGCGAAATGAGGTGTACCTATCAGATTCTAATATCAAAGAACAAGATAATGGTGCTGCAGAAGGCACATTTTCAGCTGCACATTTTTCTTAGCTGTAGCTTCACACTTCCTACTCCCTCAGTGATTACTGAAAGATCTGAAGTGTCTGTTAGCCCAAAGACTAATTTTTGAGTGAACGCCCATCTGACACCATTCACCACAGTCAGGACACAGAATGTTACAAGAACATCTAGACGCTTGGGCCCCTACTATTTTTCTCCTAATCCTCCTCGTATCAGCCCTCGCGTCATACCCTTACCCCGACCTCACCCTTGTCATCCTCGTCATCCTCGCATTTCCGTTCACTCTCTACCTGTCGCTTCAGCAGAGCCAGTACATCTGGCCGGACCCTTTCACTGACGAAGCATACCCATGCTCTGTTTCACCACCTGACTGATCCTGTGGATAGTCCTTTTGCCCTTATCGTCTGGACGGTAACCTATGACACGATGCACGATGCATCCCCTTTGCCCTATTCCCTTTCTTGATCTCTGACTCAGTGCGCAGTCGCACATGCAACTTATACTTAGATCCGCAGCTGCACGATCGTGCCCCTGTGCGTTTCACTTCTTGTTTCGATCTTTGATTCATTTTCTTATCTAGCATGTTCCACCTCGACCGAACGTGCCTTCCTGTTATAGTTATATCCTTTACCGATTGCCTCTCCCGGTAGTACAAGTTATCACCCACTAATATGTCTCCTATCCTCTATATAAACTCGCTACCATGTACTATATTCCCTAACTTGAATCTACTTGGTTCTTGACCTCCTACTCTTAACTGAGTGATCCTTTCTGCTTAGCCAGCAGTCTATATTCTATCTTCTTATCTGCTCATCGCGGATAAGCCTATAGTCTCGACCTTTACTCATCGACTTCGTCGACGAGCAAAGTCCCTGTTAACTAGTCGGACTTCTGTCCTTCTAATTAACGACGATCCTTACTGATTAACCTTCGGGTGTCGTAAGCCTAGGCCGATATAGCTTATTCATCTCGCACCCGCGTGACATAAGCTACCCTGATTTGGAACATAGGCGTTAAATCGTACTTGCCGAAGACCCGCCAAGTACGACCCCTAACCTTGGGCTAGCCCAAGGATGTCCATGACCATTGACGACACAAGCTCTGTTTGAGCGTCGCCAACAGATACCATCCAAGTCGTAACACAGAAGCTCCATCTGTTGCAAATAGCTGATGTGACCTTGAAGCTTATTTTTGTGAAATAACTTGTAGAGGGGCCTCAGAAGTATTTAATACGAGTAATTCCTAATCATTGTATTCTGATTCCGAGTCTGTGGATTTAGATTTGGCAATACTTTCCAAATTGTAGGGGTTCAATCACCCTACATAGTGGGGATTGTGTGTACCTGACCAACGATCTTCTGGTGGCAATACAGAATCAAGAAAAGCATCCAAGGCAGTCTGTGGAGTCCCAGATGAATCGGTTGAATCACAACAATGGTGTGATCATAAATCTAAGTCGCTGTGATATGAGTCCTTCAAACTTGTGTCCCAGTTGCTGTCATCATCTGATATCTTGTAGTTTGACAATTTGAAGGTCTGTGAATGCCACTGCAGTGAATCCATAGCAAAATATAGGAGTATGTGAGTATGAGACATGTCAATAATAATGACACGTTCGATGCGCATATATTGATCACATTGAAGATGGATCAACTCAACTCCAGGTCAAATGATAAATCAAAGGGAAGAACACAAGAAGCTGATATAGTGATCAATTGCAATGCCTAGGCTGCTATACTTGTAGAGACAAGCATGTTTGATCCAAGGGGAAGTAAGGAAAACAAATCCACAGTCGTGCAGTAGCTGCACAAGGCAAGCGACATAAGTGCGAAGCATGGGAAACTCACATGTGGGAATGCAAAATGCGAAAGTGCAAAAATGCAAAATGAAACTAGCAATAGATGAGGGCTCAATGAATGACAACTAAAAGGACTGCTGATAGATTCTGACTCTAGCTATGGACATGATGGGGAACTCCACTAACGTAAGGAGTGGTGTAGTAAAGGGTGAAAAATGCGGACCTATATATGTGTCTCACTAAGTGAGCCAAATGGGAAATAATGTATGTAATAAGGTATGTATGTCAGGGTCCATGCTCTAATATGGTGCCATATTGAATAAAATACGAAAATACATACCAGTGAAACTTGCTGGACAATGGATGGATGCTTCTGGATGATAGGGTGATGAAAGCGCAGGAAAGCAAGTGATGCGAGGGCATCACAAGGCATGGGAAAATCATGTGATGCGGGAAAGCATTGCCTGATATGGAAACAGCTGGGGAAAGGTCAGGGAATGATGCTGCAAGTTGGTGCTGCAAACCTGGGTGATATGAACTGAAGTCTAACACATTGCAAGCCTGCAATAATGTGAATCTCTACAACATGTTTTAACTCATAACATCCAAAATCCTGGATTTAGAGGACAGCACCCTTCGACATTCTTATTAGATCAGCTATCTAGACATATTCTATGGTATCGAAAATGCCCCCTTTTCAGTAGTTGGCAAAGAATTTTATTAACATCTTGCGCTGCTATCGTGTAACCCAGATGGACTGACTGGAAAGTTGAAGTGGCTGTATATTAAGGTTTAAAAGCTTATGTAAAGTTGAGCACCATATCTGGAATTTCACTTTGCCCACCTCTTGCGCTAGAATTGCTCTAGAATTTATTGATATCGCTGTTCCAGCAGGTTTCTCTGTGTCAGGTGATGAGTGCTCTCATGCACCCAATCGAGCAGTCAGTACACAGTCACTATCTATCATCTTTTTTCTGCATCAAGTGGTTACTCTCAGGCTATAATATCATTCGTGTGCATAGAAAGATGCTAACTAGCAGACTATTGTGATGCATCGCTAGGGCATAGTCATGTCCCAGTTGGGAAGGTGATGCATCACTTTTTGCACCACACATGCATTGTTCTTGCTGCTTCTTTGATGTGTACCTTGCTTACCTACGCTATCAGGTCTCATAATCTGACTACTTAACCTCTATTTGGCAGCTGTCTGCTGGATTATGCTCAAATACTAACCTACATACATTATACCTAGGCCCTCCCAGCATATGCATGTTCTCACTGTTTCTTTGCTTACTAACCTACACTACACCTAGGTCCCTCATCTACTGGTGTATGCCATCTCATTCTCAGTGCTTCTTTGATATGTACCTTGCTTACTCACCTATACCACACCTAGGCCCCCCCCCCCCCCCCAATCCATCCACTGGCTCATCTGTCATACCATATGTACATTGGTAAGTATCTAGCAGACCTCTTCCCATCCATCCACTAACATCATATAACATATGTATTTTTCTCTTCCTATGTACCTTGCTTATATACACTACACCTAGGCCCCTACTGCTCAGTACTTTGCTTCTTTTGTGGTGAGTACCTTGCTTACCTATGCTACTCTGGACTTGCCTTACAATCTGGCTATTCAACCTCTCTATTTGGCAGGCCTTTTCCCATTCCAAGTCTTCTGTAAATATACTCCAGCTCTCTCTATATGCATGTGCCATAATGTCATTCTCAAGATTTTTTGTCACTAAGTCTGATTCCTATAGCTAGCACTATGATAAATAGTATATATGTTGTTTATAAATGAGAGATACTCAAATGTTCAATTGCTCTCATTTCATATAGTCAAGAAAGTGCAATTATATCGGTAAACAACAACAATCATCAAGTGACAGCACCAAGATATACACAAAACTTAATCTACAATATTCCCAGATCATGTATGTTAAGCCCTCCTATAAAATAAGCATATGTCAGTGTCATATAAGCATAGGAAGAAACAACTTACTTCTGGGATGCACCAATGTCATTGTCATATTCTCTTAAATTGAAAGGTTTATGCACCCAGTGAGATGAGTCTGGGACTGACTGAAAGTGGTCTGATAATACTGAGGGATCAAGCACTATGTCATGTTGAGTGCACTTTGCATGATAAGTTTTCTTTTCAGGTTGGGCAGCTGGTGCTTCTTTGTTTGTTGGCCCAGTACCCTCAAAATCTACATAAGGAACTGAAGGCAGAAAAACTTCAGGATATGGCTGTGTAGGTACATGATGTTTGATGTCATTATCATACATAGGAAGTGGTTGATTGTGATCAATGAAGGAGTGATAAAGCCAGGCAAGTTTCCTAGAGGGTTGAGTATGCTTAAGTCCAAAATTGGATTGCTGAATGTACAGTAATTGAACATGACATCAGAGTGGGAATAATTGGCCACAGTGAGTTGAAGATCAGGTGATGCATCAAATAATGCATTAGTTGATGTTAGTGCTGCATCTGATGCATCTTCAATGAATGACTCAGACTGAGGAGTCATCTGGTACAAGCCTGCCCTCTATATGACACACACCACTCTCTGACTGCCCTGTGTCTGAGTCATCATTTGATGAGTCAGGCAATGAATCCTCCTTGTCTTCCTCACTACCTGAGTCTTAAGGTTGCATAGCCTCAAACATTAAAATAAAATGAGTATGTGCATTTTGACAACTGGCTCATAACATACACAGAGCATCTTTTACAAAAGCTAGGAATGCAACCTGTATTGCATCAAAGTTGCCATACCGCTGATCAAACTGTGCCCCACTTTTGAGTTGCCTGACATGATAGCTGTGGTTCATAATATTAGTCAGCAATATTGTTTTCAAGTTGATGCTCACTTGAACACAGACACTTCCCCCATGCTGGGATTGTTACTCCCCATCAGAATCAAAAACTTCCACCCACCAGTGGCATATGTAAGATATCTAAGGATACAATCAAGCATTGGGCCAACCTCATAGATAGCTCTGCAGTTTGGTTTTGCATCAAGCAGCCACACCCCAATATCAATCAAGTATGAAAGTACATACTTGATCTTCATTGCATTGTCAATCTTTGGTAATTTCCCAGACTTCTGATGTAGGTGTGCTTTTGTATATCTTGCCTTTGCCTTTCTATATTTCCTCTCAATTTTATCCTTGATCTCTTTGCTTTCTTCTGAGTACATGCGACATGTGACCTCATGACATTTTTTCAGCTTTGGCCCTCAATTGGTCACTGTCACGAGTACCTTTAACAAACCATTATTCTTTCCTAAATCTTCCTAAGTGTCAATACACAGCGCCCAAGTCAAACCCTAACCCTACCTTGAAAGCATCTACCAGTTCAGAAATACCTTTAGCGCCCACGACATGTGTCTTCGATGTGACTGATGAAGAAGACGAGTTCTTTGATTGTGAATAGATTAGATTAGATACGATAAGATAAGATATGGTCACATGATGCTTCTTTAATATTCTACAATGTTCTATGGTACGATTCCCTTTTCCTTTTTATGATTGGCTAGTAGTTGTATCTCAGTTTCAATCTCAGTTTCAATAGTTGTATATAGGTAGCACATCTTGGTCGATAGTTTCTTAGTTCAAACCTCTCGTATCTACATTGTAGCAATCCAAGACTTACTTGCTCCTCTCCTCACTGTTGTGATTATCCTCATTTGAGTCCTAGTCTCTGCCCAGTGTTAATTTGTTATTGGGTTGTGACAGTCACATTCTTGCAATTGATTTCTCTATCTGCAACATGCTTGACCTTTTCCTTGTAGTATTTATGTAAGTATATGTCCATTTTTTGTGGTGCATGGGTTCCCTTAAGTTCGACACCACGAGATAACACAGCGTCAAACTTCAGACACCACTCATGTGGCCCAGACAGGCAGGGTTCATTTGCCACTGAAACCATGATGTGATTTACCAATAAAATATGTAGTTGGTACATGTCTGATATTATTTGAACATGTAGTCACTGACTGCTTGACAAGTTTCCAAAGCACCTTTCAAGACTTCAGCTTGGTGTGGCATTAGGGAATTATCATTCAGTGAGTTGCCAAAGAGAGCCTTTCATTTGGGACATTACTCAAAAAATAGGCTATTGACCTTTGTAAAGAAGTCCTTGTAATTTTTATCTATGGAACACATGTGGTTCTCTGCCATGTGGGAGTAAAAGAACTGTATTCGCTCCTTTATGGTTCATTTCTTAGGCATGGTGGTGTACAGTGGTTAGCAGAGGAAGAGGGGGAATATGTTCAGTGACAAACTAAAAGAAATTTTTTGTCTGTCTTCATTCTTTGAATATCATGCAGTATATTTTTTGGTCTTTCCCATCCAGGTAGACCAAAATGTTGCCTTGCATATCTCAGATTTTAGATTTCATGTGATCCCAGAACATCTTTATTTGTTTGAGATAATCTATGTACGCCACCTCAAGTTCTAGACAATATGTACATGGACAAAATATGCAAGACAATTAGTTGATATATACATATTCTTCTTTCTGGACATGTTTTATCAATGCTGCCTACTCTGGTTAGTGCCATTACTGAAACAGACTGGAAAATGGATCAAACCTTGAAGTCTGCTTCCTGACATTAAAAAGTCCTTCAATGTAGGCTTTTCTGAGTGCATCTCCCTGTATAATACATTCATGTGAATAAAATATTTGATGTACTGTGTTGTTGCAGAAATAAATACAAGTTGGTGAACAAGAATAAATAACATACACATTGACGGTATTGAATTTTAAGATTGAGCAATGACTGTTGTAAGCCAGATAACCCTTGATCATCTGGTATATTGGGAAAGTGGACCATGTGTTCAGGCCAAGTTGTGAACCACTGGGAAAAAAGGTTCTCCCAAAAAGTTTCTTGCTTCTCCAATGAGCCAGAACAAACAAGTGTGAACCTAGACAGAAATGTCTTAAGCATGTCATGCTGGCTGCGTGTGAATACCAGAGTTTGCGACATGGACATGGTGCAAGTAAGGACTGAAAAGTCACCTGTGGACAAGGGTGTAGATTAAGATTTTTGTAAAGGCACTTGTACGAAGGATCAGCACATGACAAAAAGTTTAAAAGAAGGCCTGAGAAGTCATGACAACCTGAGAAGCCATGAGAAGTGCAAACAAAATAGATCACACAAATCAAAGCCTCCATGCATGATATATTTGAGCCAGAGACTTGTAGATAATTGAACTATGAATAAGCTATGCATAAACATTGTTCTGCTTGCACTCTCTCCAGTTAATAACTACTAGTAATCTGAGAGTGTGGATCATGTAGCCAGCTCACACTTTTTCATTCTACTTCTCAGTGCGTTTTTTTATCAAACTCTTACATGACTGACTGTTGCAACAGGGCTTTACTCTCCTCGCTCTGACCACTGAAGCAGCACAGAAAACTTGGATGAGGCTATTGCAAGGGTATGTCTCTATTTCCATCATCACCCCTATTCCTGAACCATGCACAGGTAAACACCTCTTAGTTCCATACTAAGTGGCACCCTGACTAGGACTCTGAAAAACCTTAGTCAAACAGAGTGCCCAACAGCATCAACATCACCCAAAAGGCAACTCCCAGTCGCAAGAAAACCTCATAGATCCTCTAAAGTGTTATATATACTAGCTTTACTCATAAAAACCAACAACCCGGCCAGTCTACAATGCCTGCAGATGAATTGAGTAGTTCCCAAATAACAAAAACAAACCAACAGAAAATAAATGCTGCAGACTACCATCCATCCAACAGATCTATTCCAGACCTACTAAGTGACCCAATGATACACTCACTAGTAGTAGATGAAAACACAGCGAGAGCTGAACTAGAGAAGTGCTTTTTTATCACCCCTGAATCTGAAATAACCATAGGCACACTAACAACAGCCCTATTAGACTTCACTGTTCAAATACCCGGCCTTACTCTCTTATGCATCAACATACTCCGAGCTATCTCCATCCTTCTGCTCAAAGCTGACCGTAACAAGAAAACAAACCTAATTGCTGATTCAATCAAGTTGTTACTATTAGACTCCACGAATCAACTAAAATACCTCAAGCCCAAGCACAACAACCTCATCCGCCAACCTTGTTGAAGAGCCTCGCATCTCCACAGGCACTTCCCTCTGAATTCTCCCACTTTCCCTACAAACTCCAGCCCTAATCCATAGGATACATCTAGCGCATTAGTGCACTTATATTTTATTTCGCAAGTTTCGCGCACGGCTTCATGCACTTTGTACACCCACCTTTGCATTGTCCATGCACCTGTCCGTCTATCCATCACATGTCCTTAGATGTTCATTGGTGCATTTTCCCATCATATTCCCTTTTCAATTAATTGGTTTCCATTGCTAATACTCAGCTCTGTGCTTTGCGCATAACCGAGACCCCGTGACATACATTACATACTATTTTTAGTCTGTTCAGCTTGTTATATTGGACCTGTGCACCTAGTGCTGCTTAGCTACTTTACTTATACCCTCCTATTACTTATGTTCTGGGTTGATTTTCCACCCACTTTCTGTGTGTCTCTAGATACTAAGAATTTTACTTGTTGTTTGCAAGTGACTATCCAAAGTCATGCACTTTGGTTCTCCGCCTCTGTCTTAGCATCAGCCAACCTTAGTTGGGGTGTTAACACTTGTCTTGCCTTGTCTTTCCTTTGTTACTCTTGCTCACTAGTCTCTCACTTTTGCTCGCACGTGTCAACTTCATGTCATACACCTCGTCCTTCACCTTTCGCACTTGCGCGTCATCATGTGTGTTCGCCTTTTGCACATCGTGTTGTTTTCACCTCACACTTCATGCATTACTTAGCCTTAGTACCTTATTAGTTGTTTGGTGTCCCTCTTTTTACAAAGAGAGGTTTCCCTTTACTCAGTTAGCTGCCCTTGGAACGACAATTTCACTTGTGCCTGGGTCTATCTGTGTTTGCTTAGCTTAGCACCAACTTTCCCCACAATTTAGATTCCTCATCTTCATTGTACAGTGAAGCAGCTGCTAGAGCCTTGACATTCACCCTAGGACCAGCAGACCAAGCTATAGCCAGAGCAGCAACCCGAGAAAGACAAATCATGATTGATTCCACCTCAGGTAACCTCCTATTCTCATTAGGCACAAGTCATGTGGACATAGTATCTAAGATCCGTGAGGCACTAGAAAAAGTGAGACCTGCTAACCTAACAGACAAAGATGATGTTAAGGCAATAACCCAACTCAGAAATAGAGGACTAACCATCGAGCTAACCATGAAAGCACTATCTGACTGGTTACACTCTCCAGAAGGCAGAACAGCACTAATGAACAAACTTAGTATCCCAGCCAACCTTAGGCTTTGTTATCCAATACCTCCCAACCAATCTCCTCATTGATTTCCAAGACTTCTTTAGACCTAGTCACCAAGGAAAATCAACTGAAAAGTGAACACTTCTCAACCATAAACTGAATCAAACCCTGACACTGAGGACTGGAAGGTCAATTCTCCACATTCGCAATGCTCCAGATCACCAATATAGAAACAGCTAACCAACTCCTCTGCGATGGACTCTACATCAGTTATGTCAAATTAAGGGTATGAAAAGACCGATGTGAACCTATCAGATGTGCTAAATGTCAGAACTATGGCCACATCACAAAGAACTGTCAAGCCACAAAAGACTGCTGCAGTACCTGCAGAAAGGAACACCACACCTCGGAATGTATAGATGACACCAAAAAGGACGCATGGTGCATGAGCTGCTGCAATGAAATGCACACCAGCTGGAGCAGAGCCTGCCCAGCATTTGGAAAATGCTGCTGAACCATGAATGAAAACTTCCTGGAAAACACCATGCCTTACTATCCAACCAAAGAACCCTGGACCCAGGTAATGCTCCCACCCAAGGCTTCACCATATCAAAGACCCTCCACCATAACCAAACATGCATGGCCAAATACTCACTGACAGCTAACATTAGGAGAATCAATGAGACCAAGACCATTCCCAATACCTTGATCACCTTGATCAAACCATGAATGAGAATGCCCACACCCATCACCCTTGGCCACAGGAGCTAACTCTACAAGCATCAACCGCACCAACACCACTAATCAATACTTATCTCTTGCTCCCTCAGACCCATCTGAACCTCAATTTCACTCAGCAGACCCCCCCCCCCCCCAGAATCCTTCTTATGTCTGAACAACTGGAAGAACTCCCCATCAGGCTTCAAAACAACTCAAGAACCGCTCAAGAATCGCAACTTAATGGACCTACAGCCCTTAACTGGAATGTACTCGCACTCCAAGAACACTGTTCAAATAAACTATGCAACACCAGATCTACATGTAAATGGCACACAGTATATCCTACTCAACACTATACCTACATGCATCAAAAAACATGCGCAGTCACTCTCATCAGTGCTGAACTGGATAAGAATGGCTCGAAACAACTTAACTTTCCCTCTTCAGATGTAGTAGTAATTCAATTCTCAGGACCATTTGGTAAATGTACAGTATTTAACATATATAATGATGGAGAAAAACAGGACACCCTTATGGCACTAGAGAATTATCTAACATTGAACATTGCCACCATCTGCCCTATGATAGACGACCACATGAACTGGCTAGGCAACTTCAACAGACACCACCCTCTCTGGAAAGAAAAACACAACCACCATCTATTCAATGTAGGCTGCAGCCCAACTGCTAATGGACCTCATAGCAGACTATGGCATGGACCAACCCCTCCCTTGCAGCTACCCAACCCTTCAATCCTCAAGTACTGGCAATTGAACGAGACCAGATAACATACTATGCACCGAGAATACCATAGACACCTTCATCACCTGCAGGACCAATCTGGCACTCCATGGACCAAAGACTGACCATGTCCCTATCCAAAGCACTCTTGAACTATCTGTCCCAAGGATTACAAATGGAACTATCGAGACACAGACTAGGCCAAATTCAATAAGATTGTTACAAGAACATCTAGACACTTGGGCCCCCACCATTTTTCTCCTTATCCTCCTCGTTTCCACCCTTGCATCACACCCTTACCCCAACCTTGATCTCGTCATCCTTGTCATCCTCACATTCCCCTTCGCCCTCTACCTGTCACTCCAGTAGAGCCAGTACATTTGGCCAGACCCTTTCTCTGACGATGCATACCCATGCTCCGTTCCACCCACTGACTGATCCTGTGGACAGCCCCTTTACCCTTACCGTCCAGACGGTAACCTATGATACGATGCACGCTGCATCCCCTTTACCCTGTTTCCTTTCCTGATCTATGACTCGGTGCACAGTCCCACATTTTACTTATACTTAGTTCCGCAGTTGCACGATCATGTCACTGCTTGTTTCACTTCCTGTTTCTGTTCCTTGACTCATTTCTTATCTGCACGTTCCGGTTTGCCTATGACTCACCTCGAACGTGCCTTCCTTTTCTAGTATCACCCTTTGACCAGTTCTCCTTTCGGTAGTACGAGTTATCACCCACTAATATGTGTCCTCTCCTCTATATAAACTCGCTACCATGTATCTAGTTCCTTAACTTGAATCTACTTGGTTCTTGACCTCCTACTCCTAACAAGAGTGATCCTTTCTGCCTAGCCAGCAGTCTATATTCTATCTTCTTATCTGCTCATTGCAGATAAGTCTTTAGTCTCAATCTTTACTCATTGACTTTGTTGATGAGCAAAGCCCCTGTTAACTAGTTGGACTTCTGTCCTTCTATTAACACAGATCTTACAATTAACCTTCGGGTGTTGTAAGCCTTGGCAGATATGCTTATTGTCGAGCCCCGCTTGACATAAGCTACCCAATTTGGACATAGGCATTAAACCTTGCTTTCCAAAGCTTCGCCAAGCAAGACTCCTAACTTTGGGCTAGCCCAGAGACATCCTCGACCGTTGACGACACATGCTCTGTTTGAGCGTCGCCAACAGACACTGTCCAAGTCCGTAACAAAGACCCTCAAAGCAAAACTAACACTACTTCCAGAACCACGCCCATGGATCACCAAAGATGAATCCCAAAGCACAGCCAGAACCCTCACGAAGGTGATCTTAGACACCATCAACGAAGTGGTCCCACTATCTCAACCCAGCCCACCACTCCAAATGCTGGTGGACACACAACCTCACAAACCTACACAAAACGGTCAATGACCTCAGTTGCCAGTCCTATATAATGATGAGAGGGATTCAAGATCATCCCTGCCACAAAGAGTACAAACAAAGATGCAACAGTTTGCAGAAGCAATCAAAAAAGCGAAGAAGGAGCATTGGACCGAATGGCTGGAGCAAATCACCAGCAACAACATCTGGATGGCCAACAAGTACATAACTGCAGAACCCACTGATGGAGGCAAAACCTGCATACCAAATCTTCACATTAAGAATGCCTCAGGAACCATACAAGATGCTATCGCCAATGATGAAAAGAGCAAAGCCCTTGCTAAGTCCTTTTTCCCACCAGCCCCAAATGTCTCAACTGTCCCAATAGATACAATATACCCAGATCCCACAGCCTCCACAGAACCCATTACCAGTGACCAACTTACACGAAACATCACCAAACTAAGTCCATACAAAGCCCCCGGTCCAGATGGTATCTGCAACATTGTCTTCAAGAAATGCTCAGTGCTACTCCTCAACCATCTCCTACACCTATTTAACACAGTCTTCCTTCTACAAACCTATTACAAGCCATGGAGAGAATTTATGACCATAGTTCTACAAAAACCCAGAAAACCAGATTATACAGTAATGAAAGTGTGTTGTCCAATAACTCTCATTAACACCACATGCAAACTACTAACCATAATTGTGGCTGATCAAATGACCTATATGCTAGAACACCATTGTCTCTCTCACCCACTCACTTTGGAGGAAGACCTGGCCGATCTATGATGGACTCACTCCACCTACTGGAGACCACCATCAAGAACACCTGAAGAACGGATAAAGTAGCTTCAGCTCCATTTCTAGATATTGAGGGTGCATTCCCAAATGCAGTAACAGACCAACTACTGCACAACATGTAAATGCAAAGGCTACCCACTGCATTCATTGACTTCACAGAACGTGTCCTATGCAATAGACACACACAATTAAGATTCAATAACTTCACATCCAATTAGATCCCAGTGATGAATGAAATAGGGCAGGGGGATCCTTTATCCATGATTCTATATATCATATATGATGCTGACCTAATAGATATAGCCAAGGAACAGAAGACAGAATCAACATTAGCATTTGTTGATGATACCATATTCATAGCAATAGGTAAGACCTTTGAAGAAATGCACTGCATACTCCAAGACATGCTAGAATGAGCTGGAGGAATATTTGAATGGTCAATCACCCACAACTCGAAATTTGAAACCAGCAAGTTCACACTGATGGACTTCTCAATAAACCAAACGAAAACCTGTCCAGCAATGAATATCAGAGTATGTACTTTAACTTTGTTGTCTCTCTTCTATTTCAATGGGCATGCTGCTACAACTAATCTGTCAACTATACCAAGCTGTAGCAATACCCAAGATGATGAGAAATGAGTCAGAGAACAGAAACAGGAAGTGAAACAAGTAGGGGCATGATCATACAACTGTGGAGCTAAGTATAAGTACAATATGCAGCTGCACACCGAGTCATAGATCAAGAAAGGAAACAGGGAAAATGGGATGCAGCATGTATCATATCATAGGTTACCATCCGGATGGTAAGGGTAAAGGGGACTGTCCACAGGATCAGTCATTGGGTGAAATGGAGTATGGGTATGCTTCATCCAAGAAAGGGTCTGGCCAGATGTACTGGCTTTGCTGGAGCAACAGGTAGAGAGCGAAGGGGAATGCAATGATGGCGAGGATAACGAGAGCAAGGTCGGGGTAAGGGTGTGATGCGAGGGCTGAGGCGAGGAGGATGAGAATAAAAATGGTAGGGGCCCAAGCATCTAGATGTTCTTGTAACACCTAACAGCATATCCACAATTAAGCAAGCCCACAAACAGCACAACCAAAAACACTGGGAATGAATATGGTCCAAATCCCCTTGCCACACCCGCATGGCTACCATAGACCTCAAGATCCTAAACCGCTCTTTCATCAAACTCATCAGCAAACTCCCTAAGCAATTAATTAGCCTCTATATGTATTTCCATACTCAACACATTGGACTGAACACTCATCTTCACAGAATCAATTGAAGTGAAACCCCAAACTGTCCATCATGCAAAGACATCAACAAAACCATTCACCACTTCCTATTTGTATGTCCACAATATGACTGCAAACAACACATTCTTGCAAACGCACTCGGCCACAAAGCCACATCACTCCCATACCTCCTCACAGACCCTAAGGTGATGGCCCATTTCCTATGTTTCATCAACAGCACAGGTCGATTCAAGTTCACTTTTGGTGAAGTACTCCTCCCACCTTAAATAATTCAGTCAATAATCAGAAATTTTATAATATAGCCATCACAAGCAAGTGAAACCAATCACCACTCCTACTCAAAACAGGATGACTCAGACATCAAGTCAATGAAGTTCAAATTGTGGAAAGATGCACAGAAGAAGAGAAGGGAATAATATGAGCTCATCAGGATGCCACAGGACCATGAAGCAACCCACAGCACATACCAACCACTCATCAACCCCACCTTACCACACCTTCATAATAGTCTCCTGTATTTGAACTACTCCAGTGGCCAAAGACCCATTACAGATGAACAACAAAAAACCGTGCAGTCCAACCCCAATAGATAGTCGATTCATGTCCATCCATCATTGTCAAAGACA